CTTCCATCTCCTCTATAAAGGCATCTTACCATCTCACTGAAGACTGCAATGATGGCAGCCCTTCTAGTATGTCCTTCTATGTTGGTGGGAGTCCCAGAGTCCCACGGCACAGCACTCTAGTTGATGAAATGTTTAGAGGTCCAGATACCCGCAGTCCATTGGCTACTCCCTTGCCTTCCAGTAGCAAAGGATCAAGTCCTCACATGAGTTTCAGTAGAGCAGGCTCCCAGGGTTACATCTCTGAAAACGGGCATGACTGTAGGGTTAGGAGTAAAGACGATGATACTCGTTCATATAGCTGCCACAGTTACAGCAAGCGCTCCCCAGTCTCGCAAAGGCCACACATGGATGTGGTTTCACATGCGCGCAACAGATCTGAAACAGACCCATTTATCTTGAGCCAGGTATCTTCCACTCCAAACCAAGACTATAGAGCAGATAGGTATCATAAAGGAGGGACGGTTAGAATGGTCCCTTCACAAGGCAAAAACATGGCAAATGGTGTGCCAGCTGCTAGTCAGTCGAAACAAAGCCCAGTTATACAGTCCTTGTATGCTAGGGGCATGATGGACCATATGTCTACCATCCAGATATTGGAAGGTTCTACCAGCAGTGGAACGGAGTCTAGTGACTCAGATTCAGAAATGGTCAATCCTTTCACCCACCCTCTTGTGTTTGGAAATCCCATAGTGCTCAATTCATCCCCTATGCCAAGGAACAAGTATTCATTTGGCAGCCTCCAACTAGAGGAAGAGGTAGAGGATGTGTCTTTGGCCCTCAGTGATGAAGATGGTGTTCATGTCTTCAGTTGCTGAGAAAACCAAGCAGCACTTCCAGGAATAGGCCAACCTAACAGGAAAGTGATTTGTTGGAAGGTTGTTCATCGAGTACATAAAGCAGCATGTCAACCTCTTAACCACCTCCTTTTGAGAAGTTAGAAGGAGCTACTGCTATACAGAGAGGTGGTGAAATCTACTGGTGACGTGGGTTTTTAGGGGGGCAGGAAGGAGACCTGATTCCTCATCTAACAACCCTGTTAGTAGATTTGTTCATTAAGAAGAAAACTATACTCTAGTTGTGTGTCGTATTTAATGAAGTATAGGCCAGATAGAGATGACTTGTAGCCCCAACCTATTAATTTTTACTTAGAAGCATCTCCCACTGTTTTCAGTGGAACTTAATCACAAGTAAATGTACATAGGATTGCAGTGTTCGTTATTTGAGAAGCAACGTGATTTGAGTTCATGGTACACACATGTGCTTTTCTCTCCTTCTAAAGGAGAGCTTGCTATCCAGTGCCTCAGTTTAGAGTTTAAAGTTTTACATTGCAATCAAAATGCAAAAAAAAAAAAAGATATTATCAAATCTAGGCATTTTTTAAAATAATAATAAAAGAGCTTATTGACACGTTTTTTGAAGGAAGCAATACTATATTTTGCTCAACAAAACCACAAATCATTCTTATGCTGAAAGTACGAAAAGTTGCATTTGTGAGCTGAACAAGTTTTTTCCTATTTGAATATGTTGAAGAATATGGAACATGCAAACTTTAAATAGGGTGGGGGGGGGATGGAAGCAGTCTTTTGAAAGAAGCTCAGTGGTATGTTCCTGTAGTTATTAATGGGCTCGTTTAAACATCATAATTTCTATACATTGGTTGTAAGATTGCTTTCAGCATAGTAGATCTTACTTGCAAATGTTCTTCTCGGGTATTTTGTCATCATTAATCACGGGGCCAATTCGAAACAGGAGCCCCAATGTATCTAGATCAGATGCTGTGTTGAAGCAGGCTTTACACATGCATCCCTAGCTGGTTGAGAAACCAAGTGTACATACATTTTCAAACATGGTTCATATCCTGATCAAGCCGTTTCTGAAAACTAAGCAATCAGCTAATTGGGAGGGCAGTAGGATACTAGAGTTAGTCTCCCACACACACCACCCAAATGCTGGTCAGTGAGAGCCTATGTGGTGTAGTGGTTAAGAGCGGTAGTCTCGTAATCTGGGGAACCGGGTTCGCGTCTCCGCTCCTCCACATGCAGCTGCTGGGTGACCTTGGGCTAGTCACACTTCTCTGAAGTCTCTCAGCCCCACTCACCTCACAGAGTGTTTGTTGTGGGGGAGGAAGGGAAAGGAGAATCTTAGCCGCTTTGAGACTCCTTAAAGGGCGTGAAAGGCAGGATATCAAATCCAAACTCTTCTTGTAATTATCTGAAATGGTTTTGCACAAGCAGACCCTGCCAGCTGCTGCGTTCTTGGACACGGGGGTCAGGTAGACTCTGAATATTGCATATCTAGCAAGGCATGGAATGCTCCAGTCTTTCTTTTTCATTTAACAATGTAATAAGACAAAGAACATTGGAATCAGGAAATCTGTAAGGAGTAAGACAAATAATTTACCCTGTGTTTCAGGAAACTTTCTTGAGTAAAGAAAAGCAGCAAATTATACCCACTGACCTTACCACCATTGCTAAATGTGTTTAACTGGGTCAGAGGGGAAGTATGGGGGAAAGTATTCTCAAATGAATGTGTCAGAATTAAATAATAGAGGGCAGCTTTAGCTGAGTACAGTTGATTCCAGCTATTCATTCATTCTCATGAAAACAAATGAGCCAGTTACAGGACATCTTTTAATCCGGAGCAGTTCTATATTTTGATGGTTTTAGATTTTTATAGAACAAAATCGATACGTTTTATAACCTTTTTCTGATGCCTTGAACCAAGACATGTTAAGTGGTACATCTGAGTGTAAGAATATTTTAACAGAACTCAATCTATAGTTGCCTAGTCCTCTTCAGTATTTTACATATTCCTAGAACAGGGTAAATGGCAAGGATGGGCAACATGTTTGCACTATAGGCTGCATTGGAAATACTTGCCATTGCATGAGCAAACTTATTTCTGTGATTGTGAGGGCTGTTTTTTATTTAATGGGAACTGGGATTTACAGGATTATATAACAATCCAAAGGGTTAGGGTTTGTTTTTTTAAAGGCCTTTGGGATGCTGGCATATGCATAGGAATATTTAACCTCCTCTCTTTCGTGTTTTTGTTATACTAATGTGAAGTTCAGTGCAGATGTAAATGCAGTTCAGATGTTTGTTTAGTTAGTAGACAAGAGAACAAGTAACCAAATCTGTGACTTTGTGGTTAGGCGGCAGCATGGGCTAATAAGGGAAGGTTTTATTTAATGTTGTGCTGAGAAGGTGATCTGTGTTTTGGGTTTAGAATAGTTTGTCAAATCATTGCCTTTAACTACTGAACGTTTAATTTAAAGCATAACTAAACAAAAACCCACTTTGGAAAGTGTAGATAGAATGTACACAGTGTGTCCTTTATTGGCATGTTTGCTGACTTCTGGCGATTATGGCATAGAAATAACGTACTGTGGAGTAAAGCACTGGCTTGTTAGGTGCTTCACAAAAGCACTAGTTGTTTCAATGATTCCCCCCCCCAGGCATTCTCGAGGAAATTGCACGATAGTTCATTTCCTCCTTAAGCTAAAGCATCTTAATGTTATGATTAGAAGTGGCCATTGGTCTACAAAATGTCTATGTTGTGATGATGTGGATTCAGTGGAGAATATACATTACCACCTACCATTGTGTGCGCATTCACTAAGCATTGTAGAGAATGTGCAGAAACGAAACAGCATAAATAGGATTTTGTATTACCCAATCCAAGTGCATAGCCTCCGCATGATGTGTTTGGGGTGTGGGGGGAGAGAAATGGGGTATTCCATACATTGCCAGTGAATATGCATAGGAAACCCACAAGCAGAATATGAGTGCAATATAGCCCTCTCCAGGTTGTGATCCTTAGTAAGTGCTATTCAGAGGCATACTGGGCCTCATTCTCATGCAATGCTAAGCCTAACCAAGAGTGAGCAAGCATACAGGTACCCAGAGAGAAAATCACAGCCATTTTGCTCCCCTCCCAGTTGTGCTGCTGCCATGCTACCCATAAAACATGGTTTGGATTGCCATGATGTGCAAACCTGGGCCAGTGCTTTGTCTTCCCCAAAACAAACTACAAGCAGGAAGCGGAAAGTAACCTTGGTGGTTGTTTGTGGTTTGCTGGAAGTGAGACAAACAATTGAGTTCATGTGTGATGCTAGGCCAAATGAATGGCTTTGTGCCAGGTCGTACATCATCAGTAGGAGCAGGAGAGAAGCAAAGCAGTTTCTCTCTGGGTACAAGCACACTTGCTCATCCTCACTAAGCCATGATATCGCTTAGAGCTGCATGCAAACTGGACCATTGTTTCTGATACTGGAGGCAATATATAGTTGTAAGGGCTTGCACCCATTGATAGCCTTGTCATCCACGGATTTGTCCAGCCCCCTTTTTAAAGCCATATTAAAGTCTCTGCATCTTGTGACAGGAAATTCTAAAGTTTAAATATGCCACTGTTTGAAAAAGTATTTCCTTCTGTCTAAAATCTCCCATCATTCAAGTTCATTGGACGACCCTGGGTTCTAATATTACTGGAGACCACCATCATGCTTCTCTTTGTACTTGCCTTTTTAAAAAGACCTAAATGTTGTAGCCTTTTCTCATAGGGAAGTTGCTTTAGCTAGCTGATCGTTTTGATTGCCCTTTTTGGCACCCATTCTAGCACTGCCATGCTCTATTTGAGGAGCAGGAACCAAAACTGTACGCTGTAATTTGAGTACAGTTGCACCATCGATTTGTAGAGAAATATCACTAATCACTATCATGAAATTTGCCCCTCTCTCACTAGATTTGCATTAAAGGCATCGTGTTATAGGCAGCTCTATTTTTTATTATGATTTCTTTTCTAATGATTCCTGATTATTGTCCTTGTTTCAGTAACAGAGATGTTACCTTGATCAATACTTAATTATATAATGGTGTTTTCCATCACTGAAATATCCTCAAAGGAGATGGCACAATTTAGCTTTACCACTAACCATAGGGCTGGTATTGCCGTTTCAGCCACATAAAATCATGCTCTTGTTTGTTTTTAAATTTACAGTCCTATTAAACAGTGCAGCTCAGATAAAAAATATGAATTGTGTAGCTTAAGCACATCAGATTCCTAATTGTAACTTGTAAATATGAAAACGACAAGCCTGTTGCCAATTAGAATTCTCATTGTTGGTATCCACTACTTTCTTTATGTCTGCTCTCTGTGTTGTGCATAGAGTTAGGAGTAAATTGGAAATTTGCTACTAAAGCAAAGCAAAATGGGCATTTTTGATGGTGGGGCGAATCCCAAACTGAGGCCCACTTTAACCATTCCATGAAAGTAGCAAGAGAGGAACCATTAAGGGAGTGATACTTCCTGTCTTTCTGTCTACTTTTCTGGCTCTTATGGGGCGACAGTTGATGCACATTTACCCTAGAGAGAGTGGTGCACGCACATTCTGTCTTCTTCATTTAGAGATTGAATAGCTTGCACGTTCACATGAGTCATAAGTGTTGGGAGAGGACACACAACCAACAGTTCTTTTCTTGTCACTTCTGTGGGGCATACAAAGTAAACCCAAGTCAAAAATAATTTCCCAAGTATGACATGGTTTCCCCTTTAAGTCTCTCACATGCTCTGTGATACTGGGACATGCCCTGCAGATTTGTTTTCATATCAGTCCTAAGAATCTACAGAATCTTTGTAGCTGTCCATACATTGATCTTCACTTTAGATTATTACTTTTTAAATAAAAAAGTTGCACTTCCTTTTAAGGCTCATTTTAAAAAAAATAATGTAGTATTAGTAGTGTGTGGCAATCCATATTTTTTGTGTCTCCATTTTTTTGGAAGGTTCACTTTCTAAATACGGCAGTATTATTATTCTTTTTTATGAACCCACCCACCCCCACTCTCAATCATCTGTTCTATAGATGTGGGCCCCCCCCCCCCAATAAGATTCTTGCAAAGTTTAGGAATAGGTCTGTTTCTCTGGTTCTTGCAAAGCAGTCTAGTATACCCACCCTTTCGATGGGTTTTCATCTCACTGATGAGGAGGAGCTTTTTGATTACTTGTCTGTTGTGCTTTATAGAAAGATCGGTTTTATCTAATTATTTGTTAAAGCAGCTCTTGCATTTTACTTTTTTCAACAAGGGGAATAAAGCTCACGTCAGGAATCCGTGCAAAAGAGCATTTGTGAATGAAAAGCAAACGCTCTGTTTTATATTTGCATGGAGAGCAAGCTACTCAGCGTAGGGTCGCCATATTTCAAACAGTGCAAATCCAGACAGAAAAGTTGTGGGGCTTTTTTGCCAGAGCTGTTGGGCTTTTTTTTGGCTGCAGTGTTCCGGATATGTCCGGGAAATTCTGGACGTATGGCAACCGTAACACGGCAGCTGCAGCAAAACGCTCATGATGTCATTCAAACTTTACTTTTTATGCAGAATTTACAACATAATTATCAGTCTTGGGCTTGGAAAGAGTTACCTATTTCAGAGCTCACTTTTCAGGAAGGGCACGAAATATTCCACTCCCAGTTTCTTTTCTCCACCCCACCCCTTATTGCTGTTCTGATAGATCTAATATACAAACTTTGGCTATTTTCTTATGATTGGCACTTCCCTGATATATTTCACACATTGAATTATAGGTTTGAAAATTCAAAACTGAGAAAATACCAATTCAAAAAAATGCTGGGGTCTTCATTCTCATTCTTGTCATTTGTTTAACAATGGTTTGTTGGTTTGTTTGTTTTTTAAAAAAAGAAATATACCACTGTATGTTTTTTCAGCATGTACCTCTTTGGGAGGAAAAAGCCTTTTTCCATTGTTCTGTCTTTATACTCAAAGCATGGTGTATCTTCTGTTCCTTGCATTGTTTGCCACGCTGCCCCAATGACCTTTTGCTAGAGGGGGAATTAGCCCACTTGGAAATGGAAATATCCTCCTAGCACAGTGATCCTGCATTCATTTATAAAATTCATTATTTCGTGGTCACCTACTGCAAGGATCCTACTTTGCAATAAATAAATAAAAAATGGAGAAACTGAAGAGTAAACGAATGTGACCTTCTGCACAAATATTTGGACCGTGGTGATGATACGGAACCACCATGCCCTTCGCTTTCCAGTGAAGGCAGCACTTAAAAAGATTGGATCCATTACAAAATTGCTTTTTAGCAGGATCACTGCTTTCTTAGGGAGATGTGAAGCCAAAACGGACAGTAGCTGCAGCACCTGCTTGCTTGCACATGTGGATTGGACCAATGTCCTAGACTGTGCAGGCAAACATATTCTGTAATGTTTAATATGCATCTTATTTAGAATAAGCGACTATTTCTATATGCATGTGTGCTTTAAGGAACTGTATTCAAACCACTATATTTTTCCCCTGTTCCTTTTCGTTTTGCTTAGTTCAGCGATGGAAAGAACAAAGATAGACAAGGGACATGCTTCATGCCTCTAAAAGTCCCCCCACCCATATTGCTATTAGACTTATCATGATGTACATTATTTTCCCCCAAAGGGTAATCAGTTATCGGCTAACTGCTGCAGTTACTGTCCAGTTTTGTACCTGCCACTGTCTAATATTATTATATATCACTTCAGCATGGATTTTTGTACCCAAGAGGAAGGGGTTCCTGGTTACTAAACCTATTGCTGAATTTGGTGACTGTCTGTAAGCATGTCAGGCCGAAGTTATCCTATGTATGCATGACATTAATTTCGTTTTGCTTTTTTATTACCTGTACTGAAGGCTTTACCCTTTCTAACTGGTGTCTTGCTGTAAAAATTTTCCTTGCTTAATTGTTGCTCAAATTGTTGACCCAAGTGCAGGGGGACATGTTCATTGGTACGATGCGCCATACTCTCAAATCATGCCCTATCACCACTGTCCATTTCAAGCCTTAAGAACCCAAGAAAACCTTTTTATCCTTCCTCCTTCGTTTATCTCAGCAAGGCAGCCTCTGCCCCATATCTTTGCTGAAATTGCATTATTTTTATTTTATGTTATTTTTGAAACCTCTTGCTGCATCTCCCCTTTGAAAACCTCTTGTCCAATAAATTAGCTCAAGAGCAAGCTGTGGCGGCATTGCACGTTCCATAGAAATTGTAAGAGGGGATGCATGACTTTCCTGGGCCCCTCTGCACTATACATTTAAAGCAATATCATCCCTCTCTGAACCTAGGATCCTAGGAATTGTAGCAGAAACTCTAGGAATTGTAGCTCTGTGCAGGACGCAGGGGAGATCTTCCTGATACAGAAATGGAATACTCATCTGCCCCCAAAGACATGGGCCTCTCTCTCCCCTTCTTCCCCCCACCTTTGCCAAAGGCTCAGAAAGGGATGGAGGGGGCCACACAAATCAGCCATTTCTCTGTTCCTTCTTATAATCTTCGCAGGCTCCTCTTCTTTAAATTGGGAAAGGGGAATCTGTGAAACAAAAGAACACTCAGAATTAATTCTGTTTTAACTGTCTTGACACCGGTGAGGGGTGTATGAACTCAAGTACCTTAGCTATAGCTGTCAATAGTACCTTTATTCGTTATTATTGAGTGCTGGTTATAAATCTACATTTCTTTAACACGTTCTTACTGAATGTGTCTGCTTTCCATCAGTCTTTTGAGTACGTTGTCTGTTTTCATTTTCTTTTTTAAAGAAAAGGTTGTTAGATTTTTTTGGTGGTGGTTCTTTAATTAAAAAAAAAAAAAGCTATACAAAAGCCAATATAAGCAACCTGTCCCTACCCCATGCCAGCACTTCCACCTCAAATTTTGCTTGAGGCAATCCTTATTTTGTTGTTGACGATCTGAGGAATGACAAGAACACCGCTTGATTTTCAGGTTCTAAAGTCAATCTGGATGCTTTGACATGAAGCTAAAATTACCATTCACCCTCCATTTTATAGTATGAGGAATGTGGAATGCATCAGTTTGATTTAGAGGCATTTGCATTTCTGACTCTAGTGTGTACCAAGGAAAAAAATTAAATAACCAGCATTTAAATATTTTTGAGGTCCAAAACAGCAAGCTTACGAGTATCCCAGTTCAGTGATGCAAATTTTTTAGTTACAGAAGTCTAAAGAAAATTTTAATCTTATTTGAAAGCCTTTTTTATAGACTTGCTATGAATCCTTCTAGGGATTAGTTCACATTACACATCATCTACATTATTCAGCTGGGCATCAAACAGATTGGGGTGGGGAGTTATGCAGACATAGATCTAAGACAGTACAATCCTATGTGTAATTACATATGGATTAGTAATCCAAATGCTTGCTTGGGGTTAAATATTTATATAAAGACACCCTTCGAGGCATCAGCTGACTCTTTGCTTATGTGGAGAAATGAGTTTTGAGAGAGAAGAGTTCCAGGGAATCTTACTTTTTTTGGCCAATGAATAAGCTTTCTACCAGGAAAATACTGCATTCATTACTTCAAGGCTAGAGTTACGTCTTTATTTATTTCTCAAAGGTGCCCCATTTTACAGGAAGTCACCATGTGGGCCATTCTCCCAAAGCTAATATGACTGAAGTACAATATGTTTGTAATGTGTTGTGATTTTCTGCAACTCCTTGTAGGAAACAGCAGACTTTGAAGACTGACAGGTGGTTATTAAGGAGAGAAGCCTTCCACCTTTGTTCTCGCATGAGCTCTTGGAAGTTACATAGCATTTCTAGGATGTAGCTTATCACATGTCTTGGTATGCATTGTGATAAGTTCAAAGCAGTGCATCTGTTTGACAGGCAAGGAGCAAAATAGTTCTGCTTAAAAGGCGAGGCTGATTTTAATCTAGATCATGATGTACAGCATGGAGAAAATTTAGTTCCTAGCCTTTGGCCTTCAGTAGATAGAAAGATAGATAATTTGTCAATATTGGTACAGATATGACATCCAATAACTCTCACAACTGAGGCAGAATTTGCAATGTAGCATAAGATAAAGCAGGCGTAGGTTATGCTGTTATCAATCAAGCGGCCATGAATGCTTAGGAATTGTGTCTGACCACAATGGGGTCTTTGTGAAATTAGAAGGAGCAATTTATCATCTTCTGTGTCCTTATAAGCAACGAAGGGGTACCAGGTAACAGAGAAATATTTCTGCATTTTGACTCCTATGGCCTGTCCATTGCTAATCCCCAGATTCCAGTCCACCAAACCTGTAGCATAAAATGTGTGTGGCATCTTCCACACATGCAGCTGCAAGTAAGAAAATGATTAGATCTCAATTCTATACAGTATTCGTTTAGTCTCTTCTTCCCGCATATTTTGACAGGGGAAAAACACTGTATTAATTAAGCCTTTGGAAACGCAACTATCTTACATTTGGTGGTCACTGGGTGATATTAAATTAAGAACGTTCAAAGGAATCCTGACTTTATTTGCTGTGAACTGTCCCCAACCAAACCTTGGTGGAGTTTAGATTCAGAGAGCTGCGAAACACCAGTTCTGAATTGCAGTAGGCTGCACAAAGAGACTCTTTGCTGAGGTGCTGATTAATGCCTTTGGAGCTTCCATGCAATCTAGCTGAGCCACGAGTCAGACAGGAACCCTCAACACTACAGCAAGTGTTTTGATGGGACAGCCCAAGCATTTGCATCAGGCTGCCATACGGATGCCCTCCTGTATAATGGCAAATACACCACTTCAGTTGTTGAAGATCTAGAAAAATAGAAACAAGGTTGTTGGTCATGTATAGCTGCTACTTCCTATGATTAGCTGTGGCCAGTCCGTAAACTTAGATTTCAGATGCTTAATGTCTGAGAAGCAGAAAACCTCACATACGGATGCTAATGTTTCTTTTCTTCTGTCATGTGGGCAGGCACGGTGCCAGAATTTCTGTGTTTTTACTACATATTTGAGGTGATACTATGATTCTTGTAGGTCTTTTGTACATGTCGTTTGAAAACATAACAGTTGTAAACTTAGAAAATACGATTTCCTGACCTTAGGGCCCCTCCCTTCTCCTTTTTCTTATAACTGCATTAATTTTATTATGAAATTATTGTATACAGTTGTGTACTAGTGTCAATAAAATTGACATTTGTGTAACAAGCTCTGGCTTTCTCTCAGATTTTCCTGAGCATCTGCATAGCCTGGAATTGTGGGTAAATTTATTTCATTGAGGCATATATATATATATATATCTACAGGCAAGTATCCCATTTGCTCTGCATAATTTGCTTTGGTGCTGATAAAGATGATGAGATAAATATGAAACTTGCTAGTGCAGCTCAAAAATCTATATACTATTTAGGTCCTGCTGAAAAACGAATTGATCATAATCTCTCTGAATTTTTGACGCTGTGCTGTATTTTACTGGGGCTTCCAAGATAAATTTCAGATGAAACTTCTTGATATGTTTGTAATAAAGAGCCTATTATTTGTGCGTGAACATGATGGGTATTGTTAGCTGTACTAGCTGACAGCTTATTTGTTTCCCTAAATTAAGATGCTTTTGTAAAGCATGAAGGAAGATTAATGGGTTGCAGAAATATGTGGTTGGAAATATATAGTGAATGTGAGCTTGATGACTACTTTATGTCAAAAAGAAATGGTAGGCTTCATCCAAGAAAGGAGGACACCATTTAAAGCCCTTTCGGGCCATTGACTTTCACGTAGCCACCAAAGTGTGCAATTGTCCATTTTCACGCTTTTTTGTACACTTTTCTTAGGCTTAACAACAGCGAACATTTTGAAGTGGTCCTTCCACATGCTTTTTAAAAAATAACATCTATTGTATCAATGTAATGCTAGCATTTCAACCCCAAAACAGTCAGAGGAGCGTGGAATAACTTGACAAGGTACACTGTACATATTTATGTTGTACGTAGCAAGAGGGCTTGAGTAGTTTGCTCCCTTTGTTCTAGATGTGACATTGACATAGAAAATCACTTTCCTCCTCTAGATTCTGCTTTTTCTAATGCTTATTCTGTTAGCACCCTGTGAAATAATTTTAATCAGTTGCATTTCTGGAGTTTAAGTTTGTAGGAGGGTGAATAAAACGCCAGTTAACTATAGGGTAATTCTCTCTGTTTCTACATTTATTATGTAGTAAAACTAATAGTAGAGCACAGAGAAAATTTACAGCTTTGACGATGTCCTCTTTGGACAGTATTACTCTCTCCCACACAACTTGACTGCTTCTTAAACATATCATATTTTTTTTCTGATTACAGGATTTCCCCAACTGAATCCCACCCCTATCCCCATTCGTTTCTATTTGGATTAAGTGATGAGGAAGACAATGAATTTTCAAATAAAAATGTGGGGAGAGGATAGAGCAGGACACTTTGCTTGTATCTCTATGGGGGTTGGAGTTCAGTGAGAAAAATGTCTGTTTCTTTGGGTGCTGCTAATTGGGTAGTAGTACTAATGGATGATAAAAACCATACGTTTTGAATTTATCGTGAAAGCTGCAAGCTTTACCCTTTTTTTGAGCTGGCTGCAGATTGGACAGTTTTATTGCCTTCTGGAGCTAAGACCAAGGTCCTTTGACCGTTTGGCCCAATTCAAAGTTATGAAGATGAGCAGGTCTTAACCTCCTATTCATGTTCTCCCCCATTTGTGTGCAAGACGAGGAGGTTTAAAACTTCCCGTCATGGCTTTGAACAAAATGCAGTTTCCTCTTGTGCCTGGATGCAGGAAACGGTGACTGGTTTTAACCACGGTTAATTGGTTAATCCGGGATCTGAAACCATGATTTGATCCCGGTTTGCTTCAACTAACTTGAAAAAGCCAGTTCCTATAGTCAGATATAGTGGGAAGCTGGTTTGCTTAAAACTAAAAACAGAAGCTTGAAAACTTCTTCCTTTTGTTCATGAAGGGGGAGATGGAGCAACAATAGTTTATTGTGGCATCTGAAATGTGTGAGTGGAATAAGATCTAACAACAGAAGCTCATACATCCCACAAAGCTGCCTCTCTAAAGCTGTTCTAACTTGATTCACCACATGCTAGGAAAGAAGCAGATGCTAAAGCAAGGCTACATTCTTCTTTCTTCACTGCTGTAATACAATGTGAATCTTACTCAAGTCCGTTCTCCATAAGCACTAAATAGGCAGATTAGCTCTTCACATAACTAGTAGCTCGATTTAACTAGCTGGAACCATCTCATTTACATAGGCTGAGGTTCTTGGCTATAATTCTCATATATGCTAAAAAGTAATATTTCTAAATTATTCTGAATTTTACTCTGTTGTTCCTTCAGCAGGCTCTCTCACGGGCAGCCCCCACCTTTCAGAACTGTCCATCAATTCCCAAGGCGGACCAGCTATGACAAATGCAACATTGTCTCCTAATTTGAGTCCTGATAACAGGCAAGCTTCTCCATTAGTCAGTCCTCTGATGAATGACCAAACTGGTGTCCGCACTGATGATGAAGAGGAAGTCAGGAGGAAGGTACTTGATGCTCTTACCATTTTGGTTACGATATCTGGCATGTCTAAAACACATAGGATTATAACTGCATTTATTATTCTATCAGATTCAGTCCAACCAACCTCCATTTTTTATACAAGGAACTAGCATATGCTTAACAGAGCATAAGTGTCTGCTACTGATTTTTTTTTAACACTTAACAGATCTAAAGGGCCCAAGCAGTGATCTTTCAAAGTCACTGGGCTGCTGGGAAGCGAGCCTTTGATTTGCGGCATGGAGAGACGGCATTTCCTTTCCACAAATGACTTCTCTTTCCTTTTTTAACTTAAAAAAAACCCTGAAAAATAAATTCCTGTTACCACAAAGTAGGTGATGCAATGAATTTGTGTGGTCAAATTGATACAGTGATTCACAAGTATAGGAGGCCACATCTACCACAAATATTGTCCACCTACCTCTGATGTTGAACTACACCATCAGCAGATTCATGTGGTTGAGCTCTTGGTGCACTGTATCAGTCAGACCAAGGATGTCTGCTCGTATTTGAATGCTTCCCCATAGATGCAAAGAAAAGCTTTCTGTACATATTAGGGAACAGGGTTCCTATCTTCTCCCACGCACCCCAAATCCCTTGGATTCAATGCCTTTCTCTTCCTATTACCACCTCACTAGGTCCCCTTTGCCTGATGCTGCTTTACACCCACACCGATAACATCCAACTCCCTGCTCTCCTGTATTTCTTTCTGCTCTTGCTCTCGGTCGCAGGGCACGATTAGGCAGCTCTTAGCCTTGACTGTTCTAATGGAGCACACAGCAGGGTTCAGCTGCCTTCCTCGAGAAGGCAGGCACAGTGCGTGAAGAATGAAGTCAAAAGCCTGGAAGCTGATTTTCCATTCCACGTGTTGGGTGGTTGGCTGACTGTACAGCTGATTTGAGCTTTTTCCTTGCACTTTGTAGACAGTCAAATCATAATACATCCACGTTTGACAAGGCCCCTTTGACAACCATCACAATGAAGAAAACCTGGGCTGCAATCCTGCTTTGTGCTTACTAGAGAGCAAGTGCCAGTGAACTCTTGATTACTTCTGCGTAAGCTTGCTTAGAAATGCTCCAATGTTGGCTACAGGGTGTGCTTAGCACATCACTGATCGTTGGATGGAGGCAGAGCAATAAAAGTTGTTGCATTGCCTGGAAGAGTTTACGTCTTTAGGGTAAGGTAGCAGGACACCACACCATTAGTTGAATGCAATTTCTTTATATCAGAGCTTTCCTTTGCCATTTGTGAATCACGAAATTCATTAGGTTTCTCGGAGGTATGACGTGTACTTCTTGCCTTGTTTGGAATATGGATATGAAGTCATTCTTGGTCAGTTACTGCATGGAGTGCTAACTGTCCTGCATGCAAACAGTTCTTGCCCATATTTACATACATGGAGGACGCAGTATATGCCCCCTATTGTATCCTAATACTGAAAATACTATGTACATATAAGCCAAAAACAAATCTTGATCAATTCCTGATTGCTTCTCTCCTCCCCTCCCCTGGGTCACTCCTTCGTACAGAAAGAGAAAGCACATAGAGATATATTTTTTGCTTTTCCACAGGGTTCAGACAAATGTCACATCCAGGAGAATTTAAATGGATCTTCTGACATTTGCATGATTTTATATGGTACCCCCCCCCAAAAAAAATCCCCAAAATTCCATCAGAAAACTCTATCAGAACAAAGCTTGCAGTGGCAGACTGCACAGTAAAAACCACAGCTCCAGTGCTTTTCAGCGCCACAAAAATGACTCAGGGCACAGATCCTCATGGATCTTTGGATCTTCTTGATTCTTTTTTTTTTACATAGGATGACAACATATCCAGGAAATAACAGGAGGCATGCATGGGCGTGGGAGTTTATTACTATTTCGTGGTGGTTTTGAGAGGGTCCTTTGAAAAATCATGTTCTCACAAATCCTGCGTTGGAAGCCCCATGACCATAAAAAGTTCTCCCCAAATCTTTAGTTAACATTTCATATTTCTCCAACATTTCTCCAGTGAAAATAGGGACATCCTAGGGAAAAGTGGGACATTCAGAGATCAAATAAGAAACCGAGATGGCTTCTCTAAATCAGGGATATCCTTGGAAAATAGGGACACTTGGGGGTTCTGCAGCCGCTGTGTCCAGTTGTTTAAACTTGTTAACGTTTTTGTGGTGTACTATGATTTACTGTATATTTTGTCGTACAGCACCTTGATTTTTTGTATGAGAGAGCAGTCTAAAACCATTTTTAATAAATACATAGCAGCTAAAAAAGTTTCATATTTCTGAAAATATACAGTGATACCTCAGGTTAAGAACTTAATTCGTTCTGGTGGTCTGTTCTTAACCTGAAACTGTTCTTAACTTGAAGCACCACTTTAGCTAATGGGGCCTCCTGCTGCCGCTGCACCGCTGCTGCACGATTTCTGTTCTCATCCTGAAGCAAAGTTCTTAACCAGAGGTAATATTTCTGGGTTAGTGGAGTCTGTAACCTGAAGCATATGTAACCTGAAGTGTATGTAACCCGAGGTACCACTGTATCACATTGGGCAAGGTTTTTCCAAAATTCTCTGAATTATAATTCTCTAAATTATAGTGGACCCACTCCTTCCGTATTATTTTTCTTCGATTTGTGAACTTACTCTTTGGGTAAAGACCAAAACCTCTGTTTCTTTCTTTCTGTTTTCAGAGGTTTCCAACTGACAAAGCATACTTCATTGCTAAAGAAGTTTCCACCACAGAACGAACTTACCTGAAAGACCTTGAAGTTATCACGTCGGTATGTCTGCTTTTGCATTACACACACAACCATGAGCTTTTCTGGACAAAACTTAACTTAAGGGATTCTAGGCAGCTGTGCCTTCCCTCCCTTGCAACCTTCTTCTTGTGGTAGGGGGGGAAATACCAAAAATTAATTGATATATTTTGCTCAATACCTTCTCCCTACCGGATAGGGAATATGTGAGGCAATGGCCGGCTCCTGATCTCCCCCACTTTGAGTGGCCTCTCCTCATCAAGTCACTTTTCTCATCCAATGAGTGACCAAGAATTTCTATGCAGCAAGCCAATCAGAAGTGAAATTTTACAATCCTTTAACACAGTAAAAAGAACCCAGCTTTTCTTGGCCACCAACATATACATGCTATTTTAAACTTAACCCCTTCATATAACGCCGCCACCCCCAACACAGCAAACTCTTAAACATTTTATACATTCTCAATGAAACACATTCTAGAAGCTAATTTACTTTGTTTATAAGGCGTGCTGTGTCTATTTCTCTGTTATATATAGCACCCTTTGGCTGACCCAAGATGCAAATTTGTGATCTGATATTGCTGGGGAGGGGACGCGGGTGGTGCTGTGGGTTAAACCACAGAGCCTAGGGCTTGCCGATCAGAAGGTTGGCAGTTCAAATCCCTGTGACGGGGTGAGCTCCCGTTGCTCGGTCCCTGCTCCTGCCAACCTAGCAGTTCGAAAGCACGTCAAAGTGCAAGTAGATAAATAGGTACCACTCCGGCGGGAAGGTAAATGGCATTTCCGTGCACTGCTCTGGTTCACCAGAAGCGGCTTAGTCATGCTGGCCACATGACCCGGAAGCTGTACGCCGGCTCACTCAGCCAATAAAGCGAGATGAGCGCCGCAACCCCAGAGTCGGTCACAACTGGACCTAATGGTCAGGGGTCCCTTTACCTTTACCTTTATTGCTGGGGAGAGTCATTCACCAAGCAGAACCTATGCTCTTTTAGCCCCATGGAAAGGCTATGCTACTCAACAGACTTGGCCCCAAAGGTGACCTGCCTTATTGCTTTTCTTGGTCTTTGTAGTGGTTCCAGAGCACAGTTAGCAAGGAAGACTGCATGCCAGAAGCACTGAAGAATCTCATCTTTTCCAACTTTGAACCTTTGCACAAATTCCACACCAACTTTTTAAAGGAAATAGAGCAGCGGCTTGCCCTGTGGTAAGCAGTTTTGTTTGTTTTTTTATTAACGTTCCTTTTCCGTGCTACATAGGTTCATGTTCTGTTATGCCTTCCTTCACGTCAGAATGGGTTGGCTGTCAGTTCCAGCAAGAAGAGTGTTACAAATCTTCGGGTGCACCTAGACGTGATGCAGGAGATCCTTGATTGCATAAAAAGATTAATAAAGGGGGAGGGGCACTGACTGGATTTATACCAAAGCAGTGGGATCTAACCCTTTTGTCCTGTTCTGTTTTACAGTTCCAAATTCCCTCACACTTTAAATGTACAAATATATGAATAAAATCGGAAGGTTTTCCTCCACATGGCAAAAAGCAAACCAGATCATAGGGTGGAGAATCAATCTTTGAGTGAGAATACAGCATGTGTAAGAAAGGATTAAGCTCTGCACTGTCAGGATCATTGTCCCAATCTGATCTCCTCCAACCCAAAGCTGCTGTTAATTTTCTTATTCCCTGTAGGAGATCTTTATCAGATATCCTGCACTGCTTCTGTTTGTACCTTTAGATGTTGTATTCTAACCTATTCAGTTAAAAGAACTTATCCACTTGTTTGCCTAAATATACCCTTTTCTCATTCATCTTTTGCAAGTTTGCTTTGCCTGTGGAGTGGAATAGGGGCATAAATGGTTATGATCTGATTCTGCTGAATTGGGTCTCCTTGCCCAAACTATTTTCTATCAGAGGGCAATGCTGTGCTCAGCTTCTCAAATATCTTGCTGTAACTGACACCCCGTTATAGTTTCAGTTCACCAGATGCTTCTACCTCTGTCCATCTCTTACTTCCCCCCCCCCCCCCAGGCCTGATCTACCAGTTCATCAGAATGAAATGTAGACTGCTGGGAGGCCATATTTTTAGTGCTCCCCTGTTCTTAAAATATTCTGGGGTTCCAAGCCCTTTGAAAATCCAGATTGGGGGAGAATATCGTGGATATGTGAGTTAATGTCATGTGAATGGTTTGGTGTAGGACAGCTGTAGAAAAGCCTTTGTTTCCCCTCCATCTTTTAACACACTCCACCCCAGTTGTGATACAGGTATATTACAAAGCTGGATCGCCTTGATTTGTTCAAGTTTTGTCTTTCTATCTGGTACAGATGCATGGTAGCAAAACTTAATGTTATGTTTTATTTTCTCTCTCTTGTGTGATGTTTCCCAGGAGTAAAATAATGAGATCCAAGCATTAGAAGATTGTAGTGCTAAAGCTTTTGTCTCACTGAAATTAGTAGAACCACCTAGAACAAGCTGCAAAGCTTTATAAAATAATAACATAGAACATCAATCATGGCTGAAAACATTCATTTGTTTGATAAATCAGTAAAATTGGTTCGTCTAGATCATAAAATGTGGGCTGCTGAGTTCAAAGCCCCTTAAATGATTTCCACAACTGATTTTGTTGAACCTGTACATCTCTTAATTCAGTCAAATTTATTTTACAAATATATGATAGTGACCTGCATGCCAAAACTGTTACCTACATTGCGTAAAGGTAAAGGGATGCCTGACCATTAGGTCCAGTCGTGACCGACTCTGGGGTTGCGGCACTCATCTCGCTTTATTGGCCAAGGGAGCCAGTGTACAGCTTCCAGGTCATGTGGCCAGCACGACTAAGCCGCTTCTGGCGAACCAGAGCAGCACACAGAAATGCCGTTTACCTTCCCGCCGGAGCAGTTCCTATTTATGTACTTGCACTTTGAGGTGCTTTCGAACTGCTAGGTTGGCAGGAGCAGGGACCGAGCAACGGAAGCTCACCCCGTCGCGGGGATTCGAACCGCGACCTTCTGATCGGCAAGTCCTAGGCTCTGTGGTTTAACCCACAGCGCCACCCGCGTCCCTCATTGCATAGTAGCCTTTAAAAGGTACTGTTATTTTAATTACTTGTTTATTGTATTGGATGAAAGCAAGACAGTTAATCAGCCAGCGGGGCAGAGGGACACACCTGTTAGCTTTAGGAGAAATAAAATAACACTTAGTCAGAGAGACATGCCACTTGAAAGAAATGTTCATCAAAGGAGACGTTTCTTTGCTGGCAGAAATCTAATCAATGATCTGAGCATGTTCAGAATTCTATCATTTTTCGTAACCTTTATTCTTTTGCCTCTGGTATCGCTGTGCAATAGGAGAAGCTGGTTGACCTCATTTCGGAAGTGAATTGTAATATGAGGGAACTGTAATCGTGCAATCAGACCTGACGAGCGCTAATCAATTTAATTTTGCTTTAATCAGTCACTCGAAACAAAAGCAAAACAAAGGATTGGAGAAGTCTAGTATTTATGGAAGCAAAACATTAGGATGCCGAACACAAGTGTTTAAGTCTGTAGATGTTCTCCTTGGGGAATATTTCTCCTAAACATTCCTCCTCCAGAACAATGCTGTAAAGGATACTTCCCCTTGTTTCTGAATTAATGCTTTTGCAGCACCACAGAAAGCTAAGCAGCAAACAAAGGATTTGCTCTCTCCTCTATCATGAATTCTGTTGAGAATGTGTTTAGATTATGTCTCAACTCCCATCCCCATTGTACCCAAGGGAAGATCAGATGTGACCCTGCCTTCCTTAGTCCCCTCACAGCAAGTAGGTGAGCAACCAAATCAGTTGTTTGCTTATTGGATGTTGTGACAGAAAGGGAATTGTATTCAGAACAAGGTCCGCAGCTCAAGAATTGTATGTGTGGTACTCATAGGATCTCCCAGGATCATATATTTCAACTTGCATCATTGCAGTAGGATTCAAGCTTTCTAGATTTAAAATGCATCTCTTTGCCGATCTCCAAAATTTGCCTGCATTCTTGTCTGTGCCCCGTCAGATGGGTGGGGTAATAGTAATAATAATCATCATCATCATCTCCAAAGTGACATAAGCAAGTAAAGCTCTTTTTTTTTTATGTCATAGTCTACTTTGTCAGTAGACCAAAAAATGCTGTCAACTTTACTCAGTCAAGCCCCTTTGCAAGTTAGACAGCTTTTTGTAAATATCCAGTGACAAAAAGTGGCAGGTAAGGCGATGAATTTTACTTCAACAACCTCGGCAAAATATTTATTCAATATATTACTGAAAGAAAGTTATTTCACAGAGAAGACACCTAATGCCTCACACGCCATTTCTATAGCAAAGGTGTCCATTTTCTGCAAAAAAAAAATAAAAAATTGATTTCATAACAGGAGTAGGCTAAACTTAATAAAATTTATGAATGTGTGCCTGATTGCGTTGGTTGTACTAATGTGTAATTTCATTTAGAGGTGGATTGTTTATCAGTGAGTTAGCCCTCATAATCCACAAAGGATTTCCCAAGTATTAGGAAAGGAGAGCTACTGATAGATGAGGGTTTGCGATTTAGATTAGCCGTAGCCATATGTCTTACACTACAGCGATATAAAGGAGGACCCTGTTGTTATCATACTTCTCTGAGGCTGATTCCGCTGAGACCTGGATGGATTCCATTGCAAGAATGTGGAGTACAGTTTGGTCTATTCAGCAGTCCCAGACAGCAACCCTCGATAGATCCCACCAACTTCTGCAGTCTTTAGTACGGTGTAATAAATACCTATCCAGAAATGATATTTTGCTGTTACATAGTCTCAAGTGAAAATTCAAAACTAGGGCAATGGCGGGTAGATAAAAACTGTCTCCGAAGCAAGGTTTTTTGACGTGTTCGTTTGACAGATGTGATCCATTTGCCAGGCATCTATTTGTAAACCTTCCAAAAGCACAACGTACAGCATGGTGTCACAGCTTTGCTGAAAGGCCCACAAAGTAACAAAAGCTATATTTAAACCTCCCACCATAGCTGTCAAGTACCCCCAAGCATAGTTTGAAATTGTGTTCCATTTAAACGTTGTCTTCCTTGGAGATTGTCGGGGTCTGACGATGAAAAGCAAGGCAAGCTGCTTAGCAGACCACTTTTCCATAATTTCCCATTTCCCCTCTAGAATATGTAGCCAGGTGACTTCTTACCTGTCAGTACCACCTTGTATGAAAAGTGTGCAGCCTAGAATGTTGTCATTTACAGTATGCAGGGATAGGATTATGTAGAAGGTGCCCCACTAGGTTAGGCACATGAGCTTGTGTGGAAAGAGTATTCTGGAGGTAGAATTTCAGGAAACCATGGCCCTAACTATCCACTGCTTTATGACCAGACCCTGACCCCAATGAAGCACAGAAAGCACTTGCATTAATTTTTTCTTTCTAAAACCATTACTCTGTCTTCTATCCCTTCTGTCTCAGGCAAAGATGATGATGGTGATGATGATAATGATTTATTTATATCCCACCCATCTGGCAGGGTTTCCCCCCAGCCTCCAACAGAATATTAAAATACAATTATCTATTAAACATTAAAAGCTTCCCTAAACAGGGCTGCCTTCAGATGTCTTCTAAAGTCTGGTAGTTGTTTTCCTCTTTGACATCTGGTGGGAGGGCGTTCCACAGGGCGGGTGCCACTACCAAGAAGGCCCTCTGTCTGGTTCCCTGTAACTTGGCTTCTCGCAGCGAGGGAACCGCCAGAAGGCCCTCTGAGCTGGACCTCAGTGAACGATGGGGGTGGAGATGCTCCTTCAGGTATACTGGGCTGAGGCCGTTTAGGGCTTTAAAGGTCAGCACCAATACTTTGAATTGTGCTCGGAAACGTACTATTACCCATGAGATTCTTTCAACATGGCGGGTTGTAGCCAACATTGCACAAGCAGAAGGTAGCTCATGCAACCAGTAGTCCAACGCTTCTGCAACTCTCAATACCCTCTCCTAGAAAACTTATTCGGATGACCAAGGCAGCAGCAGATGGGTAGAGCCTACTGAACATTCTGAACTATCTTTTTGGGGGCAGAAATCACCTGAAATAAGGAATCATGTGACAATAGTACAAGATTCCTCTGCCTGATTTTAGGCACACAGACCCCCAAATTTCCACACCATATGCCACATCCCAGAATGTTCTGTAGCCCCCTCCCAGATGGTCCAATGTTCAGAGGGTTGGAGGATATCAGTAGTATGGGAAAGGAAAGAGAGGCTGCTCAAATTGTTTCCTCCATGTGCAACACTGGCTGGAACCCAGAGATTGGATTTGGAGATTGGAGTTTGATGCGAAGGATAAAACGTTATTCCTGAGTTATGCACACTTTTTCTATGGCGGCACCTACAGGTTTGCAGCTCCAGGTTTACAGATTCCTCCTCTTCTACTGTTGGTATTAAGCCTCACCAATCTGATAGCCAAATCATCTCATCAATTTCTTAAATCCCTCTAGATCTTTAATGTAGACAATATATTTAAACCTCTGAGCAGGAGATCGATTACGAGAAGGGATTCAGCTCTAAGGTCAAAGAAGCCCTTTTTAAAAAGGGAGGTGGAATGGTGCCAGAAGGAGCTAATGGTTTTTATAAGATTATTCCCCACTGTGTGATTCTAGCTAATCCTGATTTATTAAAAACAGAGGCAATAAGAGGCAGATCTGGTGACTTATCAGAATCGGCTAACCGTTTAAGGAACCTTTTCCCTACCTATTGTGAGTAATTTGGAAATGTTTTTCTTTCGCTATTCCATCCCTGTTAAACCTTTCCCTCCCCCATTGTGCCCTTGAGCAGATAGACAGATTAATAAATATCTCAGATGGTAGCCTTACTCTCCCAATTGATCACTGATCTTTAATGAATTATTCCCTTTATTGGCATCTGTAATTTTCTTCATCAGTAGTCAAAGAAGAAAAAACTGAAATGAAATGTACTCTAATGTACTCCTTAATCATTGGCATAGTACATATCTAGAAAACCTGGAGTTTAGTAGCGTTACTCAGGAGAGTAAATTCTATTTGGTGGCGATCAAACAGAAACGAAATCAGTTTTCCTTTACAATGCCTTTACACATTGCTTGCTGGGCATGAGCCAAATGTGATAAGTAGTATTGAGCTGAATAGCAGAAATAATAAGAGTTTGCACCCCTTTTTATATTTTGTAAAGGAATAAAAATGAAACGCTTTCTACTAAGCTTTTTTGAAACAAAAACAAAAAAAATTAGCTGAGACCAAGAGGCTTGTTTCTTTATTTAATGCCACTTTTTTTCTGCCACAAAATAGATAAGTTGTAAAGATTTGAACTGCTATGTTTTCTTTGTCTAATGCTTCAGTTTACAAATAGTCTTGCAGAAATATAAGTGTATTATACTGAGCATACTCAGCTGTATGGCATATTAACCTAAGATTTCACCAATCGTCTGCCTGACAACTCAAGTGAATATGCCTTGGAAATAATGTAGTTGGCAGAGCTGGAGCTTGTAGTAGGACTTGTCTGGGAGTTTCCTGACCCTCTTGCGCGGATTTTAGGGAGTAGACCAGTGGAAGCACTGGTACTGCTCCCTAGCACACTGGGTTAGTTGAATCCGGGCCTTAGTCACTCTCATTTTCACAATGATAACCCATTCATTTGCTTCCACTTTTAGAGGTTTATTCTCTACCTGTAATGGCAACAGGGGTTGTCTGTGTTGAGCAGGTATTCCGTGTAGTGTTGTGTCTGTGGTGGGGAAAATTAACCTCTTGCACCAGACATATTTTTTCCGCCAGCCCTATATTTGTGCAAAGTGAGTTAAACCCTTCCTTAGAATGAGTTGATTTGTAGGGTTGCCTGTGCCCAAAAGGGATAGGGGTAGTCACCCTATGAATATATTTTCCAAATCAGTGGAGCCAAATCGATACTAAGGCTTTCTTCTGTTAGGAATATTTCTTCTTTCTTTCAGATTTAATTAGCCAGAAGCACAAGTTAGGAATTGTTTCTGCAGCAGGGCACCCTGCCCGTTCTATAGTAGTGGGGATGCAGAAAGCATAATTTGCTAAGACTTCCTCTCTTGGCATTTTTAAGGAATGTTCAAAGGAGGCCTCAGACAGGCATTTCGGCTCATGGACATAGAATTGTTTGAGATGGTGAATGATTTCAGTATGGGCTTAAAGCTGTTTGTAAGAAAGAACAATATGATCTTATCCTGGAAGCCATAGTCTTGTTTCATATGCACCCTTTTTCTGTTTTTTATCTAACGTCACACTTCTTTTGTTGTGCATTCAAATATCCGTTACTTTCGTTGTGCATTCCTAGGTAATAGAAACTCTTTAGTCGTTCTATAATACCAAGTAAGTAGGCCACTGGGAAACCTCTCTGGAGACAGCGCTTGCAAACTGTTGTTTATTGTGTTCTGGCAAGCTGTACTAGTCCAGGGGAATGTGTTAACCCCAAACTCATAACAATTTATAGGTCTGTCTTGGGAGGTTTTGACTGAAAGCAAGGTCAGTAACAAACTGCAGTTTTGTTTCTCTGGCCTGTGATTTAAATTTTATGTTTCGCATGAGGAAATCCTCTGCGTTAAGATTTATCCTAGATTATTTTTTATTTTTTTGCACAGCGAGTTCTTTATTCTAATGTAATAGTTTTCCCAGGCAGGCTAAAACACCGCAGGGGGGTTTACTAGTTTTTATCCATTGCGCTGAACAATAAGCTGACTGAAAATAATGAGGCAAGTAAAATATGTAGAGTGATTTTTATCTCCTTGCAGTTTCTGCAAATAAGCCTTGCTAGTTGCTTTCAGCATATACAGTATAACCTGTACGTCATATTAGTCTCACCAGCTGTAGAAAGCCAGATTGTTCCTTCCATTTTTACTGTGCATGTCCAAGCAAGTGTGTGTATATAGGGATAGGACATACTTCTGAGTAGTCATACACAGAACAGAACTAGTAAAATTGAATTTGCACATAAGAAATCCCACTTTTGGCATGAATGAATTTTTTAAAAAGGAGGTCGTGAATACATTACCTCCTAGCATTCTGTCCCTCTCTAAAAAGGCTGTTTGTGATTGATTTCTAAGGCCATGGCTCATTACTTAACCTAGGCTGGATGTGGTCTGTTTCGTCTTCATTAGAGTCTGAAATAAGAAGACAAAGCTTGACCTCCAGGGGCTTCTTGTCTTAACATTTTAATATACAAAGACTCGGCTGTGTTCCCCTTAATCCAAAGGCTGCATTAAGGAAGTTCACAGTGGGGGCGTGGAATTCCCCTGTCCCATTGTCCTCTCAGCAGTCACCAGTGCCCCTTTCCACGTTGTTCAGGGATCATAGAATTGTAGAGTTGGAAGGGATCCTGAGGGTCATCTAGTCCAACCCCCTGCAATGCAGGAATCTCAACCAAAGCATCCATGGCAGATGGCCATCCAACCTCTGCTTAAAAAACCATTGGTTCACATCCTAGCCCTCCGGAGTAGGAGACAAGGAGCTTGCTCCATCTTCCATGAGACCTACCTTTAGATATTTGAAGATATCTTATCTCCTCTCAGCTTCCTCTTGTCCAGGCTAAACTCCCTCATAAGGCTTGGTTTCCAGACTCTTGATCATTTTGATCACCCTTCTCTGCACACATTCCAGCTTGTCAATAACCTTTTTAAATTGTGGTGCCCAGAACTGGACGCTGGATTCCAGGTGTGGTCTGACCAAGGCAGAATAGAGCAGTACTATTACTTCTCTTGATTGGGGCACTATACTTCTGTTGATACAGCCTAGAAGAACATTAACTCTTCTTTGCTGCTGCATCACACTGATGACTCATGTTAAGCCTGTGGTCTACTAAGACCCCTAGGTCCTTTTCACATGTACTACTTGCAAGCCGGGTGTCCCCCATCTTATATCTGTGCAGCTGATTCTTCCTGCCACAGTGTTACATGCCAATGTGTTGTTGTTCATCTGAGGTTGTATTCACCTAATTTTAAAGACCTGCTAAGGAACAGATTGTTGTTGTTATGTCCTCATACGTTAAACCATAGAAATCAAAGAAAATGTACTTCCTTTCCCCCCATGACTGTATATAGTAAGCAAATAAATAATAAACTCAGTTGGACTTGTGTATGAGTAGACATGTGCAAGACTGTGATGCAAGTTAACTTCTTTTGGAGTTAACTATACTCACCAAAAGCATCAGTAACCTGGAATAAGCATTTCTCACTTTAACTATCAGGTACACTTTGTGCTCTCGTTTCAGAGCATGTTAAAGTCATAATACGGGGGTACTTAGAACGCTTTTACCTGGGTGCTGGATACCACGTTATCTCAGTAATCCTTAGTAAAGGTAAAGGGACCCCTGACCATTAGTTCCAGTCGTGGCTGACTCTGAGGTTGCGGCGCTCATCTCGCTTTATTGGCCGAGGGAGCCGGCGTACAGCTTCCGGGTCATGTGGCCAGCATGACTAAGCCACTTCTGGTGAACCAGAGCAGCGCACAGAAACACCGTTTACCTTCCCGCTGGAGCGGTACCTATTTATCTACTTGCACTTTGAGGTGCTTTCGAACTGCTAGGTTGGCAGGAGCAGGGACCGAGCAACGGGAGCTCACCCCGTGGCGGAGATTCGAACCACCGACCTTCCGATCGCCAAGTCCTAGGCTCTGGGGTTTAGCCCACAGTGCCACCCATGTCCCCCCCCCCCAAAAAAATAATCCTGTAAAATAAACTCGGAAGAGTGGTCTTGAAGGCATCAAAGCTAAAATGTCTGGCTCTTGGTGCCAATTGAATGAGAGGCCAGCTGGGCACCATGTGTGGAAGTAACTCTGAGTGCCTTGGAGGAACAGCTGGGTGTCAGCGCAAGAAATAGTAACAGTAAGCTAGTATTCTTTCTGCAGATGCCCAGCCACTATATTTCATCTTGCTTATTGTATCTCAGAGGCCCATTTGATGAAGATTGGTTTTTGAAATCTGAGTTGATTAAAGAAGGTAGTTAAAAGAATCCCTAGGTTGTAAAAACAATTATTGGGTTTTTGTCATCTTTGATCCCCTCTGCTTCATCTGTCTTCTTCCTGTGTTTGGAGATCAGTTTTCTTGTAAAGATGGTGCGGATTCCTTATGGCTTCCTATCGACTCTAGCAACAAGTGGTGATCAGATGTTTTGCCTTGGGCTTTACCCTTTTTCTGTTCTGGTCTCCATTTTCATGTCAGGACAAGAGCGATATTCCCTTACCAGGAAAAATGCCATAATTCAGTCATTCTGCATGTTATTTCAGGATTGCCTTCTGTTTTGAGGGGGCTATGTGTAAATCCTCCACATTTTGTTTTTCCTTATTGTAGTTTGGAACGCATGACCCTTTTGAGCCATTGTTTGAACTAATGCAACCTTTGGGTATAGTCTTGCACTCAAGGAGACCAAGGGGCAGAATTACTTCAGCATGTCAGCATCCAACAATTTGTCCTTCCCTCTGACCTCAGCAGGCAGCCTACTTGCACTCAGAGTAAAACTAGGAAATTGATTCAGTCGCAGCAAAGGTATGTAGTGTTAAAATGACCTTTGCTGCAACTGAATGGTCACATCATCATTATTATATGTATATCTGCTCAGAGCTTTCCCCAAAATCTGAATTCTCCTTATATTCAAAGCTTAATTTCTGGCTAAGCTTTATGTTGATTTCTACAGGACCAGCTTAAGATTTTCTTTTTCCTTAGCAAAAAGAAAAGTCAATACAGGTATTTATTCTTTACTGCTCTCCCAGGGTAATAATATTAGCATTGAATATTGAGATGCCGATAAGTGGAGAGTGGAATTATTGCTGTAAAGCATAGCTTCTAGTATTCACAGGCAAATTGCTATATGTTGCTATATTTCTTATAGCATCATAATTTTTTGTTGGTTTTGGGTCCCGCTTTGGGGCCTTTTATACCACTTTTTGATAAAAATTAAATTTTACCTTCTTTTTTGGGAGGTGCAACACCATTTTATGCTTCTATTTGAGTAGAATATCATTTGGCAGAGTCAGGGATAATGTCCGTGGCAATAATGTTGGTAAAGAAAATAAAGGTGTATTCAACTAAGTATTGCTCATAGTAGACCCACCGGAATTGACAGGCATAATTTATTAATTTCAATGGGTCTTCTCTGTATAAAACTTAGCTGAATGCCACACATCGTTTTAAACATTTTTTTCTCACAAAATATGCTTTTCTAAATATATTTTCTGTCAGAACTGCATTTCATCTAAGAAATACATGCATTTTAATTAATCATAACACTTTTTTGAGCTAAAAACCTACCTCACAGAATTTGGGGAGGTGCTAATTCTGAAGGATAACCGTTTTGTTCAGATCTGCACATTCGTCTGGAAGGTGTGAACCGGATCATTATTAAAATCCCACTTATGGTGAAACAGAGTATGAGAGACTTATGAATGAACATATTCCAAAGTGACATGGATTAGAAAGAGACAGATCCACCCACCCCAAGGTCAGGCTAGCCTCTCCTGGCAATTGTGCACACTTCTGTAGGCAGCTCCACCTCATATGTTTATAAGTGGTCCTGAAGCAAATGCCAAGCTTGTGACATTCATTACATTTTAAAAAAGAAAATCATGCAATATTAATGTCTTTCTTGTAGCACAAACTGGACTTTCAGTGAGAAAATTTGTTTTTAGCTTTGTTCTGCATATTGAGGTCTGAGAGCATTTGACGATAAAGCTGGAAGATGCAGCAGTCTGGGGTATAATATAATGATAAAATGTAAGATACAGCAATCTGGCTTCACTGGTCCACTAATATGAAATAGTTTAGCATCTTCTTTTGGAAACTCTTTTTTAAAATTCTTGTTGGGCAGAGATAATTCAGTGGCTGATTCTCTCTGCGATATTTGTTTTTCCTCTTACGCTTCTCAAGCTAGAAAATAATACACAAGAGGCCTGTGTAATAAGGATGCTGAATGCAAATGCATGCTCACCCTGAAGAATTGTCTCAATAGCATTATTCTTTTTATCTTAAAACATTGTGGATTCAGGAGGCTTTGTCTGCTCCACAATCATAAGAACGTTTATTTGGAAAGTGGCCCTGTTGAAATGAGCAGGAACTAAATCGGGCTGGATCCGGAGAAGTACGCAGTTCTTTGCGCCCAAGGGAGCTTAGGGCCCACTGTTTATTGAACAGCAACCTCTCCCCACCCCCAATGCCACATGACAAACAACTTTGCTTCAGCTTTTTCAAATACTGAGTGAATGGAGAGTCTAAATATCTCCAGTGGAGAAGGACCAAATGTATTTTTATTTTTTTTAGTGCCTGAAAGTAAAGGCTTGCACAATATACTGTGATACACAAACTAAAGTCTGCACACTGATCTGGAGCTGTCAGGGTGCATTCCCATCAGTTTCATCTATAGAAGTTCAGACTAACTTCCAAGGTTTGTAGCAGTGCACCTCAAAGTAGAGCCAGGCTTTTAGGGATCCCTGGTGAGGTGGAATCCATAACTTTTTCTAGCTTAGATCCTGCCATACCACTTGCTGCCAACCACCAAACCCCATCCCTTGCTTTACTTATCGGCACGTGAGAACGGAAATTCCCCCTCTTTTCCTCTCTCCATTGTCCTAACATGATCTGTTGCACACCAGAGGTGATAGAACAGCAGCCTTTGGAAAGAGACCCAAGGGTCAGACTTCGGGGTTAGCGCCAACGGCAATGGCGGAGTTCCTCTGACCGAGAGGAACCCGCTCCGTGAAAATCGGGTCTTGCCGCCGCGGCAAAGGCGGAGACCCTCTAAAAATCCCAGGCGGAGGAAGCCTGGGAACGTGGGATTCGGCTGACACCAGGAGCGCCTCCCCTACTTGCAGGGAAACCCTTTTTCGGGGATCCGAAGCGACATGGGGTGAGTGGCGCGGTGTTTTGAATCAACCGCTACTTTTACGGAGTGAAGCCGCACAGCCGTTGCCGGAGAGCGCTGATTTTTTCCTGTGGACAATTGGACTCTAAACAAGTACCCATGAGTAGAACGGAAAATTGGATTAAGAATCATTTTAATTCGGCACTGAAGCGGGAAGGCTCTAAACAGGAAGTCCGCCTCCCGTTTTTGTAAATAAATTGAAGCAAAAACTTTGTAAGCTAAAGTCTGGAAAGTCGTATATAAAGGTCTAAATTTCCTTCAGTTATTACCACCCAAACCCCTCTTGGAAGCAGGAGAAAAGGGGGGGAATTTTTGACTGTTTAAGCCTGCAGGAGAGAGAGTAAAGAAAGATAAATTTCCACCGTCTCAAACCTGGGAACGGGGTGTCAGAGACAGAAATTTATGGGGAAGTTCATCGACTGTGAATGGAACGTCTTTTGACAGATAGTAAAAAAAGAGAAACAAATTGACTCCAATGTTGCTTCTTGCATTTAAAAGAAACAAAATATTTGAAAAATGAAAGTAATTTTCTTTTGTTGGTCCTGCTTTCAAAAGATGGATACAAATAGAAATTGTCTCCTCTAGAGGGAGCTTGTTAATTTGTTGCCGGAGTCGATCTGGGGATTTCACAGCTGTAAGATTAGGATCGTGAGACCAGACTTTGACCTTGAATAAAAATGTGTTTAGAAGAAGTTTTGGTGCTTGCTTTTTGCAAGACAAGCGCTTTGCTGGAGCAGATGCATGAGAAGATGGATTTGATGACTGTTGCAGTTAAAAACTTTGGACAAACGGCGAATACCCATATAGAAACCATTCAGGAACCAGCCCAGGAACTTGTTTTGACAGGGCAAGCGCAAGCGCAGAAGATAATGGAGGAGGTTGCTGTTGAACCTCAAGTAACACAAATGGCGAGATCCGAGGCCTTGCAGGAGCATAAGCCCCTGTTCTTGAAGTTTGAATTTGGAGTGGACCAGGGGGGGTCTGGGGTTGTGAGGGCTCTTAATTTTGGAAGGATTTTGAAATATGCTTTTAAATACTTCCTGGATTACAGTGTTGACTGTGGGGAATGGGACTGTGGGGAATGGGCTGATTTGCTGAGGGAAGATGGAGATGGAGATATTTTTGGATTGGAGTCCTCCCGAGACCTATCCCCCAATGAGAAAGGAAAGAAATTAAGAAAAAGATCAACAAAAGACAAAGTAAAGTGCAGGTATAAACAAGAAGAAGATCTGCAGAAGGGACATGGAAAAGACTTAAGAGCCTCGGACATAAGACCACCAGGTTGATGGACTAGATGGAATGGACAAGAAGGACTGACAAAATCCAAGACCAGGAAGAAGAGACGTTGGATGAAGATTGGAAGAAAGTTTTTAAAAAAAATTTATTTTGAGAATTAGTGTAAAATTAACAAGTATTAGGAAAATTGTTGGAATGAAACTATTTGGCTTTAGTAGAAATGATATAAGGAGTTATATACAAATAAGTATTAAGTTTTAAGGTTTTTTTTATGGTAAGATAAGGTTAAATAAATTAAGGTAAATTGAATGACAGAATATAGTGAAAGATGGAAAGGACTTCTTGAGTTAATTAAAAGGTTAGATTGTTAAGATAAATTATATAAAAAAATTGAGAAAGATGGAAAGAATTTGCTGAAACAATTATTTAAATTAGAATACAAAAAGGGAGGTGTGAGGAGGTCGATGAAACAAGTAAATTAAAGATATGGAACATTGGATGTGTGTTTTAATGTTATTGTTTTTTTCTTTTTTTTCTTGCTGTATTGTTGTATTGTTTTTTATGTATTGTAATGTATGTTTTGTCAGTGCTGTTTCGCTGCAAAGGAACATATCAGGGCAGTGGAGAAGGGTATTCTAGACCCTCCAAGGGTCTATCCTAGACCCTCGTGAGTCACCCTATTTTCCAGGGACCGTCCCCGATTTACAGAAGCCATCCCGGTTTCTGATTTGATCCCAGAATGTCCCGCTTCTCCTTAGGATGTCCCTGTTTTCATCAGAGAAATCTTGGAGGGTATGCAGTTATGTGGCTCCCAAACCAAGAAGACAAGTAACTACATAATATTTAGAAGACATCTAAAGGCATTCTTGTACAGTGGTACCTTGGGTTAAGAACTTAATTCGTTCCGGAGGTCCGTTTTTAACCTGAAACTCTTCTTAACCTGAAGCACCACTTTAGCTAATGGGGCCTCCTGCTGCGCCACCGGAGCACGATTTCTGTTCTCATCCTGAAGCAAAGTTCTTAACCCAAGGTACTATTTCTGGGTTAGCGGAGTCTGTAACCTGAAGCGTATGCAACCCGAGGTACCACTGTATAGGGAAGTTTTTTAATGTTTTGTTATGTTTTTATGTATGTTGTAAGCCACACAGAGTAGCTGAGGAACCCAGTCAGATGGGTGGGGTATAAATAAGAAAAAATATTATTATGGAAGAGAACATCCTTATTTTCATAGGAGTAATGTTGGAGGGTATGCTATCCCATTCACTCAAGAAGTAAAATGAATGGTTGCACTAGTCACTTGGATTGCCTTGGGGGGATTTATTAATTTGTTTTCTAGTTTGGCAGGGGGATCAAATTGATTCATTTCCAGATCAGTCCAAGGAGACAAGGGTTTCAATTAGCATCCTTTAAGTCTATCCCAGGATACTGTGGGCTGGAACTTTTGAATCGAGCATTACAAGTATTTGGCAAACGCGTGTGTCAGTTTTCCCGCTGTGTGGTAAATTTCCTTTCTGATACTATCCCAGCATTTCTTTTTCCACCCCCCTCCAGTTGTCGGTCCTTGTAGCTTTCAAAACAATGCATTTGCCCTTTTGTCTTCAAAACTTTGTAGGTTTGCAAAGTTCATGGCCTTGGCCCTGTCAGAAACGCAAGCTGTTGCAAAGGAAGAATGTACCTCGTGTGGGAATTAACAGCACATTAATAAGACTCCTAAATAGCAGCACAGAGCAATGTTGGGGGTTTTATTTTGTTTTTAATGTAGAAAATCCTTTTTCTCTTTGAGTGATGATACGGTTATAATGCTTGACTGACATGGGATAATTCTGTTGTTGGCAGGGAAGGCCGCTCTAATGCCCACTTGAAAGGAGATTACCAAAGAATTGGGGACGTTATGCTGAAGAACATCCAGAATATGAAGGTATGAATTATGCACAGCCTTAAACCCTAGTGTGGATCATATGGGACCAGTTTATGCATGCATGCACACACAGGCGTTCATGCAGCCTTGCTTGCTTGCTCTCTTTTTGAACAACAACATCACACAGTCCCTGCTGTATTTCCTGGAAAAACTTAATAGGTTCCCTTCTACAGTTATGTCTAGTTGGCTCAAGTAGACACGGCTAGTGTCGGTGTGAACAACCAGCCGTGGAAAAGATGGAACATACAGTGGATGCAGTACGGTCAATATACCGTATTTTTTGCTCTATAAGACTCACTTTTTCCCTCCTAAAAAGTAAGGGGAAATGTGTGTGCATCTTGTGGAGCAAATGCAGGCTGTGCAACTATCCCAGAAGCCAGAACAGCAAGAGGGATCGCTGCTTTCACTGTGCAGCGATCCCTCTTGCTGTTCTGGCTTCTGAGATTCAGAATATTTTTTTTCTTGTTTTCCTCCTCCAAAAACTACGTGCGTCTTGTGGTCTGGTGCGTCTTATAGAGCAAAAAATACGGTGATTATCTTAGACATAGACACATAGCAAAGTGATTGGAAGGCAAAAAGGGTTGAGTAGGAGAGGACATTTTGGTCTTCTTGGTGACAAATCAGACCCCTAAGACCATATTAGACTTAGCTAGCTTCCCAGTTCTGGGCCAAATCCCCTATGATGGATCGCCAGCATGATTTAGAATAATGAAGGTGGATGAAGAAGGTGAAATAGTAGGGGACTGTGAACCCCCTACATTGTAAAAGGATATGATCATTTTTTGTAGTAAGTGTTTATAGTTTTTATCAACATGATAATTGCAGAAGATATTGGATCTTTCAGTGGATTGTGCCTTTCATCGTATTTTTCTTATTGTACCGTTGAATGATTGGCTAAGCAATAAAAATTTGTGATTTGTGCTGCAATTGCTCACTGAAACAAAAACAAGTCAATGAATTTCTGAGCAATTAGAGTGGAGCTTCTGCAGCTGAAAACTATGGGTTGTCTAAAGCCCAAATCATTATAGAAACAATAGTTATTAAAATTTGTAGGTCACCTTTTTGCCATAAGGTTTTCAAACACACAGGGGTAAGTTTTCCTATAAGTAGAAGCATAGGATCACCAATTCAAAGCTGGTTTGGAAGTGGCATCATAAGGGTCAGTTTTTTGAGATGCAGAACCCAAGATCTTTATATGAAAGCACCATTTGTTTGTGCTTCTGGTCCACACATGCATGGCAGTAAATAGGTTTGGAGGATACTTGAGCAGCATCCAACTCCAACCACAAGGAAGTTAACTGGGTGGGAAAAGCTACTGAGGCAATATTCATGTCTGGGCTTACTCCATCAGTTTGTGGAATGCTCTTTTATCCGTGACGCTCCAATCTCTCCTTAGCCTTTGCTGATGGATAGCACACAGGGTATACAAAACTGTTGTTTTTCCAAGGCTGACCATAACATTTAATTTGAACATTACAACCCCATGTGTTTGCTGCTGTAATAACCTCCACATGGTAAGTGTAATATTCAAAAGCTTCCCATCTCAGAGGTTGAGGGAAATTCCACAAAACACCTCCAAACCAGTGTCCAAGATGGTCAGAGATGTTTGGGCCCAAGTTCCTCACAGCCTTTCCAAAAGTGAGTGTTGTTGGGACACTGAGCATTCCATAGGGAGGATGTCACAACAGAGAAGTGACCAGACAGATCTTTGAAGGCACTCAGAGCAGAAACTCATTGGATTTGTACCAGCAGAGGAAGACTGATGTAGGGCTAGGAGTTCCCTAAGATATCCATGGTGTCAATCAGAGGTAATGAACCTGTGGTCCCTCGTCTGCTGCTGGACCACAGCTCCCGTTAACCCTGCCCATTGCCTGCACGGTCTGGGGCTGATAGGTGTTGCGAATCCAATACCACTTGAAGAGCTACAAGTTCCCTATCCCTGGTCTAAACCCTTTACATTGCCGGCATGAAAACAAGAAAGAAGTAGTAATGGTATTCAGTATGGCAACAACATGGCGCTACTCCTTTTCAATCTCACATGCAGTTTATTGCCAGTCTACCTAGTTCCTGAGATCACTATCAGAGATGTTCCTCCAGGTACTTTCACCTTTTGAACTAAAGCACATGGCAACCAGGGACAGGGTTTTGTGGCACCCCAACTCAAGCAACTCTGACCTTGTTTCAAGCAAAGATCTTTCTATTCTCCTAGCCTTGTAAACCTCTTTAAACCACTACGGAAGCAGTTTGTTCTTATATGTGTTTGTATCTACTGCTCATTCTCTTCTTGTGGCGTTGCATTGTGTTGCCCTTGATTTTATAGTTATGCCGTCGTAATAGCTTTATACGCCTTTGCGCTGAAGATGCAGAGTTAAAGATGTACTAAATAATGACTACGTCTCTCCCCCACCCCTTTCTCTCTCTAGCAACTGACGGTTCATTTGCGGAAGCACACCGAGGTCCTGGTTGAGCTGGAGAATGGGATCAAGAATTCTCGAAAGCTGGAAACCTTATGCAGAGACTTTGAGTTGCAGAAAGTCTGTTATCTGCCCCTCAACACCTTCCTTCTCAGGCCTCTGCACAGACTTATGCACTACAAGCAGATAATGGAAAGGCTCTGTAAACATTATCCACCGAATCATGTGGACTTCAGGGACTCCAGAGGTGAGTTGAGTATTGGAGGAAATCTCCCTCGATTAGCAGATCCATACCTCTTAGCTCCTAAGGACATATTGCATGCAGATGTATGTGACTGAACCCTGACAGCCCTTTATTTTATTTTTTATTCTGTGGCTTTAGGAGGAGGTGATCTAGAGTAGAAAGAGGGGGTAGGATTAAGCAGTAACCTGCTGTGCTGTGTCACCAGTCTAAAGTATGTTGGGTATGTTTAGCCTGGAAAAGAGGACACTCAGAGGAGATATGATAGCAACCTTCAGATATCTCAAGGGCTGTCATATGGAAGAGGGAACAAGCTTGTTTTCTCCTGCTCTGGAGGGTAGGACTCGAACCAATGGCATTGAGGTTCCGACTAAACATCAGAAAAACTTAAGAGCTGTTGGACGGTGGAATGGTCTCCCTTGGGAGGTTGTGGACTCTCATTCCTTGGAGGTTTTTAAGCAGATGTTGGATGGCCATCTGTCATGGATGCCTTCGCTGAGATTCCTGCATTGCAGGGGGTTGGACCAGAACTCTATGATTCTATAAAATTGGCTTCTGCAGAAGCTGCTTCTTGAGAAAAGGAGACGTGGAGTTTAGTTATATGCATTTTTGTGTAATGCATAGTTGGGTCCTTACCAGAGTGATTCAGGCATATTTCTGAAACGCTCGTAAGTTCAGTGGGGCTTGGATCTTGGATAAATAGGTATAGGATTTCAGCCCAACTCTCCCATACGAGTCCATTTCACAAACAACTGAACAATTGTGCAGAATGCTGAAACGAGGGTGGGAATGCTTAATAATTTATATTTCACTACAACAGGGTTATCCCTTGGGCTTCATTGTAAGTAACGATGCACTGGAAGTCATGGCACTCCAATAGGTTCCTTAGGTAGATCCTCTAGAGAGAGATTTAAAAATACAGACAAACACAACACAATCATTGTTTATGGGCATTAGCATTTCAATCTTTCAAGCTTCTTATGACATTTCTGGGCAGCCATCCAGAATAATGTGATGACCAGTGAGTGTAAAAGGTAGCTGAAATGTGTGGTTTTAAATACAGAATAGAGAAGCAAAAATGCCTGATATTGAAACATGCCCAAAATACTGCATGAAAGGTGCTTTAAAACAAGGAAATGTGTGCACTAAAGTTATGTGAACTGCAGACCCACAAGCTAAAAAAATCAATTGATGAACGACTAAGATAATTTAATTATCTTGAAACCCAGAGGAACCATTTTTTTTAATCAGAAATAACATTCCTTGGAAGAATCCCAGTGTAATAAAAGGAGACAAGAGAATCTTATAACAAAATGTTGCACTTGTTATTAGTCTATATAATACTTAAATGTGTTTATACAGACCCATGGGGCAAGTACAGCTAAAGTAGAACCTGAAATTATTTACATTAGCAGTTGTGGGTTGCTAAGTTTTCGCCCCGAGATGGAGACTGCTGGAACTCATGCCGTGCTCCCTACACCATTAGCAGGACTGGCAGGTGGTGCTGTGGTCTAAACCACTGAGCCTCTTGGGCTTGCCGATCAGAAGGTCGATGGTTCAAATCCCTTTGACAGGGTGAGCTCTGTCCCAGCTCCTGCCAACCTAGCAGTTCGAAAGCACGCCAGTGCAAGTAGATAAATAGGTACCACTGTGGCAGGAAGGTAAATGGCGTTTCTGTGCACTCTGGTTTCCGTCACAGTGTCCCGTTGCGCCAGAAGCAGTTTAGTCATGCTGGCCACATGACCCGGAAAGCTGTCTGTGGACAAACACCAGCTCCCTCGGCCTGGAAAGTAAGATGAGCGCCGCAACCCCATAGTCACCTTTGACTGGACTTAACCACCCAGGAGTCCTTTACCTTTGCCACCTCCTGGCTCACCTACTAAGCAGGGGAGGGGGGATCAGTCACCAAGAGAAATGGGTGGGCAAAGGGAATGGTGGATGAGAATTAGGAGGCCTCACCATTGCCTACTGTTTCCTTGCTTTGGTGCTTGCTTTGGCACAAAAGTGCACCATCCCTGAGTGAAGACCTGGCAAGACTAAATCTGCCCCCGGAGCCGTAACATCAGATCTTGTGTGCAGTCATGGTCGGTGGAGTGACGGCCCTTGTATGACCTCCCTTCCCTGCTACGGCTTCCCAGGAAGGAGAGGGGCAAGGCATTAGTGAGGTTGCAAATGCACCTGCAAGAACAACAATTTGGTTCCTCGGGTGCATTATTGTATTGCACAAACCTTGCTTCTCTCCTTCCTGGTATAAGTCGCAGTGCCTATTATATGTGGTTCTTGAGGCATTTGGCAGAGGGAGACCCATGGAATTCAGCTCCAGCCCAGGTAGTTCATCTGCTACCACCTTCTGTGTTTCATTTCGCAGCTGCTCTGGCAGAGATTTCAGAAGCGGTCGCTCAGCTTCACAGCAGTATGCTGAAGATGGAAAATTTCCAGAAGTTGCATGAGTTGAAGAAAGATTTGATAGGTATTGACAATCTGGTGATCCCAGGAAGGGTAAGTGACAGAACAACATTTGAGAGCATATCCCGGGGGGGGGGGGTGTTTTAAAAATACTGTAATTGGGGTGAAGGAGAAGTGTCTTGAAAGTTGTTACACTCCTTATATATCCTTGGAATGTCTTGTTTGACTATGGCTCTGCCAAAAAAGGAGGATGTTAAACCAAAGGGGTGAGAAGCAAGGGGGGCAGGCCTCCTTACCCTTACCCTTTTCCTCTGAAAAAGCAGGCAAAGGCTTACCCCTCTATCTTAACACATTGGTACCACAGCATTAAGGAATAAGATAAATCCTGTCTGCTCTTGGACAGTAAAAGGCACTTCAGCACTCCTTTGAACACATCACCCCCTTCATTTGATTAACGCATAAAAGGATCCTGTTTCTCAACCGCTTGCTCCACACACTGCTTCAAAATACTACTTCCCAGAAACAAACAAAATACAAAGATTGCATATGTTGGAGGCAGGTGACTTGACAGTCAGAATTGGAGCTCCAGTTACCTGCACTGGTAAAGGAGGGTGGGTTCTGCATCAATTGGACTAGGAAAATAAATGCACCATAGGTGGATTCTGTACCAAGAGCTGTGATTCTCGGTAGACCACCAGTGTATGCCATCACCCTAGGAGATCTAAGCCCTTGCATTGTAAAATATATTTTTCATGCGATGATTCCTGTTCCACATCCTGTCTTTGTGCCGTCGCTGCTGAGAGCTACATGCGGAAGCAGCCTGCTATAAATGGACACTTTGAGGATGAGCCAGTTGTACTTCTTTCCACATTGAGCTGGCATTTGCTCAACAAGGCTCTCTGTGCAGCCTTCCTGGCTAATGTATTGCCAGCCTCTCATGGAGGGGCAGAAGGAATTAAGGGATCTTTGGTTCCCCTCTGACTTAGTTAGTTAAATGACGTTATGCGGTAATAACTCTGTTCCTGGGTTCTGTTTATTGCTCATTACCATGGCTCTTATTTTTTAATTGCATCCTGTCCTCTAATTCCCCCCTTCCCCTTTTGCTCAGTGCCCACCATGGTAGACAATCCCACTTACCACCTCATTGCTCTGCAACCAGTTCCGACTATTTCCTAAGTGTCACCCAACTTCCATTTCATAACTTCTGACGCAATGGCAGAGCGAGGCCTTATGGGCAGAACAGCAGAAGTGGCCTAGAGGATATCTGCTGTGTGTAGCTGAATTACAACAGGGTGGGCAGGCATAACATAATAAATTGAGTGATGCAACATTAATTAGGCCCAGACTTTTAGCCAGATGTTTGGATACTGCTCTGACATGGCATGTTTTGTTTCCATTCCTGCACAGGAGTTTATTAGACTGGGTAGCCTTAGTAAGTTGTCTGGAAAAGGCTTACAGCAGCGGATGTTCTTCCTGGTAAGTGGAATGTTTGTGTGTAATCAAACACAACTGTGCAATAAATGCCAAGTGATGGAAAAGGTGGGGGGAGGGAGAAGCTCAAAGAAGGAGTTTGATGCAAATTGTAAAATAATCTAAGAAAACAACACTACACTAACACACAGGGGAAACAAATCACAGCCCCTGGCATAGAGTTGTATCCAAATTAGGATGGTGATTTCACTCCCAACAAACCATGATCACTAAGCCAAGAACAAACCTTGGCTGCAGATATTGTTTTGTTGGGAGTGAAACAAGCCATGATCCCTGGTTCAGACATGATGGTAAACCAAGGATCATGTTTTGTTTCCTCAGTATGGGTAGCTCTTCTTTGGCGATCACTCATAGCCAAGTAAGATCGTCTTTCATGAATGTGGTCTTAACAGCATGGGTAGCACACAAATGGGCAAGAAAGAATCATGGCAAACCATTAACTATGGCTTACTGTGATTTGTAAACAAGATCTATGTCTGAACTGGGCTGCTATCCTGTCCTTTCGTCTTCCTGTTTTATTTGCATAAATGTGTACTAGTGACCTAGTACATATTACAATAAATCAACTGGTACTTTCAACCTTTGGTGCATCATCTTTGAGTCCCAAAGGCCACAGATGCATGACTTGAAGGGTCTGCACCCAGTTCAAGAATGGAACAAAGCCAGCTCCTAAAATACCAGAATCTACCTTGCCAATACGCAGCTTAAAAAGCAAAGCAAGCCATCTTTAGGGATGGCAAAAGAATCTTCCCTTTGCGTCCTGTGTCTCTCAAGATTTATTTACTTATTTTTGTGATCTTAAGACATCATGAAACACTGAGATATATTTGGGCTATTGAATGCCAGGGATGGGGACAACAGTCTAAGTGTTTCCCACACTGTTGGATCATGTGATTAGACCCCTGAAATAGTGTGTTCTCTGGAATGTGGGCCCACTGGGCATAAACAGTGGGTTGGTTGCAGGTACATACTGATGATCCAATATACATTTCACACAGGGTGATGGGCACATTTGTAGGCTCTGTGTGCTTCCTCCAGATGGCTAGACCTATAAACCAAACCTGTTTAAATCTCCTGTTTTCAACCAAGTTACGCTCCTTCTTGTGTTTGCCTTTTAGTTCAACGATGTCTTGCTGTACACAAGCAGAGGCCTAACAGCATCAAATCAATTCAAAGTCCACGGGCAGCTTCCGCTATATGGTATGATGGTAAGTATGAGCTGTGGATTGATCAGTTAGCTGCTGGACATCTCAAATCACATTACGTTGTGATTGATACTTTTTTGTCTTTATATGAAATGAAAGCCATTTCTGGAATTTTTGAGACAAATTAGAAATGAGAATGCAAGCGTGCTGTTCTAGGGGACTGGGATAAATGGTCCGGCGTTAAATCATAGCCATTTTTTAATTTGTAGACTCTGTGTTGGTATGCAGTGGCTATGTTGGCTGAGAACCATGTGAAATCAGTTGATAACCAAAGCCTAAACAAGAGGATTCCCTAGGAACATGGAAAATAATAGTTTTCAAAACAGAAACTTTGCATTTGACATCCACCACCGAAACATAACCGCTGCTGCCAGGGGTGTGCTAATACTATTTTGATGCACACAAACATCCACCAAGTTACCTTTTTTGAATTGTTTTTAGTTGTGATTTTGAATCCATGCAGGCTTGCTCAAAATCCAAATGCAATTATTTCCTGTGGTCATGATGAGGTAGGCCAGGCATGGCAAACTCGGCCCTCCAGCTGTTTTGGGACTACAACTCCCATCACCCCTAGCTAACAGGACCAGTGGTCAGGGATGATGGGAGTTGTAGTCCCAAAACATCTGGAGGGCCGAGTGCCTATGCCAGAGGTAGGCCATGTCCCATTTGCTGACATTGAAGTGAACGTGTACTGCTGGAATTGTGAAGCTAACAGCAATGGCTAATAGCCTCAGAAGGGCATAGATCCAGACAGTGGTTACTCCAATCCTCCTGCATTTTTTGCCAGATTCTCCTGAGCATTGCAATGGGAATTCAACCTTGGTTTTTTCCCAGAAACAAAACCGTCCACGTATTTATTCATATAGTGCAAAGCTGTGCTGCATTCTGCAGCTTAACATTTCTGCGGATCGTTGTCTCCTTTCCTGTCTTGTGAGGGTGTCTGTATGTCCATATCCTCAGATTGAAGAGAGCGAAGAAGAATGGGGGGTTCCTCATTGCTTCACACTGAGAGGTCAACACCAGTCCATTGTTGTGGCTGCAAGGTAAGTAATTTCCACTTTGCGCTCTCTCTTTTTGCAACTTGTCAAAAGAAGATTATTATTATAATAACAGTTCACTGTAAATACATTTGTAATCAGTTGTTTTCAACATAAGAGAACACACTAAAACTAGGGTGTTCTATGCTCAGGCATAGGCCAACTCGGCCCTCCAGCTGTTTGGGGACTACAACTCCCATCATCCCTAGCTAACAGGACCAGTGGTCAGGGATGATGGGAGTTGTAGTCCCAAAACAGCAAGAGGGCCTAGTTTGCCTATGCCTGGTGTAGCTTAAGGAAACAGGCTAAAAACTTGCATTCAGCTAAAAAAAATTGACCAGTTTGTGAAGCTCATAGCTGCTTGCAGTAAAATGAACAAGATCTCCCTTCGTCTTCCTAGCAGCCGCACGGAAATGGACAAGTGGACTGAGGACATACAGATGGCTATTGACTTGGCAGAGAATTGTAATGGCCCAACTCCTGAATTCCTAGGGGGCAGCCCACCAGACACGAGTAAGTACAGACTTAAGGCTTGCAGAAAACACAGCCACGTAGTATGAAGTCTGCTGCATGACAATTTAGCTACAGTGGTGCCCCGCAAGACGAATGCCTCGCAAGACGGAAAAACCGCTAGACGAAAGGGTTTTCCGTTTTGAAGTTGCTTCGCAGGACGAATTCCCCTATGGGCTTGCTTCGCAAGACGAAAATACCTTGCGAGTCTTGAGATTTTTTTCGCTTTTCCCCCTTTATCTAATCTGCTAAGCCTTTAATAGCCTTTAATAGCCTTTTAGCAGCTAATCCCTAAGCCTTTAAGCCTTTAATAGCCGCTAAACAGCTGATAGCGCTAATAGCGCTAATCCGTCAATGGGCTTGCTTCGCAAGACGAAAAAACCGCTAGACGAAGACTCTTGCGGAACGGATTAATTTCGTCTTGCGAGGCACCACTGTATAAATAATTCTTTGGACTGCACATTTAAAGATCAGCATTACCTTTATTACCTAGTTGATTTTAGTTCAGATAGAATGCATGGAAATAGATTTTTTTTTTTTTACAGTGCCTTGAATCGCTATTTTTATTCAGCTATAGCAACCCTAGCAAGGGTGCATTTTAAGAAAGTTAAGGAACTACAGTTAGGTTGCAATCCCATACCTACTTAGCATTGCGAGCCAGCTCCACTGAACTCAACAGGACTTATTTCTAAGTGAGATGTACAGGATTGCATTTGGGTGAGCTTATCTAAAAAACCAGATCCTATGGCTTTTCCACTTGCAAATACGTCCCGCTGTGTTCAGTGGAGCATACTTCCCACTATGCAAGTGTGCATAGCAATGCACCTTTGAACACATTCAACTAAGTTGTTGGCCAGTGGAATGCGACCTGCTGCACAATGTGACCTTTCCCCCTCTCCTCCTCCAAGGCTCTGCTCAAGAGGGTCAGGAGAACAAAATGCACGCAAAGTTGTTTTACTTACAGAGGTCACAGTGCAACAGTGAATTAAATGCGTGCTCGAGCTTAAAGAAAGCAATAGATGAAGCGTACAAATTCCATGTTTTCCGTATTTTTTGCTCTATAAGACGCACCAGACCATAAGACACTTTTGGAGGAGGAAAACAAGAAAAAAACATTCACTGCGCAGCGATCCCTCTTGCTGTTCTGGCTTCTGCGATAGCTGCACAGCCTGCATTTGCTCCATAAGATGCACACACATTTCCCCTTACTTTTTAGGAGGGAAAGGGTGCATCTTATAGAGCGAAAAATACGGTATTTTTTTTTAAACCTACTTCTTTCCCCAATACAGTGGTACCTCTGGTTACGAAATTAATTTGTTCCGGAGGACCGTTTGTCAGCTGAAACCATTCTTATCCTGAGGCACGCTTTCGCTAAAGGGGTCTCATACTGCGCGCACCCCTCTAGCACACAATTTCCGTTCACATCCTGGGGCAAAGTTCACAGCCAGGAGCAGCTACTTCCGGGTTAGCGGAGTTTGTAACCAGAAGCGTTCGTAACCAGAGGTACCACTGTATTTCACAGGTTTGGAAAGTTTTAAGCTTTACCAGAAGTAGCCTTTTGCTTAATGTTTTCATAGTTTGTATCTTCTACAAGGGGGGAAAAAAGAGATGGTTTCTCCCTGCGTTTCATAGAATCCCCCGAGGAATCCACTGTAGACCAGGAATCAGAAGACGATCTCAATGCGTCCCGCACCTCCCTCGAACGTCAGGCCCCTCACCGTGGCAACACGACGGTGCACGTCTGCTGGCACAGAAATACCAGCGTTTCCATGGTCGACTTTAGTATTGCTGTGGAGGTATCTGCCTCAAAACAACCTGGTCTGCAGCCCCCGGAGAGGACTGTTCTTCAGGGGCAATTTCCTTTCCGTCTCCTCAGAGGAAGCAACAACCAATCATTGCCTCCCTTTCTTCCTGGGGAGTTGGCATTCAATTATATATTAAACCTCATTTTAACAAATTCATTTTTTAGCAAATTATGAATCGTTTTGGTAAAAACTCTGCATTTTTTCACAGTTCTAATTTAATTTCCAAATATTAAGATAGTATTTCCTCTGAGCATTTTGTTGCTGTTGGCTGTTTTGTTTTTAATCCCGGAAAGGATGTTGTTCCTGACTCTGGCTGCTGCATTTTAATGCAACTTTAATTTAGGCTGTTTTTCTCCCCCTCTTTCGATTCTTGAAGTGTTCTCTTCTCAGTCTCTCATCTGCCTCCCTCCACTTGTGTCCTCTCTATCACAGGAAGTCTCTGTGTGTTTTTTGATGATGTATTTGACTACAGCTAAACCAATTTTACACAGATCAGTTGGCTATTGAATCAAAATGCTTCAGCTCATTGAAATGCAGAATACATGCAACAGTATTGCATTTTAATGACAGCTAATTTCAGCTTTCTTGTGGAACTTCCACAATTAATTCCAGCACTTTAGAAGAGACTATTTGAAGAGATCATGAGCCTTTTGAAAGTCAGTTCCTTGAAGATAATACTGCCTCAGTGTTCCTGGAAAATAGCAGAATGAGCAAACAGTTCTTGTAAAGCGAATAAATCTTCAGTAAAATTGGTTCCAGACGAAAGGATAACACGGAACTTGAAGTAAACTATAAATTGGTTTAGCTTCTTCAAGGTACCTACAGACACCCATTCTCAGAAAGAATGCCTCTAGGTTGCTTTTAAGTTGCATTGTGTAATGGGGCGGCTAACAACCATTTGGAGATTTACCGATTAGCTGTAGTGCACCTGCACTGATTCACCAGAGCTATCAACTAAATTGTGCAGGTACAAAATTCTCCTTCTGGGCTGCAATTCTATACAAACCTAGTTAGCAGTGCATCTCCTTGGAACTCAGTTAAATGAGTACTTCAGTGGACATGTTAAGAGGACTGCATTGCTAAGGCTCCCCCCTACGCATTAACATCGTTTATTTTGAGTTTAAATGATCAGCATGAACTATTGAGCAACCTAGAAGCAGATTCCACTCTTTATACATCTGTCTTCCGTTCTGCAACTGCCCCTTGGCAGGCAGAGTCGCAGTCATACTGTCTCTTAAGTCTGTGGGTAATGTCACATCAGTATCGTAGTTTATGCTTTCTTTCTGTGTCTCTCCCTCCTTTCTTTCTTTCTTTCTTTCTTTCTTTCTTTCTTTCTTTCATCTCTCTCTCTCGTGGTGGAAGATCCTCTCACTGTCAATGACTGTCCTTCCCTACCTGCTGGACTGATCAGTGATCAGCAGCCTGTTACCATTTCATATGTCTGCTGGTACCGAATGCAAAGCCTGCCCGTTTATGATACCCTCCAAAGTGCTGAGGTAACCAAAACAGAAATTAGGAACAGTAAAAGGAGAACAGGCACTTTTTGTACTCCAGCATACTCAACACCCTGCCAGGTTTTCAGAATTCAGCTGGTTTCTAAATAAAATAAAAACCACCTTACCAGTTCACTGCTATAATTGCTGGTGATATGAGGAACATTCTGTTTGTCTGTCCCCTTGGCAAATTCTAGTGGAGACAGCTTATTATGTTATTAAACCAGAAGCAGAATAAAATACATCAGCAATGGTTAATATATTCCACTTGGGGAGCAGAGGCAGTGAATATTTTCAAGTTGAAACGTGTGTTTATCACTCCTTTGTCAAAGCACATCAGTTAAATTGGGGGTGGGCAGAAGGCAGGCCGGGATCCAGCGGGTGATCTCTGCGTGACTTACAGCAGATTGGCAAAGCTCTCTGGACTCCCAAATCCCTAACCATCGCAACAGGTAAAAGCCCCTCCCAGATTAGGCTATGAAATAAAGAAGGCTTTGGGGCAAGGATGGAGGGAACTAGACCCAAGTTTTTGTCCAGGACTGAGCATGTTCACAGTGGCACCCTGTCCTTGATTCATTGCGCAAGTTCACACAGCCCTGAACATTTTACACACAGCCCTGCTTGGTGAACCTTAGGATTCTGGATAAAAACTTCAGTATATCCTACTCACCAAAACAAATTGAATTTTTGCATCCAACAGAACGCCATCCCTCAAATTAGCTGTCAATTTTTCCCTTCCTTCCCAGAGAGGAAGTTTACAGGTGCTTATGTCTGAAGACTGCCAACTTAACTTGCTCATTTATTACATTCATACCTCAGCCAAAACCCTTATAATCGATGACACCACAGTCCAGGCTCCAGGTTTTTCCTCAAGAGTAAAACTGTTCCAGACCTGCAAGGTGGGGGGGAGCCTATTTCCTACGGTTATTTCTGTTCATGCATTATATCTGATGCTTTCAGTTAATTAAAGGATGTGCTTTCATTTTTCCTAGTAATTTTAAACATCTGCGCTTGTGTGCAGGACTTAAATCATTTGTGTAGAGATGCCTGTTCCCGTAACAAGGTTGCTAAATTGGTATAATATTAAAGCTAACACCCTCCCACCTCAATATAGATATAGAACTTCTTCCTGGAATGAGGTAACAGCGGATGATTTCTTTCCTTAGAAAATCAATTTACAAGCAAGCCTCATTTAAAGAATGATAGGGAATTCTGAATCTGGAACTCTTAATCATGGTAAATGACCAATGGAGAAAAAAGTCAGCCAGTTTCAATTAGAAAAGTATGATTTTACATGAGGCTTGCCTGTTTTCCACCAGCCTGTTTTTCCATCTGCGTATGACTTAACTCAAGTTTGCTGCACTATCTCTCTTCATTTTCAGAACCAACTCTCTGGAAACCTTTTGAGAAAGTTCAAAAACAGCAATGGCTGGCAGAAGCTCTGGGTGGTATTCACCAATTTCTGCATGTTTTTCTACAAATCCCACCAGGTAGGTAACTGATGGATGGAAGTCAGAGATGAATATAGCTGTTAACTGTTCACACATTACAAAAAAAAGTTCCTTACTATGCACTGTTGATTGTCACAAAGGATGCATTTGCAGAGACAATTGAAGCTTTTGTGAACTTCATGGATACAAAGGTCTTCCATGCATGGAGAGAAATTTGAAAATGCTTAACTAGGATCAGGCTCAACACTAATATTAATGAGGCAACTGCTTTAGGCAGATGTTCAGGAGCAGCCTCTGGTCCCCTAATCTGGCTTGCTGCCTCAGGTGTGGTGGTAGATATCATCTTGTGGTTCGAGGACCCGATCCCCCCAAAGTGGAATGAATACACAAGGACACGTGATATAAGGTTAATGGGCAAGAAAAGGCCACAACTTTATTGATTACAGCAAGTGAAAAGGTATTGGCTTAGGCATTGGATTACGTCAGCTGACTCCACCCCCTCAGAGAGGGGTGAGTCTAAAACAAGGGGGGTTATTCACCAGTAGGTGGAGCCTGTTGATGCTAATCCAACTATAGGCTCCACCTGATGTCACCGAGGGTCGTGCCATGGCCTCCCGCCAAGCAGGCATCGGACAGAATACACGACCGCCAGATTCCTTTAACGGAATACCCAAAAATTGAAGGCATAGGCGATGGCCACACCTAGCCCTTCGACACCACAACACATTATTCCAATGCCTAACCTACCCACCAATACCACGAAAGTTGTGACGATTGCTACAAGATAGGTGAAAAAACCAAAATGCCTAATGCCAAATGGAAAAATTCCTACCAGGCCCCCCGGACAACCAGGGCGACCAACTTGCGACGGGACGACGAAGAGTGAGGCCGAGGAGGGGCTGGCGCCGCAGCATTTAGGCTGCTGTACATGCCCCCTCGGAGGCACCTGATTGGGTGCTTGCCGATGGGCGTGGGCGCCAGCCAGGTGAGCGGGAGGCAGGGGGCTAACGCCCCCTGCTAGAGGCGGAGCTCAGGCTCCCCCCCACAACCACTCCCCTCTCTTCCAGGAGGAGAGTCTTTATCACCAATGTCAAAAGAAAGTTTCACTGCCAGTCCAGTCTGGAATGGGGAAGTATCATCTTGTCTGCCTCCGGTGCAAAATGTATTGCGCTAGACCCTGACTGTGATCAGCTTGGAAGCCGCTACCGTATCAGTAGAGGCTTTGACTCATACACTTTCCCTAGAAATGTGAGGTCAGGGGCACATGGGGGCAAAATAAGGCAGAACTATTCTGTAACAGATGGTCCAGCCACTGTCCTCTGCAAAAAGGTTGATTCAACATTTGTTCACTAGAATGGGGCGGAGGGGAATGAAAAAGATCAGCATGTTAATTTGAGCCCATTACTTTGAGCACTTGGGAAAGAAAACATTAGCATTCAACAGAGGCTTAGTCCAAAGGCAGTGCAGTTATTTAAAAACCACTTCAGTGTTTAACTTGAGAATGTGTGCTTATTATTCCATGGTGTATTACTGCTTTAAGAGGTCAAAGTTCTGCAATACAAACATTGCTTATTTGCTTGAAACAACCACACACAAACCTTTTGGGGGGTATATTTTTGCTGAGAAGAAAAATGACTATTGAAATTGGTGCAGACAGGTGTATATAGAAATTCAAGGGAATCAGCACACTCATAGTGGACTGGCCACTGTGGGTGGAGATTGGCAAGGCTTTTGTGTCCATTTGCCCTGTTCAGCAAGAGCACTGACAGATTGCCACCTGGGTATGTGCTTTATTTTTTATTTTTATTTTTAACACAGACTTTTAAATTGCTGTCATACACACACACACGGTGCCTTGGGTGAAGGGTGAGGTAAGAAATTGATTAATAATAGGATGACAGGCTACTTGGGGTAGAGGGAGAGGGATGCAGCCTTCTTGTGAATAGTCCCCACACCCCATGAGACACGTTTCCACGCAGACTCACTTCACAGCATCCATCTAGGGCAGTGATGGCCAAACTTAGCCCTCCAGCTGTTTTGGGACTACAATTCCCTTCATTCCCTGACCACTGGTCCTGTTAGCTAGGGATGATGGGAGTTGTAGTCCCAAAACAGCTGGAAGGCCAAGAAGTTTGGCCATCACTGATCTAGGGGATCAGAGGAGCCAAAAGAAAGGGACAGTCACACAGTCTCTCTCTCTCTCTCTCTCTCTCACACACACACACACACACACACACCAAAAAAACAAACCACCTGCTGGCTGGAGCTTTGAAGGGCCTTTGAGTGACTCACTTCAAATAGTGCCAATCTGATGAGGAAGACTGTAGCTTTTGGATTTGCACCCAGATGCTTCTTGTCCCTCCCAGCTGTGAGCCAACCAGGGCATGAGAGGCATTTTCTGTTTAGGTCCCAAGAATGAGTGAAAATTGTGGGGACACAGTATTCTGGATAAAGAGAAGTGACTTCTGGGGGGATGGTCCGTTTGGTGAACGATTTCTCTCTTGTTTTTAGGACAATCATCCTTTAGCTAGCCTCCCTCTGCTGGGTTACTCTCTTACCATTCCTTCCGAATCTGAGAACATTCATAAAGACTATGTCTTTAAGCTACACTTCAAATCCCATGTGTACTATTTCAGGGCGGAGAGCGAATACACGTTTGAAAGGTATGTCAGTTTTCCATGAGCTGAAATGTCATTGATTTTTAATTCTTTACTGCAAGGCAGAATTATTCATTCAGCTGCCTTGTTTTACACCTTATGGATGTCCCATGAGCTATAACATAAACACACAACTACTATTATAAAGTAGTTGTTGTTTTGTGTTATAAATCAGGCACTGCTTGGAGTTGTTTCTTTGTGTTTCCCCATCAATGAAAAATACAGTGTGGCTTGATCAGTGTGGGCCAAAGGAAAAAAGTTAAGAGAACCAGTGGTCTATGGTATTAAATGTATGTATGTAAGTCCCCACTCCGTGCTATAAATAGAGGCATCTAGGAATGAGCACACAAATACAGTGGACGCTCGGGTTGCGAATGTGACCTGTGCAGGATGCACGTTCGCAACCCGCGTCTGCGCACGCGCAGGTTGCTCTTCTGTGCATGCACGACCGCCATAACCCAGAAGTAACCCATTCTGGTACTTCCGGGTTTCGGCAGTCCATAACCTGAAAAAACACAACCTGAAGCATCTGTAACCTGAAGTATGACTGTATCCCACTGGATTAAAATACTTGAGGTGTGTGCGTGTTGTACAATACAGTGGTACCTCGGGATACATACGCTTCAGGTTACAGACTCCGCTAAACCAGAAATAGTACCTCGGGTTAAGAACTTTGCTTCAGGATGAGAACAGAAATCGTGCTCCGGTGGCACAGCAGCAGGAGGCCCCATTAGCTAAAGTGGTGCTTCAGGTTAAGAACAGTTTCAGGTTAAGAACAGACCTCCGGAACGAATTAAGTACTTAACCCGAGGTACCACTGTATTTCATGTGTTAAAAGGCACACAACCAAATCTTAAGGAGAAAAGCACTGTATTAAGTATTCGTTTTTGTTTTTGTATCGCTTAGATGGATGGAGGTGATCCGAAGTGCCACTAGTCCAGCCTCGCGCATCCACGTTTTGAGTCACGAGGAATCCCATGCTTATTGATGACTGAACTCCAAATTGTTCATTCCAACAATTGCTGCTTTTCTAGAGGACATTTGAATTCTTTCTCCTTTTAAAGTTCAGTAAAAACATAAATTCATTTTTTTAAAAACTTGTTTTGGAGCAGCTTTTTGTAATATTGCCTCAAGCAGGGTTGTTTACTATTATCGGCCAAGTGACTGTCTCGTATTTGTCCTTTGGTGTGGTTTTTTTTTTTTAGCTTGTGCCAGTATTAAAATATTGTCCTTGGAGTGCCAAAAGACGATTTCCTTGCCTCAAAGATTTGCACCAGAAATAATAGAATTTTTGGAAAGCAAAATGCCTTTTCTTTCAGACAAACCCCTCAAAGTGATTAATTAGTAAACTGCCATTTTTTAAAAGAAATGTATTTCCTATGTATGCATTAACAGCCTTCAAATGTTCATAAGGGGCAGTCTCAAAGCAAGGAGGGGTAATTTTAATTACATTATTCAGTGTTTCTACACATTTTACTTCTAAAAATTAAAGTTACCAAGCAAGGCTGTAGACTGCTCATTTCATCTTACCAGAAGCGGAGAGCATTTGCTTCAAATATGGTCGGAAGGTTCTCTCTACTCTTCCATGGCACAAATTATGTTCCAGTACATAAAATTCTGCAAGGTGAACAGTTTACATGATTAACCTGTGCAATATTTAGAACACTGATGTCCTGTGAAGGTTGAGAAGGGGAATCTGAAAGCTGGTCTAACATGTCAACAGCTGTCTGGTACAAGAATTGTGGCAGTAATTTGTGGTTCAGTAAAGACAGTAACAGATGTGAGTTTTGGAAGAATCGTTTTCTCTCTCTCGTGGGGTATGTTTCCACACCTTTATTTAGAAATGCTACTAGAAACCAATCCACATTTTGTGTATATACATTTGAAAGCAATTAGACACAACATCCTTAAATGTTTTTATCAAATGTAGCCCAGCTGGAAAGCGCAACATTTGCCCTTTTCACAATGTGCAAAAACGGTTCAGAATGTAGCTTACTGGAAAAGGGAATGAAGTATATCAACGTCTTAAAGAACCCAATAGTTTTAAGGTAATAATCTCTCAAATTTCTCTACCCCTACTTTAAAAAACAGTATGATGCTGAAATCTTGAAGACCGAAAATCTCATTTTTAAGAAATGCCAAAATACATGACTTGCCAGTGGTATTCCTTTAGGGAATAAGAAAACCAACCAAGTTTGATTTTGCTTTTTACTACTTTCAATCTGTACATGCTAATTTAGCATAACTAATAGAGTGACTGTCTTGTAAACATGCCTGCAAGCTATTCAGTCCAGGTTAACTAGGCACCATCTTTCAGTATAACAAAAACAACCAACATACACCCCAGGAGTGCAAAACGAGGGACATCTAGTTGCAATTTGTAATTGTGCTATGTGTGAACCCCTCACCTTTCCCTTGTGCTGGGTTTACCACTCCCACCTAATTTAGACAAGTATCGTTTCTTACCTTCTCATATGACAGCAACCTACAGGAACAAGCAACCACAATTTAATGTATATTTACCTGTATATAAGTAAAATTCCTGCGCATCACGGCTATAAAGTTTCAAAATTCTCAGATGCACATATAAATGAGCTGCTTTGAATTCTCACTATGCTGTCCCTTCTCTCCCCGTGTTCCTTAAACTACTGGAAACTGTTTTCCTAGATAATGTTGCCCATAAACACACTCACACACCCAAAATTGTTGCGTTTCTTTATTTCTGTGTCATGTAACATACAAGGAGTTGAAGAACAGCTTGATGTGTGACCATAAGCAATTTTTATACAGGCTTATAAATAGAGAACAGCATTACAGAAGAAAATAGAATTTGATAAAAGGATAAGGGGGGGGGCTATTCATTGGGTATTTCCTCACAATAGCTAAAAATGAGACCTCCATGTACAGAGACAATAGATACCCAATTACCAGACACTCGGGGGAGGGAGGAGAACGGCTAGTTATCAACAGATTGCTGTGCTTGTGTATTTCCTAAAGGCAGATGGCTTTGGACTAGGTTTTGATCTGATCCAGCCAGGAAATTCTTTTAATTGCCTGTAAAAAGAATCCAACACATGCTGAGGGCGGCAGTAACCACCTGGGCAAATTCCATAGCCAAGTGATTCCTCCTTATTATATGCAACATATTCTTAGCATGTACTTGGTTAACAGACACCCTGGCCTGATATGTTAAGGTCTGCCTTCCTCACCAAAACTGATTTTATACGGAAAGATGTCCCATGTCTGTTTACTGTACCTTTTGCTTATGAACTAAAGATAAACTCCACTTTACTGTAACGGATTCAGACGGGGTAGCTGCCTTAAGCCTGCTGCAGCAAACACAGTACTGTCACATCTCAATTGATTTATTGTGGCGTAAGCTCTCCTGGACCATGTAGGGTACAGCACACGTTTTTGCGTGTCCAAAGGTCACAGGTTCAATCCCTGGCATTTACAGGTAGGGCAGGGGAAAAAACAACCTCTGGAACAATGCAATCTGGGGGAGGGAAACTTGGGCCCTCCTGAAGTTGTTGGAAGTGCATAAGCCCCAGCCAGCAGAGCCATTGGTCAGGGATGATATGAGGAGTTGTTCCAAAAACATCCGCAGGACTGCAGGCTCCCTATCCCTGATATAGACAATACTGAGCTAGACAGAGTTAATGATCCGAGTCAGTATAAGGCAATGTCCTATGTTCTTAGTGATGTATGCTTACTGGAAGACTTTCAATTAGGTTTTCCGGGGGGGGGGGGGAGATTCCAGAGAACTTTCTGATGCCCTAAATTGATGGAGATCTGCTTTAGTATGTTTAATTTACATTTTGAGTAAAAGGAGGTGATTTTATGTGCTGTATAAATATCGCAATTCCCCCCCCCACAGCCCAAAGTATTAAGTGAAATATTGGGTGGGGGTGGGGGTGGGTGGGGAGTCAATAAAGCAAATGTGTTTAAATGTCATAGTCGGAACAAATTCAAAGGTTTACATAAAATATTCCAATAAAAATTATTTGTGACTTAATAGCATATATCACCTCACATGGTTTAAGTTTTAGGGGAAGGCACTGAAACCTGTCAACGCTAATTTTCTGCACACCCAAAAACTATGTGTTTATATTATATATGCATGCATTCTCCCAAGGGATCGTACCTAAAATAATAATAATTTCAACTCTTGATACTGCATAAGTTAACTAGTTCTGTATCTGTTTATTATGTTACTAATTTTATGGAACAACTTGTTTTTAGAAGTGGAAAATTCTCCGTTTCAAAATATTTCTGGATTATTTATTTACAAAAGTGTAAATCTTACGCTGTTGCTTTAAATTGATTATGGCAGTGTTTACTTTATCAGATGCATAAAGGGTCTTCTAGATGCACACAAGTACCGAAGAAAAGTTGTAATCAGTAGCACCAAAAGGTCACGAAACACGAGAGGCAGATGAAAGTCTGCAGAATCCAAACAGATAAAAGACCCACCACCAGGGCTTTTGCAGACCTGATATCTCTTACATTTGGGCACACTGGTTACATGTATGTGCATCTGCTAACTGATAATCCTACATGCATCTGATCAAGAGGACTCTATAGCCAATGAAAACACGACAACTGGTGTCATGGGGCAATCCTTTTTCCAATCTTTTCCCCACTGTGCATTTGCAACTTCAATTCAGTAGCAAATGTCTATAAAGAAAATATGGGGCCAATTCAGATGCTTCTGCAATGGCGACAGCAAGGTGAGGTGTAGGAATAGGTCTAAGGATCTACAGTCCTGCAGCTGCCGTGATCCTTCCTCTTCAAAACGGGTGACAGAAGTGGTAATCATGTTAATCATCATTATGTAGAAAAGCCAAGACAGACATTACCCGCCCCAATCAGTAAGCAGAGGTGGGTGTGCTGCGTGGAGGGGACAACTAGAAGAATAAACCTCTGAACTTCCCCTAAAGATGTTAGCAAAAACGCCCGTGCTGCAAGGTACCAAAAATACAAAACGCTACATGACGATTAAGAACAAAACAAGACCAGATGCAACTCCCAAAACGACCAACTATTGGGGGAACCAAAGAGCCCATGGCACCTAATCAGAAAACAGGAGACTTTCACTATTTCACCAGAAGTTCTGTGCACCAACACAACAGCCACCTAACCTCCTACACCCAACTACAAGAGTGCAACGGCAAGAGAAGCAGATTTCTAATAAAACATGTGAAAAGTGACCCGACCCACACAAACAGGAAGCCTTTCTTGTTCGAAAGACTTTGTTTTTGTTTGGGTTTGTTTTTACAGCTCGCTTAGCGCCCTAATTATACTAAATCTTGAAAAAGTGGGAAATTTCTAGAGTAACTGTGGAAGTGTTTGGTGCTCACTAGCAAGAATATTTTAAGACCGAAACCTCCCCTGGCCAAGGGACGAAAAACTGTATTAGCTACTCCAGCCTTTCCCATAATGGTGCTCTCTAGAGGTTTTGAAGTGCAATTCCCATCCGCACCAGGAAGCATATGCTGACACCATGCACGTCGAAAATGCAGAAATCATACATTGCAATGTTGCATTTCCCTAGAAGAGCACAATTCTAATACAACGTTTAAAACGTGACACCCATTAACTTAAAAGGCCAAAGTAAAAAACATATAGCAAAGTTTGAGAGGTGATTTGGAACTACAATCCGAATTTGATCATTACCAGAAGAGAATTGCAATTTTACTTTATCTTCTAACAGGAGGGTAAGAGTGAATATCATGACATCAAACGCAACAGGAGTTTCCCTCCTACAGCTCCCACCTGCAAGCAAATTTTGGAGGTGCACAGGAGGAGGAGAAACCCCGCCGAAGTACAGTCCATTGTATAAGCAGGACACCACAACGACATCCTCACCTCCAAAAATTATTGTTCTGTAATCCCATGCATGTTTACTTGGGAGCAAATCCAACTGAATTCAGTGTGGGACTTGGGTAAGTAGGCATACGATTGGGTGCAAATCCCTAAATCTTTCAGCAAGTCTTCAACTAAACACCTCTGTTAAAAGCCATCTTTGTATAAGATCTGCCCAATTATGCAAATATAGTACCGCAAAAAAACCTACCAATAAAAAAAAGGCCAAGGTCAAGGTGTCTCTTGAAGTCCAATGCCCAAATCTTCAAAAGAGTTTTCTGCCTCAGTCTCAAACTGTGAATACTCTTAACAAAGTGAATTGCAATTATTTTTCTTACAGTAACAGATTGTTCACAAATAATTTCTAGAAGCTCCATTTGGAAAATGCTGTTAGGTCTTAGGCTCCATGTAGACTGGAAACTGGATCACGTGTGTATGAGGAGTTTTCCCACAGGGTACCCTCTTCAGACTAAAAGTTGCCTCTTTTCCACCAGTACTCTGCTCATATGATTCAGGCAGGCTGGTCTCACTTCCAGAGGTTACCTCCTCTCTGTTTTACAAGATTCCCCCCTTTGTGCCTCGTGTCACAGCCCACCGCAATCATTAGAGCGCTCCAACCCTCATGGAAGTATTTTCATGGAGCATTAGGGGCAGCCCTATAGAGGAGGAGGAGGTAGCAGAATCAGTTTACATCAGACCATTTTAGCAGGCAGAATATGGTATAAGTGTTGGAAGTGCATTTTCACACCTGGTGCTCATCTTTAGTCCATATGGCATAGGAAGTTCTCACTCGAAGTGTGATCAGGCATGGTTGGACTCAAAAGGGTACGTTCTGAGTTCAAGTTGGACTTTAACATGTTTAATATTACTGAAGACTAAAACAAAGATTTCACGTTCACTCGGAACTGTGAAATATTAAAAATGTTGACTACAGCTGCAAACCTACCCTCCTTTACTTAGGAGCAAGTCCCACTGAAATCAATAGGACTTACTCCTGACTAGACATGGTTGGATTGTGATATAAGTCATTGTCAGCAACCTATTTTCTTTTGTTAGCCCCTTTTAATAATTCTTGAGAACTACATCTTCACACGGATGTATTCCATTCACCTCAAGGAATTTCTTGAAAAGAAATAGAATCAATGGAATATCTTATCAGATATTTATACAGCATTTACAAAAAAATATTCCCAGTAGGCAAAATGTTGACATTCTACTGATTTCTGCCCATTGTAAAAGAGGCCGAGTTCAGAAGATGAACCACAAAAGATGTAACAAGCAAATATACAGATATTTAACTAAAGTACAGCAGTGAGAATATCTATTTTAAGTTTTGATGAAATTTCAAGTATTCTCCCCCTTAACAATGGATCTTGGATACCAAGTTAAATCAAATGTATCTCTCAATGATCATGATTAAAAGTTTTCATATACATAAGCTTCATATATTTTATATTGTTTTTAAGTTCACCATCTTACAAATTGCCATTATCCAGCCAGAATCTCTTAAGCGGTGTTTCAAGAGGGGAAAAAAATATTTAATTTAGTTGTATGAGATGTTCTGATTTTACAAGGAAGTTTAAAAAAACCAAAAACCCTAATAAAACTGAATTCAGACTTTGGATTGGCACAATTTAGACTGATAAAAAAAAAACCCACTAAAGCAAACAAGTATTAGAGAACCTCAAACCAAGTGATTCAGGAAACTGAAATAATCAATGTCGTACCATGATTAGAAACCCAACTCTAGATTAATAAAAAGAATAACACCGTGTAACAAAACTAGAGCAAACTTTGCATCTGAGGTACAAACCAGATTTTTTTATAGCACAGCTTTTTGACCTACAAATACAAGGTCAAAACAAACCTCTTGTCATACGGTTCGAAAATGTCATATAACAAAAGGCAAGCCAATAATCAGTTGTGACCTGCCAAAATATTTACCTCACTAGCATCATCTACAGAGAACTTGGCCATTTGTACAGAGGGATTCTATATGCACATTGAGCAAGATTTGAGTAAAAAAAGTGACTATATACAAATCTGTACAGAGAGCCAATGGTATGTTTTCCAATTCACAGATTCATCGACTTAAAGCAGTTGTCTTCAACTTGTTCAGGTCCGAGATCCATCTTAAATCCCAACCTAAAATATGATACCCACTTCGTCCCCACCCCACCCCTTTATTTCATCTCCCAATCTTATGCATTTTGTTAAAATAAGACCCTGAAAGAAAACAGTGGCCGTACCATTGGGGCACCCACTTTTGGATTGAGACATAAATCGCTTCTGAATCTGGATCGTTGAGTTGAAGACCAATGACTTAAAGCAAGATACCTGAGATTTCACAATAGCTTTAGTTTCCTAACTGCAATCCTAAATATACATCTCAGAAATTTAAAAAGATACCTCCTTTGAATATGTGCATTATTGTTTTTTCTTTAAAAAAAACCTATACTATACAGAGCTGAAAAACAATGCCCTTGCTATGTTGTCCATTTGTGTTGCTGCACCTTCAGGAATGTCCACATACTGGAGAGCTCGCCACTGAAAGCAACAGTGGCAGACCAGCATTTGAGGAGGTGCCTATAGGAGCCACATCGAACAAGCAAACGCCAAGAAACAATACTTTAGTGGGATGATGTGCTTCCTCCTCCAGTTACTGAATACCTGGGGGGGAGAAATGGTGTCATGAAAGCAAAACCGGTGATCAAGCTTCTTTTCAAGCCTGTGGCTCTAGAGATGGAGGCAACCTCAGAAGATTCCAAAATCAATCCAAAACACACCCAAGTTTGGGAAACGCTGTTCTAAAAAGTGCCCAGTTGGCCCTCCCCTGCCCCTCATATGCTCTGGTAATTTTACTCTCTTTGCAATTTGCTATGCTCTCATAAGACATTTGCTCAAATCTGGAGTTTGTGGATGTCTTTAAACCTGCCACTACAGTGGAAACTCGGCTGTCGAAAGTAATTCATTCCTGGAAGACCGTTCGACTTCCGAAACGTTTTGACAACCAAGGCGCAATTGCGGGTCAGCAAAATCCATTGGGGGAAAATGGAGCAACCACCCGCCTCGGAAGCCGTTCGACTTCCAAGGCAAGCTCGAAAATGGAAGCATTCACTTCCAGGTTGTCGGCGTTCGAAAGCCGAAACGTTCTATTTCTGAAGCGTTCGGCAACCGAGGTTCCACTGTATACCCAATCTGGTAGCAAACAGTAAATTAGTGAATAACTCAAGACTATTCCTTAGATTAAAGAGTCAATGGTTCTGCTAATAACTTATGCCCTGTGACATTCTTGATTGTAGGAATGTTACCCCACTTACTAAATCATACAATATTACCTAATAAGCATGAGATCAAACAAGCAGGGATTTCTGCTAGGAGAATTCACATCTCCTGGCAGAGAATTCAGGTTTCATATTCTTTGGCCATGTGAGTTAGGATACCATTGATACATTTACGTTGAAGGAATCACACTGAATTGGATAATACTGTTTCCGGCTAGGTGGCTTTACTATACCTCTGAAGCCTCTCCACGAGCTCTGTCACCATGGTATCTGAAATGCCTGGACATGCTTCTTCAGCCAAATAGATAGCCTCTCTCAGTTCTTCTATGGATCCCATGTTCCCCCCGCAAGCTTGACTCCTCTCTTTCAGCTGAATCAAAATAAAAAAGGGTGTTAGCCATGTAACAATTTGAAATGCGTATACAATCTAAATGAGCAAAAGAGGTTTTTTAAAAATGAAGTACCGCCACACTTTAGGTCTACAGACTGCATGGAGATCTACAACATAAATTGAAACTATTGTATGTTATCAAGCAAATCTCAAGGAATCTCTAAAAGCATGAGCAGGGCTTTAACTTGGCAACTGCTTATAAATGCATGGTTTAAGAGCCATAATGCAGTGCAACATTCTACACAGACACATGTATAGCAGGGTCATGTCCCTTATTTTCAGCACAATAGCCTTTCCCATCCTGATCTCCCTCCCTGAACGATATGTTCCCTTTAAAAGCACCAGGAACTCACAGAAGTAAACAGGAGGCTGCTGTGCCAAAAAAGGAAAGTAATTTCACCGCACAAATAAATTGCCTCTAATGGCAACGAACACATTTAGTGAGTCACTAGGCTACCTTTTCGTTGGGAAAGAGTCCTTTTTCGTCTCCTAATAGGAATTTGCCACTTCATGCCCAAGACTCAGAGTGGTTAACAGTTTTAACCCAGCAAGATAAAAACTGCAGAATCGAAGACACAGCTAATATATAAAAAGCAGCCATGTGTGTGTGTGTGTTATGGGGAATGGTTGGCGCCTCTCACACCACAAGGTGCTTCTCTGGCGCTGTGGGGTACGCAGGTGGCTCTGTGGGTTTGGGAAACTCTGCTCTAACTCTTGGAGACCAGAAGATGGACAGATACCCACTTTATGAAGTACTCTGTAGGCAGTAATGTGTACTCCCAACTCTGGTGCATATTATATTCAAGTTTCGACAGTCTATCTCCTGCTGCTACCATGATGTAACCTTTCCCCAACATGGAGCTCGCCAGATATTGCTGGACTACAGCCCCCATCATCGCTAGGCGAGGTGGAAAGGATGCCCTAGTGCCTTTCAGCATCAAGTCCTGGTTCAAACATATATCTCTCCCAAAATCCCCCTAGGCCTTAAGCTAGGAAGCTGCTCTATCTCAGCTCCAGCATCCCATCTGCTGTGCAGCAAGAATGCTGTTGACCTTCTTTGCGGAGTTATTGCAAAGACAGGATAGTCTTTGAGCTTCTGAACAGGGCTATATAGATATTTAATTGTTACTACTACTGTTTCCAATATGAAGGGATCAAAATATCACTGCAACTCAGGGTTTCCCAAACTGGGGTCTCCAGCTGTTTTTATACTACAATTCCCATCATCCCTGACCACTGGTCCTGCTAGCTGGGGATGATGGGAGTTGTAGTACAAAAACTGCTGGAGACCCATGTTTGGGAAACCCTGCTCTAATTCTCATTTTTTTAAAAACAAAATCTTTCATTTATCCTATATGTACTTAAAGAAGCAAAACTAATTACATTTGTTTTCCTGTATTTTCTCCCATCATTTCTAAAGCAGAGGTGGGAAACACCAGGCTCAGGGACCAAATAAAAGGTAAAGGGACCCCTGACCATTAGGTCCAGTCGTGGCCGACTCTGGGGTTGCGGGGCTCATCTCGCTTTACTGGCCGAGGGAGCCGGCGTACAGCTTCCAGGTCATGTGGCCAGCAGGATTAAGTCGCTTCTGGCGAACCAGAGCAGCGCACAGAAACACCGTTTACCTTCCCACTGGAGTGGTACCTATTTATCTACTTGCACTTTGACGTGCTTTCGAACTGCTAGGTTGGCAGGAGTTGGGGCTGAGCAACAGGAGCTCACCCCGTCACGGGGATTTGAACCGCCGACCTTCTGATCGGCAAGTCCTAGGCTCAATGGTTTAACCCACAATACACAGACTCTATTTGTTGCTTGGGACGCTTCCCCAGGCCCTGCCTCTCCTACCCAGACCACAAATCTCGCCATGCCAGGCTCCGCAGTCTCTCTGAAAGCATTTGCCTGGCTGGAATGGTTCCTTAAATGGCGAAAGCATCTCTAGCTTGCCAAGAGGGAAGAATGTATGTATACAGAGAGACTTTTGAAGGTCAGGAATGTAGCCTACTATACAAAAGGGAGGGTCACATATTTTGCTCCGCCCATTTTGTACCTGGCCCCACCCACCACCGGCATGAGTCCCCCAACCAGGAAGGCCGCCCACAAGGAAAGTGGTCCTCACGTTGACTGGAAAACGGTGAACCTGATGGAAACTTACCTCTGTGAATAATGGCGATATGATTGTTGATAAGCACCGAGATAAAGGACGCCTTTGAATGGTATTTTCCTTTGGGAGAAAAAATAAAGAATTCCATAATACATCAAGCGAGATACATATACTGAACATTTTCTCATTCTTTTCCTATATTCTACATTTTATGCAACACACACTTCCGAGTACAAATACATCCAGAATTCATTAATGCATTATTGCAAGCTGAAATTCAATTTTGAACAAGTGGAACTCCTTCTGTATATCACATAGCAAAAGTTCTATTACAAATAACAAGGAAATGTAGTTAAACAGACAATTAACTATGTAGCAAAGTGTACTTTAGGATTATGAAATATTTCAGATGTGCAATACCAAATAAGTTAAATTTGAGGTGGGTGGGAAGTATGTATCTGATGAAACTTCAGGAAGGAGTTGGTTTACTATTTGCAAAAATATAAAACAAAGCAAGGGAAGACATTACAGGAACACGTGTGCACATGCTTAATGCGTAAACCGGCACACTGAGGATGGCAAACAACTGCAGCATCACTGCCACATGCCAACCCAGGAATATCTTTCAGCGGCACTAATACAGTGGCTGCTGCTTGCATCATCAGATGCAGCGTTGCACAAAGCAATCACAGGTTTGGGTAGACAGACTCTGTGATAGGGATAGCATTAAAAATATCCCATCTGCCAAGCTACTTGTCCCAGAGATCTGGCAAAGCCCCTTTTTCACTGTTGTTCCCAAATGCCCAACACCCGGTTGGTTGTCAGGCACGGGGGAACCACAGCAAAAGGGGCTTTGCCAGCCCTATGCTTGGCACGGGAAGTACAGCACACAGGAAACTGCTGCTTTGAAAGCCCTTTTTTCTGTACTTCCAAAGGGCTGGCAAAGCTGCTTTCTGCAAGGACTGGCTATGCGATCAGGTTCCGGCTGTGTCTATCTGCCCCACATCTGACACCACATATAAGGTCAGGTCTGGGGTAAGTGGACATGGTTTGGGGGAAATTGCCTCTCAGGCCAAACTGGGACCCCTGCCAGGTCAAAATTGGCCCATGGGCCAGAAGTTCCCCAAACCCATTTTGTTTCACAGGAATTTGACACCTGCTTGTGCAATGGAACGTCTCCCTCTTCTCCTCCTGCAGCCCTCTGCACACCACCTCGACTGCTCCACAAAGTTTAGGGCAGGGGTTGGCAAGGTTTACCTCGCCTGGGCCGGTTCACCCCAGCAGAAATTGCCCCATGGGCCGGATCGTGTGCGTGTGTGTGAGCACACACGCCTGTGATTTCCGGCGTCTGCGTCAACACAATTTCCAGCGTCTGCGCAGACGCCATTTTCTGCGCTGCAGAAGCGAGTTCCCGCGCTGTGCTCTGCCGGTTTAGAGCAACACGTGGAGACTCACCAAGCGGGCAGCTCAGGGTCCGGTTTAACAACCCCCGTGGGCAGCTTGTGGCCCATGGGCCTTAGGTTGCCTACCCCTGGTTTAGGGCACCTCCTGGAGCTAATTTTGTGGCTGCACGAAGAGGAAGAGCAAGTCCTGTTAAGCAAGAGAAACACTGCATGCAGGGTGCAGCCTGAAACCTCACATGTAAGAGCCGTAAGCTGGGATAATGAAAGTTGAAAAGCATGCATTGCTACTTAAAATACTTTCAGTTTCTTGTTTCCTCCAGTGTCTATAAATACCTTGTTCCTTTCCCACTCATGTAGCTGAGTAGCTCCATTCTCGAGGTTCTTGGGATCTTTCTCTCGGATTGTAAATATCCAGTCACCTGAATCACTGCCACCCGAGGCTTGGCCATCTGCTTCCCTTTAGCACAAATATTTTTTCATGAGTTATTGCAAAGAAAATAATCACATTATTCATATGATCGCCATCAGCCATTAATAAAACTAGCAAACTCGAACGTGATTACTTTAAACCAACACCAAAATTCTAAGTTTTTATAGGAAGAAAAAGTGGTCTGAAATAGGTTTTTAATAATTAGGCACCAGAATTATTACATCTAGCATAAATTACAAATCTGCTCCATGATCAGTTTCTGGATTTATACATCTTAAAAGGTAAAGGTAAAGGACCCCTGACAGTTAGGTCCAGTCGCAGAGGACTCTGGGGTTGTGGCGTTCATCTCGCTTTACAGGCCGAGGGAGCCGACGTTTGTCCGCAGACAGTTTTTCTGGGTCAATGTGGCTAACATGACTAAGCCGCTTCTGGCGCAACCAGAGCAGCGCCCGGAAACACTGTTCAGAACTTCAGAACTTAGGGAGGTGCTGGACTTTTTTACATTTTTTAGCTTTATTAATTCACATTATGAAAATCAGTAACAACGAATTGTAAAGGAAATGCAGAGATACATATTCTACAACCCAGTGGTAACTATTTTGCAAAAGCAACAATGTCGTTAGTCCTTAAAAGAGATTCTTAGAGGCTTCCCAATCTCAGCAACGTAGCCTTTAAAAACAGCACTTTTAAAATTCTGTCCTACGGCTCTCTTATACACGAGGGTGCCATGCTTGGGGCATGCTTGCTTCAGAGTATCCCTCCCACACTTCATGGGGGGGGGGGATTCATTTTTAAGTTGTTGCTACCCCAAATAGTCCAAAAAAACCCGAAGAAATGCACTCTTAAAAAAAATTCCTTGTCTTGATCTCTTACTTGCTGTCCTCATGTTCTTTTACTTCTAAAATCCAACTTTAATTAAAACTTTCTCTCCCACACTTCAGATCACAGGTGACTGCTCCTCCAGAGTTATTTCTGGTTACCCAAAGCATTGAAAAAGGAAGGATTATGTATATACAGGGGTACCTCGGAAGTTGAACGAAATCCGTTCCAGAAGTCCGTTAGACGTCCAAAACGTTCGGAAACCAAGGCGTGGCTTCTGATTGGCTGTAGGAAGCTCCTGCAGCCAATTGGAAGCCGCGTCGGACGTTCGGGTTCCAAAGAACGTTTGCAAACCGGAACACTCACTTCTGGGTTTGTGGCATTCGGAAGCCAAAATGTTAGACTCGCAAAGCATTTGGAATTCAAGGTTTTGGATATACTCTTAAAGTTACGTTACTTTTTAGCAGTTTAATTTTGAGTATGTCCAAGATATGTATTTTTTTTGAAGCTTTCCCCACCGCATCTGCAGTATTTTCCCGCTTTCACACTTACCCATCTGAATCTTCAGAGCTGGAGTTATCATGGTTCTGCTCAGACTTCCATCTTTTATGCCTGTCGATGAGATCTGTCAAGTAAGAGGTTTTCTTTGCATTCCGTATTATAAACTTGTGCTTCAGCAGTTCTTTTGCCGTTGGTCTCTTAAAAATAAAAGCAAGTTGCTTTGCTTAATACACTTCAGCTGATTTACGAGGAGAAAACTTAGAAAAAGAAACTGAAGTCCACCAAAATGCTAAACACACAGTTACTGAAGACAGACACCAGGCATTGGTATATTCTAAGAAATGTGTATTTGTGGCTAATGAATGATTAATTCTCCTGTATTACTTTTATTCCTTTCTCAGCATATAGCAGGCGTAGGCAACCTAAGGCCCGGGGGCCGGATCCAGCTTCTAAATCTGGACGGTCCGGGAATCAGCATGTTTTTACATGAGTAGAATGTGCCCTTTTATTTAAAATGCATCTCTGGGTTATTTGTGGGACATAGGAATTCATTCGTGGTGAAACCCACATGAAATGAACATGGTTTTGGCGAAGATTTTTGTATTTGAAAGAAACCCTCTCAATTCTCCTTTATCTTAACTGAAAGAAGCTGTTTTGAATGAAATGCCGTGGCAACCCAGTTGGATACACTGGGTACAAACAACATTATTACTACAGTGGTGCCCCGCAAGACGAATGCCTCGCAAGACGGAAAACCCGCTAGACGAAAGGGTTTTCCGTTTTGGAGGTGCTTCGCAAAACGAATTTCCTATGTGCTTGCTTCGCAAGACGAAAATGTCTTGCGAGTTCCTGCAGGGTTTTTTTCCTTTTTCCCAAGCCGCTAAACCGCTTATCAGCTGATGGCTAAGCCGCTTAACAGCTGATGGTAAGCCGCTTATCAGCTGATCGTTAAGCCGCTTATCAGCTTATCGTTAAGCCGCTTATCAGCTGATCCTTAAGCCGCTTATCAGCTTATCGTTAAGCCGCTTATCAGCTGATCCACTAAGCCTGCTAAGCCGCTAATACTGTAGCACTAATCCGCTAAACTGCTAATGGGCTTGCTTCGCAAGACGAAAAAACCCGCAAGACGAAGAGACTCGCGGAACGGATTCTTTTCGTCTTGCGAGGCACCACTGTATTACTATTATTATTATTATTATTATTATTATTATTATTAATTCAATGTGTAATCAATTTTTTAAAAGTTAACATGGGAATGAGAAAGGCAGACATTTTCACGATAAAGCTCCACAAAAAACAGGGATGTATCAGAATAAAATTATTTTGTTGTAAAAAAAGTATATACAATACACAGAACGTTCAAATGTTATCGACAGTTCAGTCTTCCATTTTCCCACATGTGCGTTAAGCAACATGACCAAAGGTATATGGGGTTTGGAAAAACCAAAACAACTTACAAAACTTGGGTCCTTGTTCAAGCAGGCTTCAACAAACTCCTTCAGAGGTTTGCTGTAGTTTCCTTCTAACGTTGGTGGGTTGTTCTTTGGGATCAGGAAGAGAACTTTCATGGGATGCAGCTCTGAATGCGGAGGCTCACCTTTCGCAAGCTCTATGGCTGTTATGCCCAGTGACCAGATATCTGCCTGTAACACAGAAGCCATCTTACTTACAGGAGGGAGGCAAAAAGGGAGCCCTTTCGTTGAAACCAACTGCAACATTTCATTCATTTCACTGACTGATCATTCATTAAATAAACACACCCTCCCCCCTGCATCTTAATTTTAGGTATTCGAAATAAGCACTCAAAATAAACATGAGCGGTCTGTTTTTCAAACCCGTTTACGTAACAATTCTGGAAATATTATAATCCTAAACACCTGCATGAGCAATAAGGGCTATACAAAAGGGATCCTAGGAAAATTTCAGTGTGATGTACAGTCTGAAGGTCCTTGTGTGAGAGACAGGGAAGCAGAAATCTCTCAGGATGAGAGGCTGGGAGAAGAGAGGAACGCTCCCAGGTGACAGCTGGGAGGACACGCCCTTTTTGGTTTGGGACAAAAGTTAAGATATACTGGGGAGAGAGAATCATGTACTTTTTATCTCTTCTATCTTTTCTTCTTTTATTCTCTCTTCTTCTTCGTGTGTGTGTGTGTGTGTGTGTGTGTGTGTGTGTGGTTGGGCCTAGCTTGTCTTTTATTGTACTGTGATAAGTGTTAATAAAACATACAGTATATATACAAACCTATATATAGAAAATATACAGTATACAGTGGTACTTGGTTCTCAAATTTAATCCGTTCCGGGAGTCCGACTCCAGAAACCGTTCAAAAGCCAAGGTGCAGCTTCTGATTAGCTGCAGGAGTTTCCTGCACTCAATCGGAAGTTGCAGAAGCCACGTTGGACATTAGGCTTCCGAAAAATGTTCGCAAACCGGAACATTGGCTTCCAGGTTTACAGTGTTCGGGAGCCGATTTGTCCGGGAGCCAAGCCGTTTGAGTACCAAGGTACCAGAGTGTGTGTGTGTGTGTGTGTGTGTGTGTGTCTCAATATCAGCATGGCAGAATAATATTGTTTCACCTAACAAAGACAACAGAAGAAAAGATTTTCAGGCCCAACTCTGAACCCTAAAAAGTCCTCCTTTAATCTTACCTTTGAATCATACGCTGACTGCTTTATTACTTCTGGTGCCATCCAAAACGGTGTACCCACAAAGGTATTTCTCTTTATTTGTGTATCAGTTAGTTGTCCGGCTACACCAAAATCTGCTAGTTTGACTTCTCCTTGTTCAGACAGCAGCACATTAGCAGCTAGAAAATATTTTTTTTAAAAAAAAAAGAATGTTGAGTTCGAATGTTTAAGCTAAACAGGTTGGCTTAGTCAAGGACCCACAGAAATAAGGACTAGCTTTTGTGATTAGATTTCAGTGGGTCTACTCTAACCATGACTAAGACTAGATCCAACCCAAAGCGTTTGAAACACAAACCTTACAAAGTTTTACCTTTAATATCTCTGTGGATTTTCTTTTCTGAATGCAAATAATCAAGGCCTTTCAGAATCTCTCTCAATATCGTAGCAATCTGGATTTCATCAAGAGACCCTGGTTCTAACTAGGAGAAAACACAACAGATTATTTTTCCAAGATAAATGTCGCACAAATACAGCTGATAAACCTTTGCGGGTGGGGAAATTGAAGTCAAGAATTTTAGACACTTCATACACAATAGAGGAGAAAACGTGAGCAATCAGCAACGACACAAAACTACAGAAGTATTTATTTTGACCATTTCTGCAAATTCATGTTCTCAGACAGTGGCATTACAAAAAGCCAACTCGGGGTGTAAGCTTTTCCCCTTGGGAACTGGGATAGGCTGCGAGGAATCGGAGGGAGGGTGCCGAAGAATCAGGCATTCAGCCGGAAGGGAATCTGCTCCCCTATAATCAGTTCAATACTGAATCACTTGTGGAGTTCTCCGTGTTTGACTGGGCTGCTCTAGGAGGACAGAGCCATTTGAGGCAAACAGCCTCTGCTCACTCATCATTATTCCAATTTTATTACAGCGGATCATGGCTCACAGTTTTCCTATTCAATATCCAAGGAAGATGATTAAGAATGGGGCATTTATTCCAATAAAAATCAAATGACACAATCAAAGTACTTTTTCCTGTATTATTAAGCCAAGAACTAATGGTTCAGGTACATAAATTTACCCTTTTACTAAAGTTAGTTAGCACAAATTTATGAGGCTTACATGAAGCTGGCTTGGAATCATCAAAGTGAGGGTGGGAAATAAATGCAACAAATAAATACCGTATTTTTCTCTCTATAAGACGCACCAGACCACAAGACGCACCTAGTTTTTGGAGGAGGAAAACAAGGGGAAAAAAATTCTGAATCTCAGAAGCCAGAACAGCAAGAGGGATCACTGCGCAGTGAAAGCAGCAATCCCTCTTGCTGTTCTGGCTTCTGGGATAGCTACGCAGCCTGCATTCGCTCCATGAGATGCACACACATTTCCCCTTACTTTTTAGGAGGGAAAAAGTGAGTCTTATAGAGCAAAAAATATGGTAAATTCCTATTGGGGAGATCCAGTGTAGCAAAAACTTTTCTTCTTCCCAACTTCCCGCTTGCACCTCCAATGCACTCTCAAGATCTGACCTGTAGGGTTGGGGCACACCAGAGCAGTTTTTGGGGTGCAGGAGTGCTGGAGAGGAAAGAAAAGAAGTTGGATGTCTTTCTGTTTAAGCAGTCAGACATCACTGTACATCACTCTGAATTTATAATGCACATAGAAAGAACTGCAAATTCAGATAAATACCCTTTAGTTCCATTACTATAAGCTGATTACTTACAAGGTCAAGAGCAGAACCTCCGCCAAGATATTCCATTATTATCCATAATTTTGTATCCTATAAAGGTAGAAAAATATTTATCTAAATATCAGCCAAAAAAAAATGTAAGAATTTTTTTTTTACATCGTTTTCATTAATGCTTTATATATAAGTAAAAAATAGTGCCCAGTCCCTTTTCCTTTTGTGCCCTGCCTTTTAAAATGTAAGCCTGGGGAGCAAGCATTGTCTTACCACAAATATTCATAAGCTACTCCCGGAATTGGTTTTGACTGAAGGGAAATATATAAACACACACACAGCTCTCTCCTGCAATTTTGCTTCTGCAAAACTAAGGAACATATACTTTTGAGGCCCTTATCCTGGAAATAAGTTCTTCTACTACTAAACAGAGTGAGTCTTCAGAGTAAACACCCATTTCGTAAACATATCAAACAGTATCACTTTGTATGTCAACTTAAAAATGATGTGTTTCAAGTTAAAGCAGTGAAATAAGTTTAGGTTTCATAAAAAAGCAATTAATGGATATATTTCAATTTCTCCAAAAGTTTCAGTTTTCTTCCAAAAGGGGCAAATTGTCTTGAAAATTCCAGAAATTTTACACCCATAATTATATATATACTTGAGTAGAGTAGAAACATCCGTAACTATATATATACTTGAGTAGAGTAGCTTACAAGCTATGTTCCAAGGATCCCTAGGGTTGCCCAAAAACTCTTCAGGGGTCCCTCAAACCAAAGATCAATAATGGTTGGCAGGTGTTCCTCAAAGGACAGCTTGCCCATTATTCCAATCTTTGTCTACAGTGGCTTAGGACCACAATACCTCAAGGATCGCCTCTTTCCATGTGAACCTACCCAGACCCTGAGATCATCTTCTGAGGCCCTTTTTCATGTGCCCTCTTCTCGAGAGGTCCAGAGGGTGGCAACACGAGAAAGGGCCTTCTTTGCAGTGGCTCCCCGTTTGTGGAATGCTCTTCCCAGGGAAGTTCGCCTGGCCGCCTTCATTATATATTTTTAGGCACCAGGAGAAAACATTCCTCAACTTAAGAAGGTTATTATGAAGACGCCATTTCCTCTTTCAGCAAGTCTGCTAAGCAGTGGTTTTTATCCTAATCAGTATCTGTGTTAGATCTGAAATTTTTATATATGCTGTTGTCTTATACATGCTTTTATTGTATTGTGAAATTGCTTCAACAGAAACAATTCATAAATGAAGCAAACAACAACAACACCATTAACATTATTTTGCATTTCTACCATATGTGGATCTCAGGCTTAGGATATTTTTCCAGCACAGTCATGGGTGCACAACCTCAGCAACCCTACACTTAAATACCATCCAAGCACAATTCACTGCCAGCAATCAGTTTGTTTAATATTAGCAGTTCCGCAGACTCGTGACTCATTCCCTCCAAATACAGAAGCAAACAGTTTCTTAAAGAGTCAATGGATGCAATCCAAAAAAGTCTGCAGCTCACTCAACATGCGCATAAGAGATTTTAACTTTTTCTTTTTAAGGCAACTACAGTCTCGCCTCCTCAGCCATCGAAGCTGCTTCTTAAATTCCCAGAAGCTGCAAAAGGCTGTAAATTTTAAAAATAAATGGAAAGCTCTGATTGCTACATACACTCTTTTGTGTATTTAAATGCGCTTTCAAGGCCAAAAAGCCAAACTTGCCTTGCTTGCAATACTGCTGGCTCAATTAAGTGAATCTATTTACTGAGGAAAATATCCCTTTATACTCTGCTTCTCTGACAGTTGAATGAACAAACATTTTGGCCAACATACAATATGATATTTATCATGCACTTGAAACATATATAATGAAAGGGAAACTATCACAGGGTAACCCTGGGGACAGGGTCTTCTTGCTCTGCAAACACAATATTAGTCGATATAGCAAATGTTATTTGCAACTGCTTTTCACCAGCTCTCCCCCTCAATTTACCAATAACTCCCTCTTAGCCTCACAGAATCATAGAACTGTAGAATTGGAAGGGACCCTCCAACATCATATAGCTCAACCCATTGCAATGGTGGAATCTTGTCCACAATTGTCCCTTGGTGGGATCAAACCACCAACCTTCTGGTTCAAAGCCAGATGGATTGACCCATTGCACCACCTAAGATCTCAATCCAAATGTATTGCCCATGAATGTCTTACCATCATTTCAATGAATGTAAGGGGGAGGGGGTTTACTACATTCTTGAGTATTTGGCCTATTTTCAGAGCAACGGTGCCTCTTTGCCCTAGTCTAGAAATAGTTTTCTCTATAGTTTGTTCCCGAACATGGAAGATGATATTTATGGAGGAAGAGCTCAGGGAACTCCCTGTATCCCGCAAATGGCACAAGGAGGAATTACAGCATTAAAATATGTGGGCATGAATGTAAGTTTTAGAACCAAAGAAACAGTTTGGCGAGAAGCCAATATCACATGTGCTGCATTAAAAAGGTTATTATAAGTAAGAAAGGACAGGTGATTCATGCTAAGTCTCCTAATATATTCAAATGGATGATGTCTGTGTCATATTCAACTCTGGTCACATCCATTTGGGACAAAACACCTGGAAGTATCCATAGAAACAAAATAAAGATTATTAGAGGCCTAAAACTGATGACCCATAAATAGCAGGAGGAAAAACCAATATGTTCAGTTTGGAGGAGAGAAATGGGAAATAAGACTTCTCAAAAACAAGGCTGAGCTTTTCTCCAATATGAGATGACAACATCCTGCACCCACAAAGGGCTAAGACTCACATTAGGAAGAATTTTTGAACTCCAGGAGTGAAGAAGCATAGAAACCAATTGCCTGAACTTACATGAAATCTCTAGCCCAATAGAATATGTCAAAAAATACTGATTAAATGACTTGAAGCAGACTTGATCCCCAAGGCAGAAGGAGTTAGTGAGTTAGCTTCTTAAGATCAAAGTCTGGCAAAGAAGGGAATCTGTCACTGAAGTTGAAAGTGGACCATTCTTTGCAACAGAGATGCTTTAGACCAGATCCTTGACCTATGGATGGGGAACTAAACAATGGCAGGCAAAGTCCTTCATTTCCATTTCTGTATTAGTTCTAATAAAAGGTGTAACCTACAATGTTCTAAAGGCCTCTACAAGTAAAATGCTTGGAAGTCATCCACTAAGAAAATGAGACTTGAGTACTTTAAGTCGTCCAAATGTTTTACTCCTACATTCACAGACTAACCTCTGCAACCCTTTTATCTATGTTTCCTTTGATCACTATCTTCCAGTTGTTAAATCTCACTTCTCCAGGTAACATTATAAGCATTAAAAAACAAAAACACCTTTACAAATCAAGTATGTAGCATCTTCAGCAAAAACTAGGGTTGGAAGATGCTTCTTTTAAAAATTGCAGCAAGAAATGCAGACAACTGGTTTACTGAAGCCTAGGTTTTTATGGGCAGGAGCAGATTTCACTAGATGAGTGAGTAAGCTGTATTTCTTCCATTCTTGCTGAGTTCCACTTAAGCAACTTGTCCAATGTTGCGAAAAAGGACTGGTAAAGATAAGAGGGAGCATAAAGCAGAAATACTCATTTGTGGTATGTCAAATCAACGTGGTATCCACTTAAGAGATGAGCCCAGACACCGAAGCTCTAGTCTTGCTTCAGATCCAAGGACCAATAATGCATTTTAATGATTTCCTTGTGTTGACTAGATTGACTTTGCCAATTGTAGTGTACCACCTTTAACACGAAAAGGCCTGGAATCAGAAGGTGCAATCTCAGGGATTATAGGGTTTCTATAATCCTGCAAGGAAACCTTTGAGAGATGAAAATGTTGGGCTGAAGATCATTCTCAAGACAGGTTGCAGAACTGATTAGAAGCCATTGGCTGGTGAGCATTTCTAAGATGCTTACCTCTTTTGAAGTCCCTCGAATCATGATGGATGCTATCTGCCCTTGAACTACATCCCTTTGATGGGAGAAATACTCAGCTCCAAATGTTATCTTCTAAACAACCAATTCTTACTGCAAGCTGCCCCAAAGATCCCTGCTGTCAGATAAGTTATTCTGGTTCTGCACATAGCACATTTGCCCTTTTCATTGAAAGATCCCCATCCATCCAAAATAGTAAACCACAAAGGGGGTCGGGGAGGAGAGAGAGAATCCAAAGCAGAATGCAAAGAAAGCAGAAATAATTTCACACCTGAGGAATGGTGCAACTTAAACATGGGCTAAAAAAGGAGCTGAAACACAAATAGCTTTTCCCTGACATGAAACCCGATGTGAAGGTTTTTATTTATTTATATCATTTCTCTATCGCTTAAGATTAGATAGATAGATGATTGATAGATAAATTATAGGTAGATGATAGATAGATAGAAGATAGATAGATAGATAGAGTGATAGATAGATAGATAGATAAGAGTGGTACTTTGGTTCCCTAACAAATCTGCTCCCGAATGCCGCAAACCCAGAAGTGTTCCAGTTTGCGAATGTTTTTCGGAAGTCAAACATCCGACGTGGCTTCTGCGGCTTCTGATTGAGTGCAGGAAGCTCCTACAGCCACTTGGAAGCCATGCCTTGGTTTTTGAACGGTTTTGGGAGTCGAACAGACTCCCAGAACAGATTAAGTTCAAGAACTAAGGTCCCACTATAGGTAGAGATGAGACAGATATAGATAGATTGATAGACGATGGATAGATATCTTTTATGTGGTATACAAAATACTAAAGCAACAACAGACAGCTTAAGCAACAAATACTACAAAAACACAGAGTTGACATATAGAAATATTTTGCATTAATACAACATTACGAATAAGTATAAGACAATATCAGTTCTTTTGCCTCTGGACACACCCTCCCTATCAGCTTCCTGGCTCTCACCCAGGGCTCCACCCTGGAACTCACCCAGAGTCCAAACAAACTCTCAGCTCACCCACAAAAGTCTCACAAAGAGCAAGGTTGCTGCGGACCTAACCCTAGTCTCTCGCTCTAGACTTGCTTTTTCATGGGCAAGGTGGGCAGAGCTTCCTCAGGCTGTCCAGCACAGCCATGTTCACTGAGCAGTTGGCTGCACTCTCTGTACCCAGTTGCAGGTGCAGCAGGTTTGGCGAGTTTCCCAGAGGAAACTCCAAGAATGGGAAAAGGACAACACTCTTCTCTCCACTCATAGGTCTTTCTTCAGCTTCTGCTTCCCTTATCTTCCAGCTGCTTTCTAGTATGAACTGCCACTTGGATGTTATTTGCATGGTATTTGTATTGTTACTGACACATTACAGTTGCTTATGAAACAGAGTATTTGCCTAGGTATATGAACACTTGCCCAAGATCTCATCCTCCCTCTGGCTCATTTTCAGTTGTCAAAACTGTGTTTCCATTCCACCTTGTCGCAGGCCCATTATGTAAGCCTCTTGGACAGGTGTCCCATTTAATTATTATTATTATTATTATTATTATTAAATATTTATATGCTGCCCATCTGACTGGGTTGCCCCAGCGACTCTGGGCGGCTTCCAACAAATTAAAACACAGTAAGACATCAAACATTAAAAACTTCCCTAAACAGGGCTGCCTTCAGATGTCTTCTAAAAATCAGATTGTTGTTTATCTCCGTGACATCTGATGGGAGGCGGTTCTGCCCAGCAAGAAGGCCCTCTGCCTGGTTCCCCGTAGCTTCACTTCTCGCAGCGAGGGAACTGCCAGAAGGTCCTCGGAGCTGGATCTCAGTGTCCAAGCTGAATGTTGGGAGTGAAGAGACACTCCTTCAGGTATTCAGGGCCAAAGCAGTTTATGGCTTTAAAGGTCAACACCAACACTTTGAATTGTGCTTGGAAATGTACCCTCACACCTGCATGCCCCCTGTCCCCCAGAAACAGTACTTCTGTCTTGTCGGGATTCAATCTCAATCCATTAACCACCATTTGGCTCCAAGTAGTTCGGGCTTTAGATCCTTTGATCTGGCAATATTTGTAAGTAGTCTTTTTATCACAGCCATATATTTAAAGTATTTTACTTACTCTAAACCCTAAAGGTTGGCAGAATGAGCAGTATATTTCCCCCTCTCCTCCATCTGAATTTAAATAGACTTTTAAAGAAAACTGGCTAGCCAATAAGTTTGAGGGGGGGGACCACAAACCTTCCTTGCACAAAATAGACTAATAATTCAGGGCCATCTAGTGGTGAAATAGTATTCCTATTCTGATACAACAGAAGCAGGTTTATTAAGTACAATCGCACCTTGGTTTTCAAACAGCTTAGTTCTTGAACGTTTTGGCTCCCAAATGCCGCAAACCCGGAAGTGAATGTTCCAATTTGCGAAATATTTTGGGAAGCTGAACATCCGATGGGGCTTCCAATTGGCTGCAGGAGCTTCGTAGAGCCAATCAGAAGCCACGCTTTGGTTTTGGAAGTCAAAAGGACTTCCGGAACAGATTCCGTTTGACTTCCAGGTACGACTGTATACAGTTACAGAGTATTTTGTAGTACAGATAAATAAAGACATTTACAGATATCGACTGGTTTTTTAAAATGCAGGCACTAAAACATGTTGCAATGTGTTAACAACATGTTTACCCATGGAGATGCAAAGGTATGAAAAGTCAAACTAGTGAGCTGTTACTAAATTAGATCAACACAGGCACAATGGAACAGCATTGATCCTGCGTACATCCCTCATACCACACAACAGTCCAAACAGAATGTACTTAGCAGTGTTCAAAAACAGCCACCTGTTTTGCACCTGTTTTTTTGACCACTTGTGACCAAGTGAAGTGGCCTTGTCACCAGGATGGTGCCTGACATCTCCACCATCTGGGGATCATTGGATGTGGAAAAGCTTCCACACACTAACACCCCAGCCTGTAGAATTCTATCAGTTGTATTTTATCTGTAAAATCAGAATGAATTTCTGGAACCTAAATGCTTTTTCTGTGCAGCCTGAGCAGGAGCGATCACCATTAAGAAAAAGAAAAAGTCAGAATAGCCCAATAAACATGTGGACTGTCCATGGATCAAGTGACTTTTCTCCTTTAGGTTCTCAAAGCTCTTAACCTAGCTCAAAGCTGTCATCTGAACTAGCCAGATGACAGTCCCGTCATTTGAAATTTAGCACCTAGCTTATATATCTGAGTTTTTAACTAAGTGGGATAGTACATGGGGTTTGTGTGACTACACTGTATGACCCATGGAAGATGTCTAACTTGGGTTTCATAGTCTTGCTTTAAAAAGCCAAATGGTCCAGAGCTACCTACTGGGACATGATACAGACTCAAATACACAGATGGATGTTATAGAAGGAAGAGAGGCTACATTCCCCGAATCACACAACAGCAAAGGGAACCTGTACCTCAGCTCACCTACGTGGCAAAGGTGGCTCTTCCTACTCATCAGGCAAGTGGAAGGCCTCCTGACTCAACTTCCCCCAATGATGCAACAAGTTCCTAACTAAGAAGCAACTACTACTTGCACCAGGTGAAGATACATATATATATATATATATATATATATATATATATATATATAATTTTTTTTAAAGCAAGTCACTGTTCTGATTCCAGACCTATACCTATAGTATGATGTAAATATTGTCCATCTAGGTGGTTCTAAAGATTAGCAAGTACAGAGCAGGTACTGCAGTCTTTTTCATTAGACCAACTTGTCTCTCTCATCTACTAGATGAAAAACCCTTCGGCAGCACAAAAAGCCTGAATGCTGAGCAGGCAAACAGCCTAAAGCAATGATCTGAAGGCATGCAATAAGGCAGAGTTTTTCTACCTTTTTGAGTCCATGGCTCCCTTGACCAACTACATTCTTTCTGCAGCACCCCATAGCAGCTCAGGGGCCCAGTTATGTCACAACGTGCCTGCAGAGCTGGCAGCCTCTCACCCTTTTTTGAACACCCTTCCTTGTGGAGTGTTCCCTCAGCCTCCTCTCTCCTCTCCTTGGGAATCCTCTGGGCAGCTGCTGCTGCCACCCCTGATCTCTGAGCTGCCCCCACCCACCCCAAAGATAGGTTCCTCCTCACACTGCCCCACAGGGGCCTGGGACTTGTTTGTCCATTCCCAAGGACTGGCAGGCAGGCTGGCTGAGCTCCCTCACCCACTTGCTTGCTTATTCCAAGGCCACCTCAGCTCCTGTCACCCAGCACCCCCTGGCCAGAACCAGAGGCACCATTTGCCTGGGGAGCTTGTAGGCAGGGCTGCTGCAACAAACAGCTGTGCAAGCCTTTGGGAGGCAGAGACACAAGAGGGAATCAGAGAAGAGAGGGAAGGAAGGAGGGACAGAGGCCAGTGTTGCCCACAGCACTCCTGACTATCATTCAATGCATTCCAGCACATCATTCAAAGCCACAGCGCAACAGACATCATTCAATGCCACAGCACAACAGTTGAAAACCACTGCAATAAGGGACTGTGATTCTGCTTTTCTTCAAGAGGTTCTGCATACCAAGGCTAGACGCTTCTAAATAATGAAGCTCACCGAGGTTTCAAAATAGCATAACGCCCAAGAATGCTGCAGAACTGGCCTCAAAAGGCCTTTCATGAAGGCGTAGGAAAGAGCCAGGGAGGTGATCACAAAAAACAGGTTTCATTGCCAGAACAACTCTGGCTTCTACTCTACTGCTCAGAAGGTATGCAATGAGAGTAGAATTTTGACAGATTAAGGTTGCTTGTGCAACACCCAACTTCCCCTGTTCTAGCCATAACACTTCTGTGCCAGTCCCTGGCTTGAATCGGAGAAAAGACCGTGGAGCATCCAGTATAATGCAAAATTGAAATTCAAGCAATAAATGCAATGCACATTGCATTCACATGGTGCTATGAGACAGAGCTGGTGACATTCAAGCGCTATTACCTATTATTAAGGCTGAGAACATGTTAATAATGATAGTAATTTTATTATTTGTACCCCTCCCATCTGACTGGTTACTCCAGCCACTCTGGGCAGCTTCCAGCATGTACAAAAACATAATAAAACATTAAAAACTTCCCGACATAGGACTGTCTTCATAGTTCTTCACATATGATGGGAGGGCATTCCACAGGGTGGGCGCCACTACCGAGAAAACCCTCTGCCTGGTTCCCTGTAGCTTCACTTCTTGCAGCAAGGGAACCGCCAGAAGGACCTCAGAGCTTCCTAAACAAAGGAATCCTTGCGGCAGCTGCATTTAACACTGGTAAGCCCTGACTACCCATGTGAAATGGAAAGGGGCACTACAAGGCAGAAGTGCATATGCTGATCTGGTACATTCTGGGTCAATGTCTGCTTTGCAGTCAACCAGCGCTTTCAGAGTCAAGCTGGGGGGAAAACGAAGAAACCATGCCTGTGTATATACAGCAAGCAGAACTATCAGCAAAAACAAATCTCTCTCTGCAGTTCCCTGAAAGAACTCCATCAAACCTATCAGCTGGCCTTGCGGGAATTGCCCAACTTTTGTAACCCTGGCCTTGAGCAGCAACTAGGTCACCAATTCAAGGGAAAATACTAGACAGCTCTGAGGGGACTTGTGACTCCACATCCTAATGCTGCAGAAGAGTGCCACACAGCCCAGCACAGATACTGCCAGAACCACCACCAACCCAAACACTCCCCACCCAAAGCTTCGCAATCCAAGATACCAATGACTCCATAGGGAAGATAAACAAATAGTATAGAGGTTTGTAAGCCAACACTGTGTGGGTGGAGTTCTACTCAAGCAATGGGGCTGTCCTTTTCTCAAATCCTCCCTGCAGGCTCCCCGTGCCTCCAATATCTGTTCTGGAGGGAGCCCCCAACAGTTTGGAGCCGATTTCAACAATGCATGGGGGAAAGGAGAACGGTTTGTTCCATCGCACAAGAAACGTTCCATTGGATACAGTTCATAGCATAACAACCCCACTAAAGACATTCAGTCCACAGAGAGGGAGTGGCACCTGTGACAGGTAGCAGGGCCCACAGGGAAGATGTTATGAGTGTGGTTATGGAACCTGTTCGAGCCTATTGTCCACTGGCTGCAAATCATTTTGGAAACTGCAGAACTGGTCCTATATGCCTCATCTCATGTTGATCACCTCCATGACATTCCAATGGACTTATGTATTGGGGACTCCTAATCACTTATGGCAGGATGGCCCAACGAGCAACCCCTGAGGCCTTTTGGGGAGCCCCTCGGCAATGTTCGATGCCTCCAGCCCTTGCTCTGCCTTCTCCAAGGTGGGTGAGTGAAGTGCTGGGCTTTAAGAAGGGGGCCCCCAGAGTTTTGCCTTCCCAAAGTCAAATTAGTGCTTTCCCAGCTTTGGGAAGGAGATGAGAGGGCTAGCCCTGAACATATGGGAAAAGGCAATGTCTGAGCATCACCAGACACAGAAGGGCAGACAAATTCGAGGCATAACAAACAGACAACTTTCAAGAAATGTGGACCCCTTTCTTTAACTGTGTTAATGACCAAAAATCAAGACCTTTCCTATATCAACTGCTCAATACTCTCCATGGAGGGGTTACGTTAAGTACTATGTTTGAGTGTTGAAAGTGTATGTAAAACAAACACCATTATATGTACTGCTAGAGAAGTGTTTAATGGTTATTCTATTTGTATTTTTTAAAAACCAATTAAAAATGTGTTTGGTTTGGTTTTTAAGGAGATAGGAGGGCTCTAGGACCCTACCAGAGCCTGGCACCTTGCTTTGGGAAGGCACAATGAGGGCTTGGGGGGGGGGGACTGTCAAATTTTGGCCTTGCCAAGGCACTGTGTGGCCCCCGGGTTCTGGGTCAAAGTACTCTTGCAGCCCACTTGATGTGAAAAATTGAGCCACCCTGATTTATGAAGGAATCTCAATTTAACACCTCCCTGCAGGTTCGGATCTGCTAAATCTGGATTAGCCGAGATTTATTAAGACCATAAACTACTAGAAGTTTGTGCTCTCACTCCTCCCACGAAGATCTATATCACAATTACTAATTGCTCTGCAGCCTCTTTCTGGAATGTTTTCAAAGAAGGGTTGTGTTTCTTTCTTTCATTTCCTTTCTAAAAATATAAAATTACACATATTTGTGTAAGCTTCCAGAACCCATGGAATTAATGTGAAATGTAAACCTACATGTTTAAATAAAATGCCCTTGGGATTTGGGGGGGAGGGCAAAACGCAACCATGACATTGTAGTGTTTTTTCTCTTTTTTGGGCCATCAAGAATATCACTGACATTTACTCACTTGAGATATAGAAAACCGATCAAGATAATCATTTCTGATCTATAGCATATTATGCATTCTCACCAATACAGAACATACAGTGGCATGACAAATGATCATTCAGCAGATTAAAACGAAAAAAGAAGTATAAGCACAATCTATTATACTGAACTGGGAAGTGTTGTAAAAACCACTCAAAACACTGAGGAAGGAAAGACGATGCTAAGTCTACAGAAGTCTGTGGTTTCGTTAAATGTTTTGTTTCATCCCTCCCTCCCCCCCCCCATATTGGATTTTCCATTGAGATTTTAAGCTCTGTGTATTATTTGTAAGACTTCTTGGTTTTGGTTTAATGAAAGATAGAATAAGAATGCAGTAAATACGGGACAAGGAAACAATTTTATTGCATTCTTTCCAATACAAGAGCTGCCTTCTCCCTTTTTCAGGAAGATTTCATTTTCCTGTTTTTGAACTTGCTCGGCTTTTTAGAAGAAACACATATTTGAGTAAAGTCTATTGGTTTTAATCACTCTATGGAAAGCTAAGAAGAAGGGATTGATAAAAACGGCCAGTTTTCTGTTGAATACAGCTCTAATATTCCATCATCATGGCACCCAGCACATCAAACCATCTCACTATTAGATGTTCCACCATCTAAGAGCCAGCAGTAGGTTAGACAAAGTACAAGAGCATGCCATCCAACCATATTGCCACTCTATTTTCACACTATCATTACGCTTTGAAAGACTTCACAGGCATATTCTAGTTTCACATACATGAAGGCCTGAGTAAATATGTCTCCAAGCTGTATCATTCCGAGGTGCTCATCATCACTAACACAAAAAGAAAACCTTGCCAAAAACAGTTCCTCATTCTGGTTTGCTAGCATCAAAGAGAACCAGTTTCTGTACATTCAAATACAAGCACCTGTATGTAACTTGTGAAATATTAAATTGGTCCCAAATGGGGTGGCCAGATTCCTAGCTCAGGTTCCATTCAGAACTCATATATGCAGCTCATGAAACAGCTGCATTAGCTGCCAGTTTATTTCTGGGTCCAATGTGAGTAAGATGCTCACACTAGTGTTCAAAACCCTAAATAACTTAGGGCCCAAATATCTGAGAGATCATGGCCTTCTCTACAGACCCAGGTGTTAAGATCAGCAGCGGTAGGGGGATGTCTTGGCAGTTTCACTGCCACTACCCAGGTGAGGGCGGTTTGGGTAAGGGAATTCTCTGTGGTAGCCCCTAAATTGTGGAATTCCCTCTCCACACAGGAAATGCTGAAGATGCAGTTATTTTATCTGGGCCTTTGACACCTGAAATGTATATTTTTAGTAACCACCTTACTTACTTAAAGTAAGAGATTCTAACTTACTTTAAACGGTTTTTACAGTTGTGTTTTGAATCGCTGTAACCTGACCTGGGACCCTGGAATGAAGGGTGGGCAACAGATATTGAATTATATTATTAATGGTGACAACTAGTATCTGCAATCTAGTTAAGACTTCCATGTTTACATATTTTCTAACTGAAATACATGAGTGGAAATCAGACAAGACTCCAGAGCCTAAAAGCTGCTTCCACGTGATTTTCTCCAATTCTCCTGTCATTACATCCCAGGCCTTCCTGGGAGTTCAAAAACCTGAAGCTTGGGGTGCCAAGGGGATACAGGGAGCTCCACTGGAGAAGCAGCTAGGCATTCTCCATTGCACAAATGGAATTTCACTGGCCCAGTTCCCAGTGCCATGCAGGCAACCCTGGGTAACATATTTTTGAAAAATTACCATATTTTTCACCCTATAGGACGCACTTTTTCCCCTCCAAAAATGAAGGGGAAATGTGTGTGCGTCCTATGGGGCGGATGCAGGCTTTCGCTGAAGCCTGGAGAGTGAGAGGGGTCGGTGCGCACCGACCCCTCTCGCTCTCCAGGCTTCAGGAAGATATCCGCAAGCCTTGGGAGCCCAGCGTGACTTCCTGCCGGGCTCCCTAGGCTTGTGGATAGCAGCCTGCATCCCGAAGCCTGGGGCGTGCTGAGCAGCGCACCCCGGGCTTCGGACAGATATCCACAACCCTGGGGAGACCGGCGCGACTTCCCGCCGGGCTCCCTAGGCTTGCAGATAGCAGCCTGTTCTGGGGGCTGGGGTCGGGGGAAGCTCGGGCTTCCCCAACCCCGCGCCTGGGGGGGAAATATTTTTTTCCCCTTTATTTCCCCCCCAAAAAACTAGGTGCGCCCTATGGGCCGGTGCGCCCTATGGGGCGAAAAATACGGTATAACCCACTTTTCACCACCTAAGTCTCAAAGTGGCTTACAACAGCAAAAGCAACAACATACAAAATACCTAATTTAAATATAAACTAAAAACTCAGAAATTCAAAACCTCATAAATTTAAACAAAACACTATAGTAGAGGCATCAAGAATATCAAGCAATCAGTGCCCTCTCTTTGGCGGAAGTTTAGCATTGGTGTAAAAACAAGCAAGAGTGTGTATGTATAATATCATACGTAACACACACAGCCTCCAGGATTATTCCATTTTACCAAAAAAAGGCTTACTTTTATCAATATTAAACACATAAATTAATAACACTTCAATATCTAAATAGACACTGTATCTCTTTCCAAAAAAAACCTTATGGAAAAGATAAACAATCCATTTAGTCTAGTACTCAAAACATCCTTCTTCCGCTAATTGCTATTCTGTAATTTCACAAATATATTGATTTGTAAAACGTGCATATTTTAAATAAGACATTTCAACATAAAGCCTCTTACCTTTAAATAAGATCCATAGTATTTGGTAACATATGGACTGTCACACTGACTCAGCACTGTAATCTCTTGTTGAATGTCTTCTATTTCATCTTCGGCTTCTTCAAGATCAATAATTTTTATAGCAACAACTTTCTGACTTTGATTGTCAATTCCTTTAAAAACTTCACCAAATGAACCTTTGCCGATCTTCTCCAGCTTTGTAAAGAGCTCTTCTGGATCTGCTTTCAGATTCTGCAGAAATACAGAAAAGAAAAACACCTTTGATTTTATGATTCTGAGTTCTTGAAGGCATGTCCACTCAAAAGTGAGACTTGCTCCCCAGTAGCATACACAGGATTATGGCGTCAAATAATTTAATTTACACTGTAGATCTCAGTTCAGTACAAATATTCTAGGTTGACAGTTTTAATACAATAGTTTCAAACAAACATGGGAAGGCCTATTCTATGTTCAAACTATTTGCAAACAAGTTTTCATACATCAATTTTGTAATATTCTCCTTCCTAGATACTGAGCCCCATGTGATCTACCAGTAAAAGCAGGGTCATCCCTAAATGAAGTGCCAGAACCCCAATATCTAAATGAACCCAAAACTTCCATCGTGAAAACCAAAGTTCTATGCCAACCACAAGATAAAGAATAGGACGATCTGCACCTAAGAATTTGGATTTATAGAGCTGTTGCAGTTGAGGGGTTGAAAAATTAAGGTGATTTGGGCAAGTAAAATGTACGCTGGTAAAAGGTAAGAGGGCAGAAAGAAGAATGATCTTAGGAAGACAAGGGTGTTAGAAAGGCAATAATTCCATTTTACTCATTATAATTCCAACCCCCAAGTTACTAGGGACCGAGTCTAGCTTACACTGCCAATGTATGCTGTCATACTACATAATATACATTATACTTCCTCAATATAGTGTCCTCCAGATAATTTGGACCGCAACTCCCATCAACCCCAGCTAACGTAATTTCCACCAACCCTGAATGTTGGCTATCAAGTTGAGGAAGGCTGAAATAGCCTCACATATAGGATTGTTGCTGCAGTTGTAACGCAGTGCATGTGTGCAGCATGAGAACTTTGTTCCATTAATGCTTGCTGTGAAGCTTCATACAATTCCACCTCTTAATAACAGAAAAGGATAGAAATGGCTGACAACGTTTACAAGGCACATTTAAGAAGCCCACATGTGCTTGGCCATAACGCATGCAGAGAAACAAGGCCCCAAGCACAATCTGGATCCTTCCCCTTCAAATGACTGGCTTCCATGGTGCCCAAACTAACCTCAACGCATCGCAGTATGCGAGATGAGGGTTGATGCGTTGAGATCAAGCAAAGGTATGTATAGCTTGTGTTTAGAGTTGACTACTAGCAGACACCACAACTACCCTGGGCAACTGTCAAATTAACTAATTAATTTATTAGAACTCTGCCACATTATCGAAACTACTGTCTCTGAGAAGAACTCAGTTCTTCCTAGAAGGTCAATGGAACATTGTGCTAAATTTCATACAAACTACTACTCAGCAGTAACAGAAAGTGTTGATGAAGCATTTAGAATTAGCTTTAAAACACAAATTACATGGCCAGAGAAAACAAACTGTTTTCTACCAATTTTCCAAAAGTGTCAAATCTGAATATGACTAAAGGCATTATGATCATGATTATTAGTATTAGCCACCCATCTGACCGGGTTGCCCCACCCACTCTGGGCAACTCCCAACAAAATATTAAAAACGCAATAAAACATCAACCATTAAAAACTTCCCTGAACAAAAGTTATCTGTTTGATATGGAGGGTGTTCCACAGGGAAGGAGCCACTACCAAGAAGGCCCTCTACCTGGTTCCCTGTAATGTCGCTTCTCACAGTAAGGGAACTGCCAGAAGGCCCTCAGACATTTTAGGACATTTATATTCCACATCATGGGACTCAAGGTGGTGTACTAGGCACTAACGAAGCCTGCTTACTTTCTGCAAGGCCTTCTTAGACCATACCCTGGGACCAATCTTCTATACTGTTCAAAAATAACAAGGGCCCATCAAGTCCACAATATAAGCACTAACCACACAACGAAGAGTCCCAAGGCCTGTTCCCTCTCCCCCAGCAATGTAAATGTACCACAAGACTGGGACTGTGAAGTTTCTATATACACCCCCTCATATTCCCACTCATTTTTACAAGTGGCTCCCATAAGTGTATGTATATAAATGCCAAACTGAACATAAGACAACATAAAATTTCTGTTTAACTATAGAATAACTAGCTAAGAGCAACAGAGCTGCACACAAACATGCTAATAAGAAGGGGGCATATGTGCTTTCTCTGGGGAGGCAAGTTTTCGATTACGAACAGCAATAAAGTTTTACATTTTCAGCTTTACAGCAGAGCTCCACAGAACCAGATTCGCAGAACTAACTGAAAGAGCTATTAAAATTGATGAGAATGTAATCCTTTACTGTGTGTGCTTTATTCAAGCTTATAATTAGCCAGCAGAGCATGTGAATTACTCCCAGGCAACTAGGCCCAAAAACTTTCTAAAAGTTGGGGTTCTTTTTGGGGTTTTTCCCAACTACAAAAAAGAGCAGTCAAACCAAGATGGTGTGTGTATGTAAAACTAGCTTTTGCTAACTTATTTCCAAGACTCGTAGTTTCAATAGTGTTACCAACCCTAGAGGGATATGGCTAATTGACAATATAAATTAGCGTTAAGACAAACAGGTAACCAACAAAAACTAGCAGTGAATTCAATACCTAAAGTACATCTAGAAAAGCAAAACACAAACAAGATTATTATTGTTACCTGATTATAGCAGCAAGTGTAGAAAGAGGCATTTCTGAGGATTGGTTAGAAAAGAAATACATTATATTAGGTGAAATTTACAGTATTTGTGAGGGCAGTGAGAATGCTAAGATTAAGACTTGTTACAGTAAAAACTGTAATTGTATTGGAACAGATATAATCAAAATGTTCCTATGGAAATATTGTTATCTTAAAAGAGGCATAATTTCCTTTTGCCATTCAAAACAGGATGATTAATTTAAGGGAAAATGTGCTCAGATTATATATTGTCTACAGTTATCACTATTTTCGGTTCCCTTTCCATGACAATGCGCCAGCACATGAACTATAAAATGTATGTTTTGCAGATCTAAATAGGGTTTCAAAAAACACAAATCTAGAAAACAGAGCCTCTGAGTTTAACCAGGAAATTCTAGTGTTGCATCTTGGCCACTCTCTTGCGCCTGGCCCCTGCAACTCTTGTCTAACCTGTTTTAGTCAAGAACTTCACCAGATTTCAAAAGGAGGAACCATATCCTGCCTAATCCCCTGTGTCCTTTAACCCAGCTGATCACATGATGTCAGCAACCCTACAGGGCTTCAAATGACTTCTCTCCAGTGGTTCCCAGTAGCTGGTCATGAATAATCCCTTGTTACTCAACAACCTCCAAGACCTTTTCTGAAACAGATGTTGCCCTCCTTGCAACACACCATTTATGAAGCAGATCGGCAAAAGCAATACAGTGGTGCCCCGCAAGACGAATGCCTCGCAAGACGGAAAACCCGCTAGACGAAAGGGTTTTCCGTTTTTCAATGCGCTTCGCAGGACGAATTTCCCTATGGGCTTGCTTCGCAAGACGAAAATGTCTTGCGAGTCTTGAGATTTTTTTTCACTTTCCCCCCCTTTTTCTAAGCCGCTAAGCCTTTAATAGCCTTTTAGCAGCTAAGCCGCTAGGCCGCTAAGCCTTTAATAGCCGCTAAACCGCTAATAGGGTTGCTTCGCAAGACGAAAAAACCGCTAGACGAAGATACTCGCGGAACGGATTAATTTCGTCTTGCGAGGCACCACTGTACAAGGCAGCACCCTAACATCATTTCTATAGGCCCAGTCCAACTTGTAAAAAATGCCTCCTCCCTTCCAAAATCTATTGTCCGTTTTGAAAACACTTGAGGATTGACTGCTGTTCCTCAGCTTCTTTTAGTCCCCTGTATTCAAACCCATTGCATTTTTGACCACCTGAATTGCATTAATAATAAGAATAAGAATAAGAATAATACCTGCCCATCTGGCTGGGCCTCCCCAGCCACTCTGGGCGGCCCCCAACAGAATATTAAAAACACGGTAATACATCAAACATTAAAAACTTCCCTAAACAGGACTGCCTTCAGATGTCTTCTAAAAGTCAGACAGTTGTTGATTTCCTTGACATCTGATGGGAGGGCGTTCCACAGGGCGGGCGCCACTACCGAGAAGGCCCTCTGCCTGGTTCCCTGTAACTTGGCTTCTTGTAGTGAGGGAACCGCCAGAAGGGCCTCGGAGCTGGACCTCAGTGGATGGTGGTGGAGACGCTCCTTTAGGTATACTGGGTCAAGCCGTTTAGGGCTTTAAAGGTCAGCACCAACACTTTGAATTGTGCTCAGACAGAGCTGCAAGGCATGCATGTATATAAACACAAATGCACTGGCAAATGCCATTTAGAGCTTATTCCATTTCTAGAACCTGCAGTGGTACCTCTGGTTATGAACTTACTTCGTTCCGGAGGTCCGTTCTTAAGCTGAAACCATTCTTTACCTGAGGCACCACTTTAGCTAATGGAGCCTCCCGCAGCCGCTGTGCCACCACCGCGCAATTTCTGTTCTCATCCTGAGGTAAAGTTCTTAAACCGAGGTACTACTTCCGGGTTAGCAGAGTCTGTAACCCAAAGTGTTTGTAACCCGAGGTACAATTGTAATCTCCATTCGTATACAGATACTAGGGGACCAGCGGCCTAACACATACCTCAAGGAGTGCCTCTCTCCTCATGAACCAACCCAGAACCTGCACCTGAGGCCCTTCTTCAGACTTACTCTCCACAGCAAGTGTGCAGGGTGGCAACATGAGAACAGTCATTTTCCACAATGGCTCCACTTGTGGAATGGCTCTCCCCAACGAAGCATGCCAGGAGTCATTGCTGTGCTTCTAGGTGCCAGGCAAAACCCTGGCACCTAGAAGACCCAGGCTTATGGTTTGTAATTGCCAAGGCAGTTACTGTGGCCTTTGTGGGACTTATCCTTTAAGTGGTGTGGGTAGGACTTGTTCCTTTTAAATTCAGTGCTGGAATGAGTGTTTAAGGTTTTGTTTATTGCTGTTTTTACATTATTTCAATCCCTTCCATTTTTATTTTTGCTGTGCAAGTTGCTTTGAGGGGCCTGGGTGCAAGCGGTAACAATCACAGCTACAACTCACATCTGTGCTGGAATCTATTTACTAAATGAGCACTATTGGTCTCACCTGTCCCTGAGATCTGACTGTCCACAATAGTTTTTCTTTGTTTTTCTCTTGCTATCAGTCACTTGCTACACCCCTGTTAACTCCTAAGTGTCTGCGCCCAGGAAATGCCAAGCAGGAATTAAAAGAACTCTGGGCCATGTCATTTTTGAGCATGTCGCTTAAAAAGGCTCATATCTGCCACTCACAGTACCAGTACTAGAGTTTCCTGTAGAAGCAGCCTCCCTCCATTCTAGAGGGCAGTAGCTCACTCTTCCAAACCCTGCTTGCTCTTTTTGGCTTCTGATTGGCTCCAGAGCCTCACAAGATCCAGAAACTCCAGTGTACTGGGAAATAAGTTTGCATAAAAACCCTCAAGCATGATATGTAATGCAGCCACAACACTTTACCTCATAATGATGGGCTTGTAGTCTCAGCTGTGCCCCAATAAAATATACCTGCTTGTTTCCAAGTAGAGAACAAGGAAGCACACTTCTCCCCAGCTTCTCCTTCCCATTTTTGGCATAGTTACAGAAGAAAAGGCAGCTCAACTCTCAGGCCCCCTTTCTAGCCAAGGCACAGCCAACCCATTCAGATCTACTGCAGCCTGCAAAGAACAGAAAGCTGCAGTCTGGGTTAGTTCTGCTACTCAGCTTAGCTGAGAAGAAAAGTTCTCTCTTCTTGTGTATGTAGTCACTTATCCCTTGGTCTGGTGAAAAACAGGCCTTCTTCCCTCGCACCACTTCTCCTTGGTAGGCCATAGCAACACCAGGCCAGAAGAGGAAGGCCTACATGTCTGCCACCACTTCCTGGGATCCTGCAGGCCATCAAAATGCAGCGCTCTTGAGTTTGGAAAACCGGACTCGCGTCATAATATACAAAATAGGAATGCACATCTGAATTCACACCAGAGTTCTTCGTCCCTGTTTGCCAGGCACACTCAAAGAGATGTTATTTTATGCTACTTAATGCAAATACTACAACACTACAGATGCAAAACAAGTTTTAAAGACGTTTTCCAAAGAGATGGAAAACTCACGGGTAATAATAAATGAGGCCGAAGACGTACTCCTTCCTTAAAGCATGAAAAGAATTCCTGAAACGGCTAGTATTTTAAATACTCTACAATTAAGTCGCCCCCCCCGCACAACAAATATTACTTCAAGGAGACCATATATGGATTTTGCTAACAAAAAAAAGGGGGGAGAAAAACTTAAGGTAAAACTCGCTAAATCACACGCATTCACTCTCTGTCTCTCACACACACACCCTGGCCAAAAAGTTACCTCTTTGTACCTTTTTATAAACCTCACACAGTACCTGACCCTTACCCAGATGTGATGACCATGGTCATTTGTGTGCCTTAACTGTAGTGGATCAGAACATTGGTTTCTTGTGAGGGGTGGTGTTCTTGTTTCTAAAGGGAGCCCTTTAAAAGATCTTGGCCACAGGATACACACCTGCATTACTGCTAGCCGCTCCCAGGTGACAGCAGAACCCAAAACAAATTAAGGGTTGCCCCTTTATTTAAAACAGCGAACTATCCGAATTGTACCTTGAGCAAGGCACCAACCCCCTCCCTTTGCAAGGGGCGGCCTGAATAGTTGGCAGAGCAGGAGATTCTTAAATATCAGGGTCGTGGGTTCGAGCCCCATGTTGGACCAGGAGATTCCTGCCCAGGGGGTCGGCCTAGCTGACCCTCGCGGTCCCTTTCGACTCTGCATTTCTAGGAGTCTGTCCCCTCAACCCCCCCCCTCAACTGCTCATTTAGACGCTCCCTCCAGCTCCTTTACAAGTTAGCCAGGTTCACCCAGCCCCCACCCTCACCCAACCCAATGTTAGCACCCCCGGGGATGAAACAAACCCCTGCATACCACTAAATTAGCCAGGGGGGAGGAGGAAGTGTGTGTGTAACAAACCGCCCCCCCTCAAAAAAAACCACCTCCCCCTCTGCGTTCCCATTTTGGAGGGGCCTCTCGGATGCAGTTTGAAGCCCATGCAGGGAGGTGGGTTAGGACGGGGGGAGAGCCCGGAGGCGGCGGCTGGTTTCTCACCTGCATGCCCGGCAGGCCAGGCTGCTGCACCGGGGAGTGAGCCATGATGACGGAAGCGGCAGAGGCAGCGCTGCTACCGCCCCTCCTGCGCGCGGGCCCCTCTCCTTTCCTCCTCTCTTGCCTTCCTTCCTTCCCTCCTCCTCCTCCTCTCTCTCGATGCAGCGCCAGGAACGGAAGGATTCACCTCAGCCCCATCCCCAGCCAGCACCCGCTTCCTCCTTCCCCCTCGTGCACCCCCGATCCACCAGGGCTAGGCGAGCTACCAGCCGACTACGGAAGGGACGGGCGGGCGGGCGGGCGGGCGGAGGACTCCCGGGTCTCTGTGCGTCTGTGCGCGCGCGCAAGCCAGCGAAGAGGGCGGGCAGGCGCACAACACAGCCGGGTTTGGGAAAGGGGTGAACCTGGAGGAGGAGCGAATCCTGACCCTCCTCCTCCTCCGCGCACGGGTCCGTAAAGGGAAAGGACGAGGCCACGAGGAGGAGCCACGCTTCTCGCGCAGCCGAGCCGGGCCTATTGGCGCGCGGCGGCGAGGCGGGCGCCCCTCCCTTCCTCCCCAAGAGTTCTGTGAAAACTCGGAAAGCGAACTCGCTTGTAGATGTTCAGATGCACTCTTTATATGCATATATAGGTATGTGTCGCCCGCATCAGCCTCTGCAACCACAGCGCTCGGCTTCGCCCCCGATGGCGCACTCTTCCAATCATAGGGCTGAGGTCCCTTCGGACCCCCAAATAAAATATATGCCCTTAAAGTTGATGGGCATTGCCATTCAAATTTTGTGTGTGTCGTCTTGGGATCGATTTTGCGGGGTGGGGCTTACCCGCCCCCTCCCCATATTTTATTCAGATCGACCCCCTTGCTTCTCAGATGCACGGATGCCAATATATAGGTCCCAATATAATCGAACTCTTGATGACAAATGTTTCCGTTTGTGTCGTGTGTTTTCCCAACTCCACTTTCGCTCCTCCCTTTCGTGTGACCCTGGGCCATTCGGAAGTGGGCGGAGCCAGGCGCAGCTGACGGGGTGATTGCCAGGATCCTGAGGAGGGCGGCGGGGGGAGAGGGCGCAGGGCGCGCGTCCTCCTCTTCTTTTTCCCCTCCGCCTTCCCAGCACCTTTTCCCGGATTGGGGAGCGAAATCGGTGCAGGAATTCGCATGCGCTGACCTTGAGATTCGATTTAGGAGGCATCTGCGGCGAGCAGGTGCATGGCTTCTTGAGCTCTGCTGTGTGGTAATGGACTGCCGCAGTTATGGCTGTTTTAGGTCCACTACAGTATTCATCCAGCGAGCGGTTTAGAAGTCGTGCAGGTTTTCTAGTGCCACGGTCTCCATAGCTAAGAGTGTGTTTTCCTTCTCTTTCAGCCCAAGCCAGCAAAGCGAGAGGCTACTTGCAAGTCTGTCTTACAAAAAGCACACTTCAGTTAACTGTCCTGTGTCTTTCATGCTCAAAGGGCTCTGGTGCAAGGGCAAAAGAGGAAAAAAGAAAGACACAGATTGAGAAGAAGATACTGTAGTTATGCTAATCTCAGACGCTCCCACTGTCTCTATTTTCCAGGAACAGTCCCAGATTTACAGAAGCCATCCAGGTTTCTGATTTGATCCCAGAATGTCCCGCTTTTCCTTAGGACGTCCCTATTTTCATTGGAGAAATGTTGGAAGATATGGAGTTAAGTGACCCCCAAGCCAAGAAGATGAGTAACCTTTAGAAGACATCTGAAGGCAGCCCTGTATATGGAAGTGTTTAATGTTTAATATGTTGTTATATATGTGTTGGAAGCTGCCCAGAGCGGCTGGGGCAACCCAGTCAGGTGGGCGGGGTATAAATAATACAATTACAGTGGTACCTCGGGTTACATATGCTTCAGGTTACAGACTCCGCTAACCCAGAAATAGTGCTTCAGGTTAAGAACTTTGCTTCAGGATAAGAACAGAAATCGGGCTCCAGCGGCGCGGCAGCAGCAGGAGGCCCCATTAGCTAAAGTGGTGCTTCAGGTTAAGAACAGTTTCAGGTTAAGTACGGACCTCCAGAACGAATTAAGTACTTAATCCGAGGTACCACTGTATTATTATGAAATAGGACATCCCTGTTTTCATCGGAGAAATGTTGGAGGGTATGTGATCTCAGGTAGCAGGTTTTCCATTCTGTTCTTCTGTGTGGGGCTAATTGACAAAGACGGCCAATCAATTTCCTAACAACTCTTCATGCGGTTATAATTGTCTACATTCCTTTCTTGGGATGATCAATTAACCATTATCAGAAGTTTCTGTTTTAATGCAGTAAAAGCGTCACACTCACAACCTCAACGCTTACACAATCAAAGAGGTTGCAGATGCTTAATGACACCAAAAGGGCTGGATGAGGTTTCAGCAACACACTCAACCTCACTGGTTTCACAAGGGAGGCTGTCGAGATAATTCGGCTCAAGAATGTGTAGTGTTTATGCCTCACATAGAGTGGCCAGTTGGCAAAGAGGGCAGGGCTCCTGCAACTTTCATAGTTATGTAAAAGCCCCACCTGCTGAAATTCCCTCTTCTGGCATACATCCATGTATTTCCAATTTAAACCCATTTGACAACCGATCTCTTGCGACAAAAAAAGGTGGAGGGAAATGATTTTGAAGGTTCCTGAAAGGTTAGCGTTGGTTAAAACTATTGTTCCTCCTAAGCTAACTTTTCTTATTCAGAGCTTACCAATTTCAGTTTCTTTTAAACAGCTTTGGAGCTGGCAGCGGCAGCTGAATTATTTTATTTTTGCTTGCAAATGACCTAGAAAAGGTGGGAAGCTGCTGTGCTTACCTTTAAAATTGGGGGGGGGGGGCTTCCTGATTTAACTAAGTATTGCCAAGCAAACCAAATTAGACATTTTGTTTCCCACACATTGGATGATACCAATAGGTGGGTACAATTAGAAACCCAAACTATTAATGGGATCACAACTATATCATGTTTTTTTGTTTTTATTATGTATTTCGTGTTTTCATATTTTGATTTTATGTTGTAACCACCCTGAGACCTGTGGGTATAGAGCAGTATACAAATATAATACAGCGTAAAGGTAAAGGGACCCCTGACCATTAGGTCCAGTCGTGACCGACTCTAGGGTTGCGGCGCTCATCTCGCTTTATTGGCCAAGGCGTACACCTTCCAGGTCATGTGGCCAGCATGACTAAGCCACTTCTGGCGAACCAGAGCAGCACACGGAAACGCTGTTTACCTTCCCACCGGAGAGGTACCTATTTATCTACTTGCACTTTGATGTGCTTTCGAACTGCTAGGTTGGCAGGAGCAGGAACTGAGCAACGGGAGCTAACCCCGTTGTGGGGATTCGAACTGCAGACCTTCTGATCGGCAAGTCCTAGGCTCTGGGGTTTAACCCACAGCGCCACCCGCATCCCTCATAATACAGCATACCCTTTCTTAAAGCATAAATTCAGAACCCATGTCTTATAGATTCATATAAGCCAAGCTAATGTGCTGGAAGGGGAATGTGGGTGTGTTGTTCCCTGCCATGTCGCTGGTGATCCCTCGCCCTTCCACTCTTTGTATCTAAATGTACTGTATATCATATTTATTATGCAACTAAGTGGAGGGCTAAGGGATTTTATAGGCTTTTAGTTTTATATGTTGATGGCCAGTGGATGATTTAATTATTTATTTTACTTGATCTGATCCTTCCTTCCACCCACATATACATGGATCTCCCAAAATCCTTCTATCAATGCTTCCGACTTTTAACAAACTCCTATGGTCCCGGTAGCAGCAGTGTATAATTACTCCAGTCTAACATCCATGTGTCCTGGAATTTGCAGTAATGTGGCTGAAGAGAGCCCTGGTCTGTTACCACGAAAAGGGGGCCTCACCATAGCCCATCAATTGCCAATCCCTCTCTGTTATACCTTAAGAAATCTCTTTAGATTGTTGCTTGTTTTGATAATCTTTTTTGGTTTATAAGATAGTCTGAAGATGGGGGTGGTATGTAAGTCATACAGACAGGCCTTTTTTTAAGCTGAGACTTGCCAGAACTCAGTTGGCACCATTGCCATTCTAACAGAACGAGGGAGGTGTTTATGGCGAGTTCCAGCACCTATTTTTTTCTAGAAAAATAGCACAGTATACAGATGAGGAGCAGTGCAAAAGGTGACATTCCCTTCTGGACAGTCTTCCAAAGGCCACATGAGAGTGGAGGGCAAGGACAAAGGCAAAAGTGGGCAAAGCTACAAATGTAATTTTACCTTTGTACAGCAGACCAGGTTGTATTTGCATTCCTCTCTATCTTCCACCCAGACAAGGAGCATTGTCAGAGTTCACGGACATGTTTTAGGCAGGCAGAATCACTCAAGGCAGGGCCAATGAAGGCTGTAGGCTTTCCCTGGTGCCCCCATAGAGTCTCCTCCACCCTCTTAAATTAGCATTTTATTGTAATGAAAATGGTGTGTTCCTGGTTGCGGTGATGTAGTGGGGCCATGGATTTACAAAAGGCTGCCAATTCCTGTGCTATCCTGATCCTCAACAGGAATGAAACAGAAAGCCCAGCTCTCTTCTTCCTCTGAGAAAGTAAACCAAACCATTCATTTCTGGAGTCGCAGTTTTATTTCGTTTGCCTTTGCTTCTTTATAATGCAATTCTTCTTTGTTCATCTCTACCACAGTAGGCACCTGAAGCTAGATTTGGCAGTCCTCTGGCAGAAAACAAAGGAAGAGGTGTGTAGTGCAATACCAGGGTCATGAACATTCAACTGGCTCAGATACGTGTTTTCAGGAGGAAAACCCCTCCACATATGTATAATAGCAATCATTATCTGTTTGACAGCATATCAAAGAGCCTCTAAAGCCTGTATGTTTTGTGAGACAGGAGCACTTGCCTTCTGCTACAACATAAAATTAAAGCAGTTCTGTATAAAAAAATAATACTTTGAATGTCTTTTCATTGTGGCCAGGTGTAATTAGGTTCAGATCCCTTTTTAAGTGCAAAATCTGCTGAGAAAGAACTGGGAGGTCCTCATTTTCTTCACAGGAGAACAGATTTCTTAATCTTTGCCCTCAGGAAGGAGGGTGTATTTTGATGGTGTTCACGAACCATCCCTGCCCAGTGATAAGGCAGCACTTGTGTGTCTTGGACTAGAGATGCCAATGTCCCAATGACAGTTTATATTCTCATTCAGCCTTTAGTATATGCTCACATCTGAGTCTGTAAAACGGGTGCATTTCCATTTTCATAAGATGGCGGTTCCTTTTCCCTCTTCTTTTCCTCCTCTACCATTTGAGCTTCAACCTCAACTGGATCCACATAAGTGTAAAAATAGGCCATGATGGCAAAAACAAGGGTAACTGCAACAAGTAAAGCTGCAAACAGAACGTATTCTACCCACTGTAAAAAAAAAGGGGGGGAAGGTTTTAGATTTATATATATTTATATTTATATATACAACATGCTATTGCTAACGAATAAGCATTTATGCATTAATTCAAAGAACAAGAGGATTTTTAGCAGAAGTCATTACATTATTTTAAAGCTTGTTTCAAATATTAGCACAGTCACATGAAGTGCCCTTAGGAATCCAAACTGCCTAGCTTACCTCTTTTAGGAAGTAGCACATGGTTCAGGAAAATTGAGATTGCAATCCTAACTGTGTCTACTCAGAAATAAGTCCTGTTGAATTGAATGTGGTTTACTCTCAGATAAGCGGGGTTGCAGCCTGATGGGGAACAAATTTCCTTGCACTCCACAAAGGCAGTGGATAAGGAACAGGGGTAATTTTTGTAGGATTGTGTCTGGCACTTAACACGGAAATTCTGGTATCTAGAGATTTCCATTTCTATAGGTTTAACAGAACCTTTCTTTGGCTATGCTATTATTACTACTGCTAGTACATGGGCTACAAAATTGTGCTCTGCAAAAACTTAAAACTTCTGATTCGTTAATTGAAGTCTTCCATCTTTAGATGCAAGTCATGTCACAATTGCTACCATCCAACTATCAGAGGTTACAAAGAAAGGAAAAATATACGATAACAAGAAGAGATGAGGAAAACAACAAAGAGAGGAATGGACAGAACTGTGAATATTAATTGGACAGAACTGCGAATATCAAAGCAGCAGCAATAGAGATGATTGGATCCCTTTCTGAGCTCGAAGCATGGGTACCCCCAACAAAAATTTAAAATTTGGCTCTGTAATTTGGAACTAATGTGATTTGATTGGTTTGTTAATAAAAATAATTTTTTAAAAAAAAAACAATTGCTACCATCCAGAATCACCAGATTTCCTGAAGTTCTCCGACCTAACCATATGCTTTTGTACCAAAATTAAAGTTCCAGATGTTGAGTGTGAAGGTTCTCCAGTGACTTATCCCCACTCCCCACCCATACAGGATACAAGATATACAGCCCATATGAACACACAAGCCTTATTGAACACAGCAAGACCTGTTTCTGAATGCATAGGATTGTGTTGTTAATGTACTGGACCCCTGCTACCTTCATGGAACCTATATCAAAGATTCCAACACGTAAAACTAACATTAGAGATCAAGGATTCAAAGCCATCTGTATTTCTTGCTGTGCATCGTATTGACATCTTTGCATGCTCAGTATTCTACTGAAACTACAACTCTGCCATAGTAACAGAGCTGTGTTTTAGTGACTTTTCTCCCCATACAACGGTGTTCACCAGTATATCTATATATAAAAACTTGTAGCCCTGATGTTAAGACAAAGTTTACTTTACCTGTTCTTCAATTTTTGAAGCTCCAGCTATAATAAGAACAATGATATTCCCCACAGCCACTGTCAACAGCCATCCAGCTTGCAAAACAGACTTCATGTTTGCAGGAGCCTACCGAAACAAGTTATTTAATTGCACATTGTTTTGAGGTACAGTATTGAATATTTATGATTCAAAATTGGCTTTTCAAGGGCCAGTTGCATATTTAGCAATTATGTCAAGGCTATGGGGATGGATTAAATACCAAACTCAGGAGGCAGAGGATGCAACACTTTCCTTCCCCACTGTGGTTCCAACTAAAATCACCCCTACACTTGTTTTTTGCTCTTACTAGGGCGAATGCCATCCACACGTGGCGGGGGGGTAATTACTGGGGTTGCAATGGGATCGCAGTTCCCATGGAGAAAAAAATGTCAAGAAGCATCCACCCGCCCACTCTGCTGAGCTTTCTATTAATTGTTTTTAACAATCCTGATGTGATTGCTATATGCACCATCTAGTTTTGCCCTCCTGGTGGTTGGATGTAGCTCGTAAACGTTTGCAAGCTAAGAAATTACTTCTGGAACAGAGTAGAATTCTTTGTTCTTTTTTGATCACACCTAGTCACCAAAAAACCCCATAGCTTGGCTTTACTGAATCACATGCTCTATCAGTGGTTCTCAACCTGTGGGTCCCCAGATGATGTTGGACTACAACTCCCATCATCCCTGAGCTCTGGTCTTGCTAGCTAGGAGTGATGGGAGTTGTAGTTCAACAACATCTGGGGACCCACAGGTTGAGAAAGGCTGAACTGTATCAGATTCTACATGGGAAGTACTGTGCGGACTAGAAAAATATTCATAATGAGAACACCATTGAAAAATACAAATCTGAGTTCACAGAACTATGCTGTGTGTGTCAGATGGCTTAGGATCCATCTGACATGCATAGATTCTACAAGCTCACTTGCAAATCCTACTGCCGGTCTTTCCTTGGGAGCAGTCTGCATGTGTTTCTACTTTATAACATCTCAAGGCTACCGTTGCAACTGAGAAATCTCTCAAGCAAAGTCATCTACCTGGTCATATGAAAACGATAGTCCAGTGACTGAGAAGACCACTTCGGCACAGGTGATAATGAAATACTGAGGAATTTGCCAGGCCATACTGATTGTGTTGGGTTGAATGTCTTCAACATAGTTGAGGAGTACGTCACTGCTGTTGCACTGAAAGGAAAACCAAATTATATTAATCCACACAAAGCCCTGCATTTTAAATAGGCAGCACAAATTAAAAATAACTTTAATCACAGCGTAAACTGACACTGAAGACGTAAAATATGAATAACTGCAAAAGACTACCCCTTTTTTAAGTTGTTCACATTAAAAAAGATTATTATAAGCAAATCAACAATGAGAAACACAGTGATCTCAGGTGCACTCGTCCAGAGATTCTGATGGCTACAAAATCTCCACTGTGCACACTGACAGAGCTTCCATGTCACCAAAGACTCCCCATTCATTTCAATGGAAGAAACAAGGGAATGCTTGAAGGGAGATACAGTCTCCACTAAAGTGAATGGGAAAGCATGTTCATATAAAGAGATCAATGTGCAGAGAAGAGCACATGACTATGGATTAAGTATGGGAGTTGTATATTATGACTACCAGATGATGATAATAATAATAATCCCAATTGACTGAGTTGCCCCAGCCCTCTGGGCAGCTTCCAACAAATCAAAACACAGTTAAGATTTCAAACATTAAAAACTTCCCTATACATGGCTGCGTTCAGAGGTTTTCTAAAAGTCAGATAGTCTATAGTCAGACAGATAGGAACTAAATCTTCAATAGATAGCAGATCATCCAGGTATATTTTAATTTGAAACCAAAAGCCTTTGAATTATAAAGTGGCTTGTGTATTTTAAGTTTAAACAGATCCTATTTACATTTACTGTGACTTCCATCATTAGCTATACCAACTCTTCAGTGCTAATCTTTTACATGTGTTTACAACAGCAGTATACTTCTAGTCATATATATTTTACTTTGGTAACTTTGGTATGGTTATGATGTGATATTTGTTATATATCGGTACTGGTGAGCCTCTGGATACTGTTGGGCTCCAACTATCATCAGTCTTAGCCAGCATTGAGAATGGTCAAGGATAATGGCAGCTGCAGGGTCACAGACTCCCTAATCTTGATATTTATGGTCAGATAGCAAGCCATAACGAGGATAAAAACACCATTATAATTCATGTGGAATAATTCATGCACCATTGTTAACAGGTACCCAGAAACTTTCATTCAACTGCCAGTGGTGTTTCAATATTCCTTAAAGATAAGCAAAACAACTTACCCCATCTACTATGATAGTGTAAGCGCTGCCATACCCAAATGTCAAAGACTTGCCACTGCAGTTACGAAGATTGCTGAGAATGGTAACAGTGATTTCTTTTCTGGGAGGAAAGATGGGAGGGGGTAAATGAAGTCTGATCACAACCTACCCAATTTAATTCACTTACGGTATATGAAGCTGTAGTAGTAGTAGTAGTAGTAGTAGTAGTAGAAGAAGAAGAAGAAGAAGAGCTAGTATTAAGAGCAACAGCCTGAGCATTATTTGTTCAGCTTACAGTCATTAACCATGTGCATTTCGGGTTAACGGCTTACTCCCAGTTCTAAAGCTTGCTGTGGCAGGATATTGTCTAAGGAAGTTTTTCTGACCACTCTCCCAGTGCACCATCGTTACTAGTGATCAGAATGAATTATATTATTCCATAGCACAGGCATAGGCAAACTCGGCCCTCCAGCTGTTTTGGGACTACAACTCATCATCCCTGACCACTGGTCCTGTTAGCTAGGGATGATGGGAGTTGTAGTCCCAAAACAACTGGAGGGCTGAGTTTGCCTATGTCTGCCATAGCATTTAAAAAGTAAAAACTACCCCAATTAATGCATGTTTCCTTAATGACTTCTCACCAGGAACTAGGAGGCTCTAGAACAAGAGGGGGCAACCTTTTCGGCTTGGCAGGCTAAATCTGTATCTTTGACAGGTGGGTAGGCCTCTCCATTTCACCTGCCAATAATCCGACACCATGATGATGATTGGCAGGCCCTGTCAAAGCTGGCCTGCAAGGGTAAAGGGGAGTCGCTGACCAAGTTTAATCCCGCTTTCTGAAAGCAGTCGATCTAGTCACATCTGTAACTGTCCCATACTTGACATTACATATGACTTCAGGTATGGAGCAGGTGGATGTGGTTTGGGGAATATGGCCTTGGCAGGTGAAATGGAGAGGCCTTGTGGGCCAAAATCCACCTACAAGCCAGAGGGTCCCATCCAGCTGGTCTAGAAAAAGAGCATTTGCTTTACACAGCTTTCTCTCCTGCCAACCCCAATGCAATCTTCCAAAACTCACCCACGCTTATTGGTCAAGCATGCATCTGTTTTCTCACATTTGAATCTTCTTCTCTCTTTTCGAGCTGACTCCCACCACCACCACCTGTCTTCTGGCAGCCAGCATTTTATTTACTCATAATTACCTTGGACTTTGCATTTGTTCCAGGGCATGGCGGGGAAAATGGCAGCCCCTGACAGCAGCAGTATTTTTTGTGGTGGCTGCCGTCATATTATTACAAAAAGTGTGCACATTTTCTCCCTCACAAGACTAACAGCAGTTTGAAGGGGCCATTTAGAACAGGCAAACAGTACAGTGCAAGAGGGACTAAAAATATCTCCACCATCACCAGTTTATCAATCAAATTCCGGGCCTCATAGCTCTATTGCAGTGAAAAATACATTCAGAGATCCAGTCACAGATTTTCTGCCTAATATACCCTAGTCTATTGAAGCACACATCCTATGAGTATTCTCAGTTCCTTAAAGATACTCAGATTTGTTGTAGCATAAGCTTTCATGGACTAGAACCCACTTCATCAAACAAATGTTGGCACTGAGACAAATAATTGCAATAAGACAATTATTTGTTTTATAACTAAAGTTTTTACTTGTACCGTATTTTTCTGTGTATAAGACGATGGTTTTTTCTTAATTTTTTGAGTAAAAATGGGGGGTTTTAAACACGGTTTTCAGTAGGGCGATCAATAACTTTGAGGGCAATCACCCCAAAGTAGCTCAACAACTTTGAGATCCCCCCCAAAAGTTTAAAAATACTGATTTCTTAATTAGGGGTTCAAAAAAAATAGGGGTTGTCTTATACACAGGGGCATCCTATACATGGAAAATTATGGCATATATTATATGGTTGTAACCCACCCCATGATCTTTTGGTGAAGGGCAGGTTTAAAAAATCTGGCAAACAAACAGTAATACTTACTCTCCTCTTTGGAAAGCCGTGTAGTTTGTGGCAGAAAAATAATCCACATATCCAAAGGTAACTCCATCCATAGTGATATTAATAGTTGAATCCATATTGTTTATGAACCTTTAAGACATGATTTAAATTAAGTGTTTTTAAACAACACAATTTATCAGTTATTGTAGACGTGGGGAACTTTTGGCCCATCAGTTGATGCTAAACTCCCATCATCCTTGGCCAACTTCTATGAGCACTAGCAAGCATTCCCAGACGTTTGTATCAAACTATTAATACAAACTATGAAGTCCAGAGACTCTATGCAAGGTAATATGAATTTGTGACACCCAAGACTTGAAGGTCTGTGTAACTTAAGTGAAAGGACATATTTCTTCTTTCATTTATATACAGTGGTACCTCGGGTTAAGTACTTAATTCGTTCTGGAGGTCCGTTCTTAACCTGAAACTGTTCTTAACCTGAAGCACCACTTTAGCTAATGGGGCCTCCTGCTGCTGCTGCGCCACCGGAGCACGATTTCTGTTCTCATCCTGAAGCAAAGTTCTTAACCTGAAGCACTATTTCTGGGTTAGTGGAGTCTGTAACCTGAAGCGTATGTAACCTGAAGCGTATGTAACCCAAGGTACCACTGTAATGGATAACTCAAGAATGGTGAACCTTTGGCCCTCCAGATGTTGCTGAACAACTTTGTTAAGAAAGATTTTTAAAAAATTATGTAGCCGAAAAGCTCCGTTTCTCAGTTGCTCCAATTTTTGTTAAAGGAAGTTGTTATATCTTATGAAATCCCATTGCTGTTGAAGCATCATTCAGACAGGAATGAAACATTATAGTCCATGCATGCATACTGCCAAAAAGTTCAGCCCCACTACACTAGGCCTAGGGATAGTCAACACATCACTACACGTAGTTGTTCTGTACCCACAAGTAGGCAGCAACAGGTGGACTGGCTGTGTGGAGCAGAGCAGAGGAACTTGCAGCAGAATGCCCTATGTTTTGAAAATCACTAGTGATTAAGGTGGGGAAAATGACACAGGACTCGTTTCCCTTTGAACAGAAGTCAATTTCTAAAATAAAATTTAAAAACATAAAAATGAATATATTACCTGATCTCATTGTTTCCTTGCTCTGGTTTTTCTGTGAGGCCATCCACAAGCTGAGAGAACGGAGATTTCGGGTTAGAGGAGTCTAATGGCTATTTTATAATGCCATTCATTTTTAACCAATGCTTTGTACAAACGATAATTCAGCATTCATAAACAGTTCTTGTTCAACTTGAATCAATACTCCCATATTAAAATGCTCATGCAACTGAAAACAGGGGTGGACTTTTGAAATATGGGTGAAGATGGAGAAATATGGATCCTGGGATATGCCTCCATGGACCATAACATCATAGGCAGTTTTAGACCTTGGATTTAATGGTCTCACAAGGTCTCCTTCAGGCAGCCATGTGTGATATTTTAGTTGTGAACCACATCATTAACATTTCCCTTCTCCCTGGCTCCACCGCTGCTATTCCATGTTTTAGAAATGCTTCTTCATTCCTGATATGTTAGAGCAGGAGAAGGCTTGCCAAGCCCATTAAAAAAAAAAAAACTTTGATCATGTGTGGTTTTACATTTCGAAAACATTTCAATCATCGTAGCATCGTGATTATGCTGAACACATTTACCTGGGAATAAGCACCACTATGTTTTAGAAAAGGGTAATATATTCTAAATTCAAAACAATAGCGTGAGCACCTGTAACCAGGTACATGCCTAGCTGGCTGCCTCCTGACCAAGTGCAGATGTTGGGCCTGTTTGTCCCTGCCCCCCAACAACTGCAACTCTCAGGGTGGTCCTGGGGGAGGGCCTTGCAAACCCTGGCTGCACCTCTGTATAGAATTACAAGCCAAGTGTTAATTAGCATCAGTGTTAATCACCGTTGAGGACAACAGACTGCCCTCCTAACAAGGATTTGAAGTCAGCTATCAACACTGGTGAATACAGAACTCTGGTTATCCTTAACCAAGATTAACGTCGGTGGAATCTAGACACAAATAAAAAACGTTGTGGAATTTTTTATTTTTTATTTTAAAGTTTTGAAAAATATATTGAATTTGCCATAGCTCACCATCACCATCTAGTGTCACATTTGTATAATGCACTTAATTTGTATAATGCACTATAATTTGTTGTAAACACACTTAAAATGTTTTATTAGTACAGCTGTATCAGCCCTTTTATGTGCTTCAGTTTCCCTCAGGCTTCCAACGAAGACAGTTTTTTTCCAGAAAGTTGCCAGAAGTATCTACCTGGCATTGGACTTCCTGAGTATTATTTTCATATGCAACAGAAACTAGAAGGCTGGTTTCTTAACTAGCTTTTAAACTGACTTACCAGCTCAGCTTGGACCCCAGCTCTATTTGATATTTGAAGGGTGTGACGTTCTTTTCCCACGTAAACAAACGTTTGATTAAAAAATTCCTTCCCAAAGTTTATATCAATATTTTTTAACTCGGTTGTGTCAAAAGTGAAGTAGTCTGTCTATAAACAAAGATAAAATACAATGAAACAGTTAACATTCCTTTCACCAAAGAACTTTGATAAAGCTCAGCTTGCCTCTTATATTACAGATCACAACAATTACAGCTACACACAGTGCATGTGAAGATCATAGGGTGTTTGTTTGTTTGTTTGTTTGTTTGTTTGTTTGTTTGTTTGCTTGCTTGCTTGCTTGTTTGTTTCTCTCCCTCCCTCTCAAAAGAGGTAGTAAATCAACACTGATGTACAGTGGTACCTCGGGTTAAGTACTTAATTCGTTCCGGAGGTCCGTACTTAACCTGAAACTGTTCTTAACCTGAAGCACCACTTTAGCTAATGGGGCCTCCTGCTGCTGCCGCGCTGCTGGAGCACGATTTCTGTTCTCATCCTGAAGCAAAGTTCTTAACATGAAGCACTATTTATGGGTTAGCAGAGTCTGTAACCTGAAGCGTATGGAACCTGAAGCGTATGTAACCCAAGGTACCACTGTAACCTTTTCCTTCTTTTCATAACATGAAAAACTGGAGTATAACAACCTTCATGGTAATCCAACCAGTGGTGGAGGAAGGGGGCGGTGTGGCAGTCCACCCCGAGTGTCACCACTGAGGGGGTGACAAAATGCCGGGTGGCACTCACCGCAGGGCCTGCAGTGCACCCAAGCCATGCATCTCTCCTGGGAGAGACAAGGTGGCTTGAGTGCACCCAGACTCCGCGCTGCTCCAAATGGTCCACCGGCCACCTCCCCCTCAGCTGAGCGACTGAGTAGGAGGAGGCAGGCAGACTGCTTGGAGGCCCCGCGGAGCGTCCTGCCCTGGGCTCAGGGCACACACGCCGCCCCAGGCACCCAATCGACTTGCTCCGCCGCTGAATCCAACTGAGATAGACCTGGAGCTAAGGGGGATGCTGTTAATAAAACAAGAAACCAAAAACAATGTTTGGGGATATAACAGAAGCACCAGTTCCAGGATATAAGAAATTGCACTCCATTTAGGATATCTTGTACAAACTATCACATTTTAAGAAGGATAAGCTATAAGCAACAACTCTACAGAGTAAGTTTTACCCAAAGTTGACCCATTGAAATTAATGGACTTTAGCCCTGTTCATTCATTTTAAAGGGCTTATTCTAAGTAAAACTTAGATTGGTAAAACCACCCTTAGATTAGAAAAAATAAGAATGAAGGGAAATATTTCTGTTGCAATGGAAAATATGGAAAATAATTGCTTTGCCTAGCTACTGAAGCCAGTGCTTTTTTCTGGGGGTACTCAAAGGTACTCGAATGTACACAGTACCAGCACCTTTTTCCAGATGTTGTGGCACTTAGGGTAACAACTTCATGGTAAGCACCTTTTTTTTCTTAAAGAAAGCACTGACTGAAGCTGTCCCGAGAACCCTATTGGACATTAAAGTGGGATCTAAATGGAATTTCAGTGTACCATTTCCACTTTTGGACTATTTAAATCGCAAACCATCCACCAGTGAAAACACCAAAACATGAATAAATGGAATAGTTATTACCAAAAAAAGCACATGCCACAGATTCAAATAATACAAAAGTTAAAATTAAATGCAAAATTGATTCTCAAAACTTACTGAATTTGCAGGACCCACTTCAGCAGTCTGATTGGTACCAGTAAAGTTAACTGTTGCACTGGTGTTCCCCATATTTATTATTTTGATTTGGGACTGGCCTGCAGCAGGAAAAACTGGAATAGTTTTCTGTAGAGGAAGAAAAATGTGTAAAAAGAAAAGGGTCACCTTTTTTAAAAAGCACCTCTTTCTTTCCCAGGGCAAAACCATACATTAAAAGAAACACCTAAAGTTTCCAAATCTTTTGTTTTTCATAAAATACTAATATGGAAGCAAAGTCATTTGCTTAAACCTTCCCACTGCTACTGATTTTCTCTGGCAAATCCCCAGGCCTTTAAAATAGGTGTTTCCCCTCCCCCCTCTCTCAGCTGGGCTCCAAAGGCAAATTAGTCCATCTCAGGGTAAGTTGCATAACTGAGGAGGAAACTTGCATGGAAGTATAATGGGTGGGAGAAAGGAAACACTAACTCACCCTACATTTCTCAAATTCTGCCCTGCAAGTGTGACTCTACCCATATGGCCAATATTTAGGTAAAGGTAAAGGGACCCCTAACCATTAGGTCCAGTCGTGGCTGACTCTGGGGTTGCGGCACTCATCTCGCTTTACTGGCCAAGGGAGCTGGCGTACAGCTTCCAGGTCATGTGGCCAGCATGACTAAACCTCTTCTGGCTGTTACGTTGTGGGTGAACATATCAGACGAGACAGCGATTCTTCCAAAGCAGCTCTTTATTTGTAAGCTGGAACAGAACTGAACTGAAGGGCTCAGTCAGCCTGCTTATATAGAGCTCCACTACCTTGTTACTGTAACAACTTTCTAAAACTATCCAATCACTGAACGTCACTTTCGATCCTTCATTTGCATACAAACTATCCAATCACTGAACGTCACTTTCGATCCTTCATTTGCATAACTATCTACAGTATCCCCCTGCTGGCCCAGGGTGATAACTTCAGTACATAACACCGGTGAACCAGAGCAGCGCACGGAAACGCCGTTTACCTTCCCGCCGGAGCAGTACCTATTTATCTACTTGCACTTTGATGTGCTTTCGAACTGCTAGGTTGGCAGGAGCAGGGACCAAGCAATGGGAGCTCACCCCGTCGCAGGGATTCGAACCACCGACATTCTGATCGGCAAGTCCTAGGCTCTGTGGTTTAACCCACAGCGCCACCCGCGTCCATGGCCAGTATTTAATCCCTTATAAAAGTAAGAAGGGAGGTTGCATGCCACCCTAATCTCCAAGCAGTGCAAAATTCTAGGGATTCTAGGCTAGGGTTTGTGTTTACTTTGGAAATGAAGCAGAGATTGTGGTGTCCTTGTGATATATACTTTATTTACACATATATACAACCTGAGTCTACAATGCAGAGGTTCACAGCATCAACACCCCAAGAGGGCCTGTTTCCCCGACAGCCGCAGCCCTGGATTCAAACAGGAATCAAGCATTGCTCTGTCTCTTTCCAGCTTACTGCTTTGTCTCTAGCAAACTAGGCTCTGCCTCTCTCTTAATAACTATTCCTGAGCTGAAAGGGGAGCCCTCAACCATTTCCCGTTTTCCACAGAGCCCCCTTTTTTTGTTCTCCTGACTGGAAAAGAAAGAGAATCCGAAAGAACCAAAATTGACAGATCCTTCCACCCCTTTTCTCTGTTGTATTTTATATCATCGTATGAAAACCTGAAGCTGCCTTAAGACAGGTCATCTGTCAGTATGCCTAGTACATTATATCCATTTAACTAGATATACTGGTGCTGTAACGGACGCGGGTGGCGCTGTGGGTTAAACCACAGAGCCTAGGACTTGCCAATCAGAAGGTCGGTGGTTTGAATCCCCGCGACGGGGTGAGCTCCCATTGCTCGGTCCCTGCTCCTGACAACCTAGCAGTTTGAAAGCACGCCAAAGTGCAAGTAAGATAAATAGGTACCACTCCGGCGGGAAGGTAAACAGCGTTTCCGTGCGCTGCTCTGGTTCGCCAAAAGCGGCTTAGTCATGCTGGCCACATGATCCGGAAGCTGTACACCGGCTCCCTCGGCCAATAAAGCGAGATGAGCGCCGCAACCCCAGAGTTGGCTACGACTGGACCTAATGGTCAGGGGTCCCTTTACCCTTTACCTTACTGGTGCTGTAACTGGAGACCATCTGAATGCAAAGTATGTCCTCTGCTACTGAATTGTGGCCTTCCCTTCTCAGATGAATTTTGACCCTATTCAACTCCATGTTCTCCAAAGTGGTCTCTTGTTTTCCCCATAAAAATAATTCACCCTATCTTTTCAGCATTCCCTCATATATGAATTTGCTAAGAAGGATGTTGGGGGGGGAGCATGTTAAATATTTTCAAATTTTCATTGTATGCTTTATTTGCAGGATTTGGTATTTCTGTTTGTCTGATTTGTATAAACAATTTTTAATACTTCAAAATCAAACCTCTGTTCTTTGCCTTAGTGGTAAAAATGAAGACAAAAAGCTAAATGGTTAGGCCTTGCTAGATTTTTTTTTACTTACGTCTATCTGTACCTGCACCACAGCAGCAACGACAAATGCCAAAGCCGCCAACAACATGCCAACTGTCATCTTCCTCAGAGGGCTGGTGAAGGAAGATGGAGAAAGCAGATTTTCAGAAGCATACTTGGCTTGGAACAATGACAGGGAACTCTCTGAAACTCTCCAGATATTTGTTGGACTAGAACTCCCGTCATCCCTGCTCACTGGCCGTGCTGGATGATGCTGATGGGAACTGCTGCCCAATAACATCTGAACAGCCACAGGTTCCCTGCCACAATTTGAAATTTAAACCCACTGCTGCTTACAAGTCTTTGAAAATGATTAAAATTGCCCCTTTGCACATTTTAAACTATCCCTGTGAGCATCTTAGAAATATTCTCCAGTAGTCCATAGAAAAATTGCTTGCAAAGATGGAACTTATTAAATATCCCCATGGCTTTTAGGGTCTCTATAACACTAATTACTAGCCTAAATTCTCCAGAAAGCCACATTGTTTATAGCTTTTTCACTACATTATTTATAGCACTTAAGGAAGATGGCAGGCTCAAAGCTCATTCCGGCCACTTTCAGACATCACAAAATCTTCCCTTCGCATATGAAGCAATAGCCCATAGAATAAGTGCTCTAGTTTTAGTTATTGATGCTCAGCAATAAAGCCACATTTTTTTCCATTTGCCTGAGGGTAAGACCAAAATTCATCTGAAGATAATTTTCAGGAATTTTTTCGTTGTGCGGTTCTGCCTAAACTTTGGAGAGCAATTGTCATATTAAAAATGTTTTTAAATACCAACCCCACCTAGTCTGTATGTTTTCCCCACTGCCGCCCAACTAGCTGAATTTCACCACATTCACTTACGTGAAATTAATGTGACATTTCTTAATTAGAGGATAAACAACAGCATCTACAACTGGGACCATTATAACAATGAGGATTGGGTTTACAGTCTGTTGAGAGGAAAGGGGAAAAAGCACGAGAAAGTTAATAACTTTCAAACAGCTTATATAAAGGTCGCTTGAAATAGCTGAAAACATAAATATAAAAGCTTACAGCACCTGCATCTGGTCTGGCTGAATCTGAACAGGGCCCTGGAGAAAAAGAGAGAGATGTATATCTTAGTTTTAAGGTACTTGTAAGTTGAAACTTTAAATATCCTTGCCCAATCTAGCCAGGAGTATCCATGCATGTACAGCTGGATCAGACCAAATTTTGTCTATTATTATTATTATTATTATTATTATTATTATTATTATTATCATCCAAACATACAATCTAAGATCTGCCCAGAGCTCAAGCAGGTGTGAAAGTTTAAGAAACAACTTACAAAATCTCCATCCATTGTTGTGGCCTGCAATGTCCATCGTGATCCCTTTGAAAGAAAACATTAGAAATTTCTTTTAAAAAGCAATTGTCACTAAATATCCTCAGGGTACAGTAAGTGTCTGCAGAATATCAAAAGTATTTGCTGTACTAGGACACCTTGTGTCTATGTTGTAAAGAACTATGGGTAAGAAACCGAATAAGTAATTTTATCAACAATGCCAAAAGGCAAGAACAACTAATTTTTAGAAGCTTTTGCCAGCCTATAGGCATACCGAAAATAAAAATAAAGGTAAAGGTAAAGGTACCCCTGCCCGTACGGGCCAGTCTTGACAGACTCTAGGGTTGTGCGCCCATCTCACTCAAGAGGCCGGGGGCCAGCGCTGTCCGGAGACACTTCCGGGTCACGTGGCCAGCGTGACAAAGCCGCATCTGGCGAGCCAGCGCAGCACACGGAAACGCCGTTTACCTTCCCACCAGTAAGCGGTCCCTATTTATCTACTTGCACCCGGGGGTGTTTTCGAACTGCTAGGTTGGCAGGCGCTGGGACCGAGCAACGGGAGCGCACCCCGCCGCAGGGATTCGAACTGTCGACCTTTCAATCGGCAAGCCCTAGGTGCTGAGGCTTTTACCCACAGCGCCACCCGCGTCCCCCAAAAAATAAAAATAACACTCAGCAAATAACTTCTAAGTGGACAATCATAGGTGAAAAATCTGCTGTGCCTTCTCTCACACGTAATCACGTATGTTACATCAGTGGACACATAATTAATTAATTTTTTTACAAGCAAGATTGTTCTGCCGGCTAAAACACCTACCAATAATAATGAAAAGTATTATAACAAAAATATTGAAAAAATAAACAGTGCATATCCAACGATACATCATGACTTAGATGGGGTGGGGACAGGAGCTTTTTAAACACCTGAATAAATTGTTAACAACTTTCTTTTCAAAGTTACCTGCTGATCAAAAAGTGCCCAAAACATGGGAAGAGGAATATACAGGAACAGCACTCTTAAGACCATCTTTGTCTGGGCAATAAGTCGTTTCTATAACAAAGGAGTGAAACAAATCATAATAATAATTAAATACGAACATTTTAAGAATGAGGTTTACAATGAGATTAGAGAAGGTAACAGCACCCTTCAGAAATACCAGCGACCAACTCAAAGGCTAGGAAAGGAAGTTGTGGAAGCTGGATTTATTAATAGTCCATCTGGAGAACGGCCCATCCCCTTATCACAAAGCTACCGTCCTGTAACTCTTGATGTACGGGCCATGATCAAAATTATTGGAATACAGAGAGAGATAATCCCAGGCTTAAAATTATGTCAGAGGGTAGAGTCTCAGCCTAGGCAGAGCCCAAATGTGCCAGAACAATACAGAGATAACACAACCGACATACAGAATATAGGAAGCACATTTCCAACTGCGGCCAATTTGGACCACACATAATCTAGGCTGCACAAGGAGGAGACTACTGGTTCTATTTCAGAAACAATGCAGCATCTTTATCTGCCAAAGACTGGATCGGTAAATTAAACACCAGATCTCCATTGCAGATTAGGCACAACTGTCTCAATTGCATTTATTGATTTTGATCTTCTGCTTCCCTTAGATCAGCTTAGTGACTTACTGGACATAGAAAGCTGCCATACACTGTTTAAGGTCTTAAGTGATGCTTACGCACAGAGCCCTCTTTCTTTTAATTTGACACTAGTTCAAGCACTTATTTAAAGCTCTGTGGGTTCAGATCTTATTTGATGACTGTTGCCTTTCCAATCAGCTGTAAATCCCTGTGTGATCTACTGGACTTGGAAGCAACAGGCAGAGAGATTTTACAAAGGGTTCAAGATGCCAGAAGTCATGGAATCTCCTTAAACTTTGTATTGTTAAGTATAAGGCAAATATGTCATATAAGGGGCCAGGTTTTTAAGCTCTCTGAACAGACAACTAGCACAACTTACATCATACTTCTCGCTAGCCCAGTCCAACCAGTGCTCCCTCTTGGGGTATTGCTTGCTGCGATGTCTAAATCTGTTTCCAATAGAAAACTGCAAAGAGACCATTTACAATTGGTTAAACAATGTTGTTGTTTCCCCCCAAAATTATTTTCACAAATTCTTGTGGAAAGGAAACTGCTTCCCAGCAGACCGAAATGCAAAATGAAGCAAAGACAGAAACTCTGCCAACAGGATATGGCAACTTCCATCACTGCCCACCTCCCCCTCCTTTCAAAGGGTTTACTGTAAACTGTCTGAGCTATTTTGGTAGCTTTATTAATAAAGTTGTTGCATTTTAAATGCAAATGTATTATTTTGTTCTTCACAGAGTTATATCAGCAGAGACCTCAAAACCTCTGTTTTCTGTACTATATATATGTCTAGACGTAGGTGCTATTGGCAGCTGTTTGCTTTTTAAATATCGCTTTTCCACAATGTTCCAGACAATCTAGATCAGGGTTTCCGAATCTTGGGTCTCTAGCTGTTTTTGGACTACTACTCCCATCATCCCCAGTTAGCAGGACCAGTGGTCAGGGATGATGGGAACTGCAGTCCAAAAACGGCTGGTAAGTTTCCCAAGTTTGAGAAATCTTTATCTAGATGTTCCTGACAATTCCAGAGTGGCATTTAGGAAGAACCTAGAAAAGTAATTCAAACTAAAACTAGGCTCCTATGTTAAAGGCATTAATCTCTGTTAATCTATCATCTATCTATCTATCTATCTATCTATCTATCATCTAGAATTATTGTAGGGACTTATAATGTAATCCTAATGTTTGACTGTGTGCACAACATATCTTTAAAGGAAATTATTTTCCTCACATAATTCTGGGCCCTGTATTTCACCCCTCACAGTTACAGTTCTCAGCAAACAAACTACAGTGCCTAGAATCCTTCGAGGGGAGAAATGTGCTTCAAAGGTGCTTTAAAAGTATAGTGTATACACAGCATTTGAGTGGCATGACCACTCAACAAGGGCATTAACTTCAGTTTTAAACTGAAGTTAGTGTAACAAACTATTGTCTCTCTAGGATCAAACTCGGGGGGGGGGGGGTGAAATAAAAAAAAATTATTAGAGACTTAATTTTGTGACACTTAACAGTTGTCCTTGAAAATGCTAGCCATGAATTGTATATTGCTTACCGTAATACATTTAGCAACTCGGACCATTACGTTGCCTTGAGGTTTAACTTTTTTGTACATTGTGCTTCCAACTATGAACACAACTGCAGAGAAAAATAAAGAACACCAAGATTTGCTGAGGTTGTAGCAATCTGCGACAGGGCAAGACCATGCCATGCAAGGAGATCCAGGGTGCATAATAATAATTTTTTTTTATTTATACCCCGCCCATCTGGCTGGGTTTCCCCAGCCACTCTGGGCAGCTTCCAGCAAAACACTAAAATACAATAACCTATTAAACATTAAAAGCTTCCCTAAACAGGGCTGCCTTCAGATGTCTTCTAAAAGTTTGGTAGTTATTTTTCTCTTTGACATCTGGTGGGAGGGCGTTCCACAGGGTGGGTGCCAGTACCGAGAAGGCCCTCTGCCTGGTTCCCTGTAACTTGGCTTCTCGTAGTGAGGGAACCACCAGAAGGCCCTTGGCACTAGATCTCAGTGTCCGAGCAGAACGATAGAGGTGGAGATGCTCCTTCAGGTATGCTGGACCGAGGCCGTTTAGGGATTTAAAGGTCAGCACCAACACTTTGAATTGTGCTCGGAAACATACTGGGAGCCAGTGTAGGTCTTTCAAGACCGGTGTTATATGGTCTCGGTGGCCACTCCCAGTCACCAGTATAGCTGCCGCATTCTGGATTAGTTGTGGTTTCCGGGTCACCTTCAAAGGTAGCCCCACATAGAGCGCATTGCAGTAGTACAAGCGGGAGATAACTAGAGCATGCACCACTCTGGCAAGGCAGTCTGCGGGCAGGTAGGGTCTCAGCCTGCGTACCAGATAGAGCTGATAAACAGCTGCCCTGGACACAGAATGTACATTACATTAAGTTTATTTGGTCCACAGGCCATAAACATCAAATACAGTGTAGGTTATCAAGAGAAACCACAGCAAGAAACAGAGAGAGGAAGAAAGTGAGGGCTGGCACTGCACACAAAAATACATGCACACAGACTGAACATGAGAGTATTACAAAACCCATACACAATCAAAAATAGTTAAATGCAAACAATTTGAACTCATCTTCCTTTTAATAATTGTAACCTAATGTTGATGGTTACAGGGAGGGGGAGGAGCCCTTTATCTTAGGGTTGGAATCTGTCATTAAAACTAATATGTAGAATTCATATCATATGAGTTTCCCAGGTGAAAATAATGTATTGAGGAAATAAAACAATAACTTATATTCCTGTGCAAATTACAATAGAGGGAAAGATATGTAACAACGTTTCGACTGTAACACTTTGACAGGGACAAATTCTCAAGTGCCAAAAGGCAGTCTGGTAAATCAAATTTTCATAACGGCTGACGAAGTCACTTTAAGATCTAGTACAAAAATCACAGCGTTCAGAGTTTAATACTTTCACAACTTAGCTCAGGTAGGAGCTGTGGCAAAGGAGTTCCTCCTCATTGACATCTAACTCATTTCTCCACCAAAAGCTTCACACAGGATGACACTGTAACTGCCCATAAGCATCAGCAAGAGATACCATTGCAAAATACAGAGGTTTAGGTCTCCACTGGCAGCACGAAGCATCAGGCCTTGTGACTAGTATCTGGATTCAGTGGAGGTTGGTTCATTAGAGCGAATGGGACCACTAACCTCAACCTGCCTTCTTACAACTAGTCTAAGGGGTGGCACTTCTTCCAGCTCCGCATGGCCCTTGCAGAATTAAGCAGAGAGGAGGATGTAGACAAAACTGTAATTAGTTGCCTCTGCTTCTTGTTGGCTGTAGAGCCACCTGCTGTTGGTCTCCCCACCTTGTACCCAACCAATACCAATAGGCACCAACCACCACTACCTGGGTTGATGAAGCAAAGAGCGAATGTGTGCCCCTGAGGATGTAGGACTGGCCACACACCCTTCTAACACCCTTTCCCCCCTTCAAATAAAGTCCTATCCTTGTCATCCTTCCACTTTCTTTACAGCTGTTTTTGTTTGCTAACTCTTTCCCCATCTCCTCTCAGTTCAACATAGCATGATATTCCTTCCCAACGACACACGTTTCATTTTTAGCCACCCCAGTTCTTATCTCCTCTCTCCCACCCACTCCTTCATCAACACCACATTCCTCCTACTAAGTCTGACAGCTTCCCAAACATTAATTTAAGAACAGCAGATTCCTGGCGTGCTGCTCCAGAACCTAGTGTAATGTTAGGGTTTGCTCTCTAAAAGTTACAAAAAGTTTACAGTCTACTGAGCACTGCCTCACTGGAGGAACAGCCCTCATATTACAGACTAAGGCTGCAATCTGATGAGAAAGACCTATGCAGATGGGAAGATGAGGGGGTTGCTAATCCTTTCTGTCGAGAAAGTGGTCCAGTTGCTTTTACTTTAGCTGTGGAAAAGATGTGGGAGCCTGCCAATTTCAGAGCTGGATCTAAAATAAGGCTTGCATGGACGTAGGCAGCTTGCATTTCCATAGGTTATACACAGCTGATCCAGATAGGATGAAACAAGGAAGTGGGTTACCAGAAAACCTATGGGTTCTATCCAGCTAAGTTCTACTCAGAATAAACCCACTGGAATGGACATAAGCAATGTCCATTAAATTCAGTGGGTCTACTCTGAGTAAATCTGATCTGATGATCAACAGAGAGGTTGCATCCCATTTCTGATATTTCTATTTTAATAGTGCTACTACATTTTTTCTTTTTAAAAAAACCCTCTTTTTCAAAATTGCAGTGCAATTATATTCCTGTCATTGTCCATCCTACCCTTGCCGGCCTGCAGGTAAAAAAACGTTAAAAATCAATGAAGAAAGAGCACAATTGCTCCCTCTGGAACCCAGACTGCAACAAAATGCAGCAAATGAGAGTTAAAGCAAATACGACAGGTAAGTGGAAAACGAAAAAGCATTTGACTTACACAGTGCAACAGCCATTAGTATAGCAGGAACACCGAATGCGAGAGGGTAACATTTTTGTCTGACGTGAATTCCACATTCCACCCCTAAATCGAATAAATAAACAGTATATATTATCATGACTCTTTCCTTGAGCAGAAGCCTGTGTAGGCTACATTTTACCCATCTACCTCTGTCTATCTGTCTATCTATCTATCTATCTATCTATCTATCTATTTTCTCGCACATATTCAGAGTAACCACTATAGATATTTCTCAGGAGGAGTCTCATTTCAGATTTGTATGGGAGAGAGTAGAGATTCTCAGTGGGGTATGGAAGCATGGTCTTCAATATATATTCAGGATTACATTGAGGGGGAAAGCCCTGTATTTTATGAACATTTGGTACAATGACTTTATGTTTACAAAACCATAATGTTGATACTACTAACACTGGCAAGTTATCCTCTTTTTTCCCAGCCAAAAGATTTGTACCTCTGCCATGCATAGGCCCTTTTAAATGTTGCTAATGGTGGTCTCCTTACTACACGGAGCCGTTGGCTTGGATCCAACAGGACCCTGCAGAAGTGGAACGAGATCTTCGCCCGACAAAAGAGGTGTGTCTCCATTTTATGCCTCACAAATCTCCATGCTGCACCACACACTTGCTAGGCAGTCCCTTCACCCTCCTAAAATGTCTTTTTGGGTGGTGGGGTGGAGATAAGGAATTGTAGAAAGGAAGCAGCAGTGGAATTCTGTTCATGCAGCTCAGTGAATGGGCCAGAGGCAGGGATGCTTCTAAGGAATAATCCTACCAATAACACAATGGCCTAACTCCTGCTGTGTCATCACTAAATGGCACCACTGAAACTTTTGTGTACACTTTTGCCCAGTCTCCTTGCCATCATTTCTTAAGGCTGCTCACAGACAACCTGTTTGCTGCGCAAAGTTTCTAGGGAGGTTAGACAACACAGACTATTTATTGGGAATTCACCTTGATTTGTTTTTGGGGGAGGTTAGATGACATTGTGTCAAGCAAGTTATCTCACGTTTTCCAGTGCCGTCACTTTCCTTATCGCTAAAAGTCTAAATTTGTAGGGAACTTTATACTTGCACAACCTGAATTTGGTGGTATGTGATTGAATCCCATCTGAAAATACCATATTTATGCGAATCTAATCTAGCCATCAAATCTAATGCGCACCTCAGTTTTCAAAACCTTGAAACCCAAAAAGTATTATCTGGCAAATGTAAAGGTGCCATCAAATCCAATGCGCCCCCCTAATTTTCGTGACGTGATTTGGCAAAAAAAAGGTGTACATTACATTCAAGTAATTATGGCTGTAGCAGTCTGGACACACCCTTAGAACCCTGACCATTATGTTGGTTGGTTAATATTCTCACACACACAAACATTAATTAGAAAAGCAATTTTTACCTCTAAGAATTGGTGTGATTATAGTAGAAAGAAGGCTTCCAGCATTAATGGACAGGTAGAATATAGAGAAGAACCTATTTCTTTGTTTTTCCTGAAATACAAGGGAGAACATTAGTGCAAAATATCTTTTTGGAAGCCTATTTTTTGAAAAGCACAAAGTGCAAAGTAATTGCTAATTCAGCTAATGGTCAGAGAATAATGGCCTAGTGCTTGACTGTGAGGGCTTTAGTTTTTACAGTTTATGCTCATATATGCTGGCATCTGTCTGTCACAGGAGACAATGTCCATCTGTACATGTGTGTTTGTGTCTCTGTGTGTGTTTGTGTGTATGTATACACACATACATCCATGCATACATGCAGGGCTGCTATAAATAAAACATACTTTTGCAAAACCACCATGATAGATTTTAAGAAGCAAATTCTACATTTCAATAGTGTTGTGACTTGGGTGGATTATTATTATTTGGACAGGACAGGGTTAATGGAGCCGTAGTGACTACAAACTGATACTCCATAATAGCCATTGGTAGAACTACCCACGTTTTATGTTAGGGAAATTATAGGGAACTAGGTTAGGAAATGGTTGGAGAAAATTTCTCATCTTCATTCCTTCTCCTCCTGCACAGCAATACTTCAGCGAGATGGAGAGGAAAAGGTAGGTGTAAGTGGAAAAAACCAGTAGAAACATTTTCAGATATGAGTTTTAGATGAAACAATGAGAAAGCAAGCTCTGGAAAGTGCCTTTGTGGAGCTGCCTGTCTCTGGAGATCTGATGTGGCTCAACCAGTATGTTTGTAAATAAATTAGTAAAGGTAAAGGTAAAGGGACCCCTGACCATTAGGTCCAGTTGTGGCCGACTCTGGGATTGCAGTGCTCATCTCGCTTTATTGGCCGAGGGAGCCGGTGTTTGTCTGCAGACAGCTTCCGAGTCATGTGGCCAGCATGACTAAGTCGCTTCTGGCGAACCAGAGCAGCACACGGAAACACCATTTACCTTCCCGCCAGAGCAGTACCTATTGATCTACTTGCACTTTGACGTGCTTTCGAACTGCTAGGTTGGCAGGAGCAGGGACCGAGCAACAGGAGCTCACCCCGTTGTGGGGATTCGAACCACCGACCTTCTGATCAGCAAGTCCTAGGCTCTGTGGTTTAACCCACAGCGCCACCCGCATCCCATAAATATGTTACAAAATGCCAATAAGATTTTAGTGACCTTACTCCAAATAAAAATGAAGCCCAATTAAGTGCCTCGCCTCTGGAACTTCTTACCTGATGATCCTCAAACTGGTCTCCACCAAAAGCTGCTACACAAGGCTTGATTCCTCCAGTTCCAAAAGCAATAAGGATCAAACCAACCATAGAGAAAGCACTGCAATAGCATAAATAGATTAATAGTTGTTGTTTCAGTTTATTACCCACCCTTCACCATAAGGACCCTGGGTATGCTACAACTATTTTAAATATACAAATATGCTCACAGCAAAGAATGCTCTTTTAAGAAACTGGGTTGTACGCTGGTAGGCAATCCAAATGCAAAGCAATCACATGTAACAGAAGTAAATGTGAACATGCTGAACTTCTCCATAAGTATAAAGATACAGGTGGAGAGGCAATAGATCTGGTGCCTAGCACAGAAGACTCCGTGCCTGAGCTCCTTGAGTCACGACCTAATAATGCCGCTGTCCCATATTGTTCTCTGGTTTGCTGTTGCTGATTCGCTGAATGCACAAGTTTTTCCTCCTTTTGTATGTCTCTACTCTGACCAGAGAACTTCTGCTGACCTATGGTGCCTCAAGGGGCAAAAGTTAAAGTTAGTTTTCAACTGAATCTCCATGTTGTGTATCTGGCAATAAGTTTTCAGGCATATGCAATTATTTTTCAAGCAGGTGACAGGATTATCTGACAGGATTGCGGAGATTACAAAAGTTCTACGCCAAAAACAACATGTCTTGGCTGATGTCTACGCCAAAAAACAACACGCAGTTTTCAAGGCACGAACAAAATATGATAATTGAAACACTTCCTCCAAAGGATAGCTGCAGTTTTATTGAGATAGCAAAATAAAGCTCCTTGGACTTTGCCATGTGATAGGAGTCATATGGTTATGCAAAGAAAGGAACAAAGGCTGCAACAGTTCAAATCACAGTAAACAGAGGATTTGTGGATAAATTGAACCACTCGATTCCAATTTGCACTTACAAGGAGAGCAGAAGTAACTGCTGCAACTTACATGGGAATCGCAACGTTATCTACACGACCATCCCCGTCTTGATCCAGCAAATCATGTATGGAGCCTACCGACAAGACTGCTTGCCCAATTGTGTACACGATCGACAAGGAAATAATGGTCCTGTTAAGAAGAAAGCAGACAAAAGATGTATTTTTTAATGACACAATCCCTTTATCTTTCTTGAATATGCTGCATTTTGCTTAGACAACTAAAGCATGACAACAAAGAGGTGAGCATGTTGTTGTTGAACGTGAGCACTCCATGTCCGTTCAACATTTGTTTGCTGCACTACTTCCATGCTCAGTATCCTATTTTGCTCTTTATGTAAAGACAATATACCAAATATGTAAAGTACGGTGAATGATTAACCGCTCAGTCCTATCAACATCTGCTCAAAAGTAAGTCCAGTTGATTTCAATGGGGTTTAGCTCCAACTAAGGGTAATTCCACAGTTTAACGCAGGGGATGGCCCTCCAGATGTGCTTGGACTCCAAGTCCTATCAGACCCACTCAGCCTGTCCAACGTTCAAGGATGATGGAAGTTGTAGTGCAACCATATCTGGAGGACACTAGGGTCCTGCTCCTGCTTTATGGTTTCACTAAGGAAAGCAGCAACGTACGTGCAGCAACTGTGTTTGCTATACAAATTGTAATAATCATGCCTATGCATATCCCTGGGAATCAAAATTTCTATGCACCCAGGGCAGTAGGCCTCTGTGCAAAACCCGTTTCCTGCTTTCAGATTGGATTTGCTGCATTGCAATTTTCTTCAGTTAAAAGAAAAACATCTAGGGATTTACTAAGCAATCATACTTAGCAGAAGGTAGGAAAAGTACTATCATATAGCTAGCTCAAAAAGAAAATGCAAAACACAGCATTGACTAAATTCAGGAAGAGAAACTTCTTTTCTCAGGAAAACATTTCAGGAAGATTGGAATGTGCCTTATGGTCCATCTAGCTTCGTGTTGACTTGACAACACCGACTGACATCGCCTCTCCAGGTTTTCCTAGTCTTTCCTGGAGAAGCAGAGAACTTAACCTGGGACCTTCTGCATGCAATGTCTTCTACCACTGAGCTACAGCCCTTTTCCTGACCAAGGTGAGTCATCATGTTGGAAAAAGGGATAGAAAAATGTGCTGATTGTTATTTGTAGGTTATTCAATGCTACAGTAATGACAGCATGACCTACCACGTATTGCATCTTACGTAATTGGCGCTGTCCAATTTTTACATGCAACAGGTATCACCCATGGCATCTACTCTCTCCCACAAAACTGGAACGCCCAGTCTAACAGAGTAGAGAGGAACTTCAAGACACGCTCCTACTCACACAGGGTAAAACCGAGCAGGGACTGGCAACATGAGACCTGAACATTTCTTAATTGTTGTGGCCAACCTGCCTGATACTCATTATAATAGTTAACAAGCTCTTGTACACATCCTCTCTCCGATACAATTGTTTGGCAATCTGCACTTCAGTTTCTATTTGTATAAGATACACAGATATAGATAGATAGATGATAGATAGCACTTTTTTTTAAAAAAAAAAAAGCTAATACATTTTATAAGTAAAACAAAAGGATGACACATCCCAAATGCACAAAACCAAGAATGATACATGTCTGAGTTGGAAGCTGAAATGTGAAATTTATAAAAAGGTTTTACAAATACTATTAACTACTAAGTAACTAGTCTCATAAGACTTCAAAGCTTACTAATTTCATTTCCATGTAGGAAACAAAACAAAACAAAGTTACAGCTTACTTTTTAAAAAAAATACACATTGGCCTAGTTTACATGTCATGCTAATCCTAACTATGGCTTAGCATTGGCATGCAGCCTTCAGGACTCAAGGTTTCAGCCACCTTACTGCTTCTTGGTCATTCTGCCATTGTACCAAACTAAGCCATGGTTTGGCATGTTGTCTGAATCTAGGCTTGTGGTTTAGGTGCCCTGGATAAACCACAAGCCATCAACCATAAGACCAACCCTCGTTAAAAGAACTCATAGCTAGTCTGGTTTCAGACAACACACTAAGGCTACATATACACATTCATTATCGAATCAATGGAGATGGAGCACTTGGGGGTTTTTTTCTATGCAGTACAAATGCGATCTAAATTCCATTGTATATTTTTGCCCATGAAAAGTGCTTCTTGAGAAACTGGTTTCATTCTGAAAATACAAGCTCGTAGCAGGTTGCATCTACACTGCCCCAGTGTGTCCTTTTGAAAACAGATATATGCACCGTTGGCATATACTAAAATCACAATCCCCATGTCCTGCTTCATTCACTAGGGGCAGAGAGGAAAAGACAAGGATAATCTAATCAAGGGGAGGGTTTTCAAACTGTGCATTGAGTAATCACACCAACCCTTGTGAATGGCAGGTTCTAGAATCAACCTACATTAAAAGCAACACGTTGAGGACAAACATGAATGATTTAAAGTTTGAGGAAAGCTACATTTTTGTGCTGGAAATTGATTACTGTGAATGCAGCCTGTCAAGCCATGGTTTTGCTCAGTGCAGCAGCAAAACATCCAGGAAAAAGTAAAAGCAGCTGCCATCTCCTCTGTGGAAGCCTGCATATTTGCACATCTGCATGACAGCTTAGAATGATGTGCCCAGGCCAATGCCTACATCTTTATAGAAGCAAAACAGACAGAAATTCAATCTCATTGTCTTCAACCCAAGGAGAGGTAGATTTGGTGGATTTCTGCCTGCCTTGCTGTTGTCATTAGTGCACAGCATCTGCCTGGAGGTTAACAGGGAGAAGTAGAAGCTCTACTTCATCTTAGTATTAGGCCAAAGCTTTTGTTAGCTCCACAAAAGCTCCTTTCCCCATCTTTCAGACATGTGTGTATACGTAAAAAGGTAAAAAGGTAAAGGACCCCTACATAGTTAAGTCCAGTCAAAGGCGACTATAGGGTGCAGCGCTCATGTTGCTTTTCAGGCCGAGGGACTGAAAAGTTTGTCCACAGACAGCTTTCTGGGTCATGTGATCAGCATGACTAAACTGCTTCTCACACAACAGGACACCATGAAATGCTGTTTACCTTCCCACCACAGTGGTACCTATTTATCTACTTGCCCTGGCATGCTTTCGAACTGCTAGGTTGGCAGAAGCTGGGACATAACAACAGGAGCTCACCCTGTCACACAGATTCGAACTGCTGACACTGGAAAGCTGGTGGGACCCCAGCTACTCAACCCCATTAATTTGCCTAGAGGCATCTATACATATAAATTAATATGTGCACATTTTATATAAAGCAATGTCACAGGCCTCTGTGCCCAGAGTTCTTTTAAGTAATGCCCCTTCAAATGAAACAGCTTGACTCTCTTCACGCAATTCAGATGCGTCTTCCGCAGAATTATTCTGGTATTCTAAAATTGCACTCACTTGAACTTTCCCAGCCAGGAATCAGCTACAAGCGCTCCAAGGATAGGTGTGAGGTAGCAGAGGGCAACAAATGTGTGGTAAATGGCTGTAGCAAGATTGTCGTTCCAGTTGAGAAAATACTTGAAGTAGAGCACAAGCACAGCTATGGAAAGAAAACAAGGAGAGTAATTAGGGAAAGGAGGGAGGGGAGGAAGCGCTCTGTCGCTATATCCACAAGCATCCAGCAGAAGTAAAGGCAAAAATTACCTCGCATTCCATAGTAGGAGAATCTTTCGCAGAATTCATTGATGACTATGAAGAAGATGCTGAGCGGGTAGCCAAAGCAACCGGGCTGATGGAACAGAAAATCAAAAGAAGATTAGCTTGAATAATTAGGACATTTCATGGGAGAGGTGGCGACTAAAATACATAATATCACAGCGGAACAACATAACAGAAACAGATTTGGCTGGAAAGCAAACAAGAACAACAACAACACAACCCACACCTATTTCTGCAACAAACAGAAAATATGGATTCTTTCACTCACACACTTCTTAGGCCTTGTTCTCTTTGGAGAGCAGAGTCCAGGTTTGAGTGGACCCACCTAAGTGGACTTCTTCCAGGTGACCTTGGGTCAGCATCAGGCCGCTGAGTCCAAGAGCAGCCATGTTAATTTCCCACATTGTAGCCCATTGTGGGAAATGAAGATGGCAGCCCCCAGACCCAGATAATCTTCTAAAGGGGAACACAGGGGGTGGGGAGAGCGGCAGGCATCAGCCCATTGGCTGCTGCCCAGAGATGTAGGGCTGATGTCAGGCATTCTGGATAAACTAATGACTGAGGCTACAATCAAACCCATTGGTTAAGTATACTAAAGCCTTTTAAAAATTATTTCAATAGGCCTGAACGTGTCCAACTCAGAGCTAGATTGTGCTAAGAGAATGTACTTTTTGCTGGAGTCTGTGAGCAAGTATTTTGCTTGTTGGAAAAATAATGCAATTCCTCCCTTGACAGACTCGGTAATTGTTTTGTGTTGTGTTTTTTTTTTTAAAAAAAGATAAGCTACAGAATACTAATTGATGGAAAAATATAAGACATTTTTTTTACCTATAAAATACTGTGACTGCTTTTTTAAAATTAAATATTTAAATGCCACATTGTGTAAACAACTGGAGGATCCCCTGTTTTGCCACACCCATAATTTTCATGATACTTTCTAAGGCCACGTGCCAATGTACGTGTTAGGCTTTGCATGGGTAAACCTGGGCCAGACATGAAACATCAAAGCAGTTACAAGCTTGCATTAATACAATCATGTTTCCAGAAATTCTGGTACATCAGACAATGATTGCATTGCTTAAAGATTAACTGATAAGCTGAACAGGTATTGGCTGTCAGGAATTGTCAGAGCGTCCTTCCTCGTCCATTAATATGAAAAACGTGTGGGCAGGGCCCAGAAAATGATGTGAAAGTGTGAGGCGCAGTTTCACCCCTGGAGCAAGGCTGGCCTAGAGGCCTAGGGAGTAGCTGGATGGGAAACAAACTACCTATGCATGCTGCTCTGAACTTCGTAGGAAAAGATCGTGAAATGCTCATCTAACAAATACAATTTAGATTTGTGGTTGCTGCTCTGTTTGTTTGGTTCTAAGTAGCCTTTTCCATTCATTTCCAGATACGTAACAGTTAAATGTAAAACAAAACTAAATTTTGCTCATCCTTGAGTCACAGAATCACAGAATTGTAGTGTTGGAAGGGTTCCCCAAGGGTCATCTAGTCCAACCTCCTGTAAAGCATCCCTGACAGATGGCCACCCAACTTCTGCTGAGAGACATCCAATGAAGGAGAGTCCACAACCTCCCAAGGGAGACTGTTCCACTGTCAAACAGCTCTCACTGTCAGAAATTTCTTCCTGATGTTTAGTCAGAATCTCCTTTCTTGTAACTTGAAGCCATTGGTTCAAGTCCCACCCTCCGGAGCAGGAGAAAACAAGCTTGCTCCATCTTCCATGTGAGAGCCCTTGAGATGTTGGAAGGTGGTTATCATATCTCCTCTCAGTCTCCTTTTTTCACAGTTAAACATACCCAGCTCATTCAACCTTTCCTTATTGCATTAAGGTTTTTTAAGATGTGTTCTGTTGCTTCTAGGAGAGCATTGTGCTTAAATGTCAGCAAATGTTTAATTGAAGAGAACTGCAGATATGTGGAGCAATCACCAAGAACAGCATCTTATCTGTGCTTGCCACTCACTCCTGCAGTACTGGAGGGATGAGCAAGGAGCTTTATAAATCATATAAATAGTAATGGGAAATAGTGATGGAAGCATTTGCTTTAAAAAAAAAAGAACCTAAGTTACTTAAGACTTTCTAGACGTGTTCTAGGCAAAATTCAAACATACTCGCAACACATGCACATACACAACCCTCCAAACTGTGCAGCACAAACACTTACCGAACGGCTTCGAGGTCCGGTATTTTTCTCTGCAATGAGACAGGGGTGAGGGGAATGGTGGAGAAAAAGCAATAAGTAGCCTGAATAAATTTAATAGTAGAATGAGCACATACATTATTTTAATTTACTGTTGAGGAAATTGGATTTTAGCCACATTTTTGTATAGAGACATAAGGACCAAATATGAAATTAAGGGCCTATGAAATGCATGAAGGATAATAAATGCCATCTAGCCACAGGTTCCATATCATAGGATAAAAAGGTGTAAAAGATTAAAAGATGCAGATGTCTATTATAAGTAGATTCGCTCATAATCCGCACATTAATCTTGTAAAATATGTGGAGCGCACAGCAGATTCATGTGTAGCAGAAATAGCACACACACTTTTGAATGTGATCCACCACTGATCAACTCTAAGTAATCCTCTCTATCTCTCCCTTCAGCCAACTCACTGTGGCTTCCACATTTACTCACTATTATAAAGATATAGCAGGCATGATCAAGAGCTCAAAATCTCTTTGCCTTAAAAAATGTGCAAGTATTTATACCAAGCTCATATTCCAATATTTATTAAGAGGTGTAAGCACACACATACAAAATTCTTAACCAAGACTGAACTCCCACCGTTTAATTTTGTACGTAACCAAATATCAGCCTTGTGAATTTACCAATTTGCTTGCAACTAACCCTCCTGCAACTCCACTCCAATATCTGAAATGGTGCCCAGTAGAATCTACTGGGGTTGTCAATAAAAGAAAATCCCATTTTTAAACAGGAGTTACAGAGACTGGAGAACAGATCTGATTGGTCTTCCTGACCTCCTAATGCAATGTAAGTAGTCATCATATGTGCAATGCTCTCTGCTTTCATTCCAACTGCAGTGGTCCCACCCTTCCCTATTTTCATTAAACCTTTAAACTGTTTGTTAAAATAAGGGATTTCAATTTTAAATAAGTGATAGTTGATCAGCGTTGTTGATGTTGTTGTTTCTGATTTTGGGCTACCTTCCCAGGCTGATGATCCCCATCTGCCCCTCACTTCCCTTCTTGACTGTTGGACCCACTATTGGTCTCATCTGCTTAGTCCACCGGGGGATGGGGAATAAAGGTGTTTTGACATAATAAAATTTAATAAAATTTTAAATTAAATTAAAAGAAGACGGTTGCGTGGACACGCAGCACACAGATTATGATGCACTTTTCACATTTAATGTGTGATACTTGAAATGCAATAGTCAAATTTGGTTGCCCTAAGCACTTTTTCAATTCTGGAATTTTAAAGCTACATTTTTATTCCATTTTTATTTTTATTCCAAACTTGCCCTTCCAGGGGTGGTCTGCTCCAAGGAATGGTCTCCCCTTTTTATCCTTGCTGCTTCAGAGATATGCACAATTAATTATATAGCCTTGTACGGGACACTGTGCAGTTTCTTATCATTGCTATCTCTTGCCACGCATTGGCCCTAATCCAACTAATGGTAGCAGTTATACCTAAGTACCGCTGGAATCAAACAATGGGTTTTCATTAGTTAGCGGTGATGAATTTGCCCCTAGAATTCCAATGTCTTAAGTACAGGTAATATGTACCTGTGACAGAATGACCTCTTTGCTTCTTGAGACCCCTAAAGCAGGGTAGCGAACCTATAGCACTCCAGAAGGCATTAGGCTCCAATACTCATTGGGGATTATGGGAGTTATAGTCCAACATCTGAAAAGCTGTGGGTTAGCTACCCACTTCTAAAGTTTCTCAACTTCCGGCTAAGTTTGCCCATTGTAAATATCATGGGAATAAAGAAATTAAAGTATATGTCACCTCAGGCTTTTAAAAGTTTGCATGACTAATGTCAGCACTTATTGTGCTACTATGTACCCAACTTCATTATCTTGAAGATAAGACTCTAGAACAAGAAGGATTTGTACTTTAGCATCCTGATTTGTGAAATAAGCATATTTCTATCACAGCTATATTCTTGGTCGTAAGAGAAAGCTATTGCAGCTATTAACATGTGGTCCAGAGTTCATAAACAACTGGCAGTACGGTTAGCTAATCTTCAGACATAACACAAAAGCAAAAAAAAAAATACTTGGTGGAACTAAGGACCTACTCAGACTTCCACTTCAGTGGATGGTGCCCATTGGGAAAACTGTGCTATTCTGTTTCCATCTCATTTGGTCCATGATAAGGTAGTTCTGTACATCCCTTCATAGATGCAAGAACCAGCTTTTGCACGAAGTTGCAAAAACCAATAAAAACAAACAGCTGGAACACACTTGAGTGATAATGCAAAACTGATGGTGCTTAATCACTCCTGAGCATCCTATCAGGCAAATTCTGATTTTCAGATAATGGGACCTAAATGCACAATAAATGTTTCAAGCACACAATCACCTCTTCTACTTAAAACAACAAAACAAAAGTTTGTTCCTGTGTACAAAGGAAAGATACATCACTGATTGCCAGTTTCCATCTTTACCACAGATGAACAGTTTGCCTCTGGGGCGAATGGCCTTTTCTGCACTTGCAAATGGAAGTGTCAATATTTGAACATGCACAATATGAATCAGTGCAACACTGCTGCACCGATATGGGAAATACAGGATGGATTTAAGTATTCCTGTGCAAATGGATAGAATTAGCTACAAAGGGAATAGCAATGGCATAGAGTTCACTGTTACCAAGGTCAGAAAAAACTAATTTCTAACTTGGTTAATATTAAGACTGCCTAGTTTCTCTTTATTCCTGTTACAATTAGCAAGGAAGTTGCAGTTTCACCTAAGGATGGAGACAATAAAAGCAGGCATCCTCCACCCTCAGGAGATGCTGATCAGGTTTGCCATGCCTCTTCTCAGTAAGCCTTGGTGTCCGGTACCTAAAAGAGCCTGATTTAAATGTTTACTACCTTCTCCTACCTTCTCTTTTAAGACTCTGATTAGATGCAGATTCATGATGTTATTGCAAAAGTTTCAATCCCCACCATGCTTTGTTTACCATCTAGTCTGATTAAGAGTTCTGGAGAACTCAAAAGCTTGGACACTACATCATAGTGTTTAAAGGTAAAGGTAAAGGGACCCCTGACCATTAGGTCCAGTCATGGATGACTCTGGGGTTGCGGCGCTCATCTCGCTTTATTGGCCAAGGGAGCCAGCGTACAGCTTCCGGGTCACGTGGCCAGCATGACTAAGCCGCGTCTGGCGAACCAGAGCAGCACACGGAAACGCCGTTTACCTTCCCGCTGGAGCGGTACCTCTTTATCTACTTGCACTTTGACATGCTTTCGAACTGCTAGGTTGGCAGGAGCAGGGACCGAGCATCGAACCGCCAAACTTGCACTTTGATGTGCTTTCGAACTGCTAGGTTAGCAGGAGCAGGGACCGAGCAACAGGAGCTCACCCCGTCGTGGGGATTCGAACCACCGACCTTCTGATCAGCAAGTCCTAGGCTCTGTGGTTTAACCCACAGCGCCACCCGCATCCCATCATGGTGTTTGGGTTGGCCTAATAAAGGTCATATTTCCTTGACATGGACTTACTTGTAGTAAGTCCCTCTAAGTTCAGTGGAGCTTCCTGCCTTAAAAGTATTATTTAGATTGTAACTTTAACTCAATAGTAATACAGTATGGTCCAAATACTTCTCTCTCTGGGCACATGTGGATATACACACCCACACACCATAAAGGTATACATTCTGGTTTTTAAAATACACACTCTTTGTTTAAAAAAATATTATTAAAAAGTATTATAAACACTAATGATCTGAGTTAATAAAAAGTATGTATCACAAGAACACACCATGAGACATTTGGTTGCACTTCTAAAACCACATGCACTGTCAGAATAGGCTTCACTGGACATAACTGAGATGTCTTTTTGGAGTCAATTGAAGCTAAACTCACCCCTAGGGTTGTCAACTTGTGGGTGGGGTGGGGGAAGGGAAAGAAAGACAATGTAGGTTGCTTTGGCCTCTTTCTCAGAGTCTTGTTATGCAGAAACCATCAGGTTTACCTTTTTGCTTCATGGCTAAACATCACCACCTATTTATTACAGGAGGCCTAGCTGCTCTTAAAGGAGCAGCAACAAGAGAGTTGGCAAAGCTACTTGCTCCAAAGATGAGGAATGAAACTGATTCTCCACCCCTTCCCTGTGGAAACACAGTGACTGAAACAAGTGTCACTCATTTAATCTGAGTCTGTTTTGCAGCTGTTAAGGGCATAGGAGCCCTGCCAGGAAAAGGTGGTAGCAGTTGCATGCACTAATAGCTAATTATCTTAAGACCAGCACATTAGCCGGACAACAAACTCATCAGCCCCAGTTTCTTCAGTTGGCTATTTACTTAACCCTTCTGTTTTCATGCCAAATCAGTATTTGTGTTGATCTTTTTAGAAAAACAACTCACTTAACTGAAAGTATAAAGGAACAAGAAATAGCTCTCTCTTTAGTATCCATATGAACTTCTGAATACATGAATACCAATAACCTAAATATGTTGATGTGACACACCCCTTTTCTGCATTTCATTATAGGCTATTGCCTCTAAGTGCAAGAGTGAGTTTAAACTTGATGCGCCCAAGCTCTGGTGAAAACTGGGACTGCAAACCTGTATATGGGAGTAGCTGCCAGAGAGCCATGTAAATACAAGGAAAAGGAATGTTGTGACACCTTGAAGACTGACAATAGATTATGATGACGTGAGTTTAGGAATAGGAAGCTGCCTTATATCAGGGCCAGATCATTGGCCCATCTTTTTCAGTCCTGCCTGCAGTGACTGATGAAAGACAAGCAGTGTTGGGGGCTAAACCTTTGCATAAGAAGCCGTGGTTCTGCCTTTGATCTTTGTGAACCAGAGTCCATTGAATTAGGCTCTAATCTGGGAGTTGTAAATCTGTTAATCTTTTAAAGGTGCCACTTATGTGAGAGGAAGTTGCAAGACCAGGGGTTCCCAAGCTGTGGGAGTCCCAAGCTGAAGCAAGTCTTTCTTCAGCAACATGTCCTCATTAAATATTCACATTGATATATTTTTAAACTGCATTGTTGCTGCTTCTTTTATTTCTCGAACTGTATTTTAACTGCATTACAATTCAAATTCTTTGGAATTCTAATGCAACAAAAAAACACTATAAGAAAAGAAAGCAGCAATAAAAATGCAATTCACAGAGTGTCTGGCATGGCACATTGCAATTGCTACAACAGCAATTAAGCAGTCCTCCAGAAAAACTCAGCAATATTCAAGCAGTTTGGGATCTGCTGTCCTAGATTTCAGAAGTGCAAGTCACCTCTCCCACCACGTCTCCAGGCCTCTAAGAAGCATGCCTGGCTTTAGACTGCATGGTGCTCTCCAAATATTGCTGGACTTCCAACTCCCTTCAGCCACAGCCAGCATGCTTGATGGCCGAACATGGTGGGAATTGTAGTCCAGCAACATCTGGAGGGCACCACGTTAGACTCATGGAATTGTAGAGTTGGAAGGGACCCTGATGGTCATCTAGTCCAACCCCCTGCAATGCCCAACGTGGGGCTCAAAACCACGACCCTAAGATTAAAAGTCTGATGTTTTACCGACTGAGCTGTTCTTGTGGGGGCTCCAAAGCACCGTTCAGCTGCCTAGAAAGCAGAGCAGACCCTCACCGGAAGAGAACCCAGCATCAACCGAGGCCAGCAAATTCCTCCCATTTGCCCTTGAAAGCCTGCGCTTGCCCGCAGACAACCTGAGAGCTGGCTTGCTCAGAAAGGAACTTTTTTGTGGGGTGTCTCTCTTTCTCTCCCCACCCCCAGCCCAATATCCCCAGGGCACTTCCGCGCTGCTCCCAGGCATCTGAGAGTCCCTTCTCACGGTTTCGTGTGGGACGCGGGTGGCGCTGTGGGTTAAACCACAGAGCCTAGGACTTGCCGATCAGAAGGTCGGCGGTTCGAATCCCCGCGATGGGGTGAGCTCCCATTGCTTGGTCCCTGCTCCTGCCAACCTAGCAGTTCAAAAGCACATCAAAGTGCAAGTAGATAAATAGGTACCACTCTGGTGGGAAGGTAAATGGCGTTTCCGTGCGCTGCTCTGGTTCACCAGAAGCGGCTTAGTCATGCTGGCCAAGAAAGCAAGATGAGCACCGCAACCCCCGAGTTGGCCACAACTGGACCTAATGGTCAGGGGTCCCTTTACCTTTTCTCACGGTTTCAGCCAACATGCCCATGCACCATTTCAAACACGTTTCCTGCCTTCACCCCAAAGAATCTTGGGAACCGTAGTTTGGCCCCTCGCAGGGCTGCAGCTCTCAGAAAGCTTGGCAAACTACAGTTCCCAGGATTCTTGTTTGGGGTGGGGTGGGAGTGTGGATCAGTCAGGGATACAGTTACGGGGAGGGGGGAGGCATCTCCTCCCTTTTCTTGGGGAGGGGAGAAGAGGCCTGTTTCAACGGTTCTCAACCTATGGGTCCCCAGATGTTGTTGGACTACAACTCCCATCATCCCTGAGCTCTGGCCTTGCTAGCTAGGGCTGATGGGAGTTGTAGTTCAACAACATCTGGGGATCCACAGGTTGAGAAAGGCTGAACTGTGGTATGTGAGGTGGGGCTTAACTGCCCCCCCCATATTTTATTCAAGTTGGAAGAGAGAGAGGGAGAGCTCAACCGGTGGGTCCCCAGACGTTGTTGGACTACAACTCCTATCATCCCTCAACTCCCATCTTCCCTGAGCTCTGGCCTTGCTACCTAGGGGCGATGGGAGTTGTAGTTCAACAACGTCTGGGGACGCACAGGTTGAGAAAGGCTGTCTGAAATGGGCCTGAGTCAGAACCCGCGCTCGTAGCTTTCCTGAGGGAAGTCTTCCCCTCAGTGCTCAAGGCCCCCCTAAGACAACTTATTCAGTCAGGGCGCGCAGGAGCGCTTGGTAACACGGGCACCCGCATTGATAGACGGCAGTTCGGACGGTTGTGTGCAAAAGGCTATTTCAGCGGGTGCAGCTTGCAGGAGCGCACGGCTCTTTCCCGCCCGGCCACCTCTCGCCTGGCAAGGAGAGCGCCCGTCTCTTCTGCCTGGACTCTCCTTGGCTGTGGTGTTTGAGCAGAGGCTGAGCAGGCAGCGGGCGAGGATGCTGCGCTGCAGGTCGTCGCCTTCGACGGCTGCAGCCCTGACGAGTGGCTACCCTATAAGGAGGGAAGTGGGTATATAGACGCGCGCAGACGAATACGCGCGCACGAACAGCGGGGTCACCTCAGCGGGAAACGCGCGCAGCCCACACAGGTGCCTCGGCTGCAGCGCCTGGCGCCAGCCCTTCCCACATACGTACCCATCGGGGCGCCCGCGGATGGTACTGCTGGTCCTGCTGAGGCGAGCGAGGGCGCGCTGCGGAGGGAAGGAGGACGCGGACGGGGTTTTGTTCTTTAAAGCCTCTGGCCCTGGGCCCGGCGCCAAGTCCTACCCCCCACTTACCTGGCTGGGCCAAGGAAGCTGAAGAGGTGGTAGGCGGGGAGGAAGCTGGATCATGGGCCGCCCTCGCTCCCGAGAGAGAGAGAGAGGGAGGGAGGGAGGGAGGAACCACTTTTCCCCATCACCACAGAGACATCGTTGACCTCGCCGACCCAGTAAGTCACACAAAGAGGGAGGGAGGCTGTCAGAGAGGAAGAAAGAGGTTTGGTCCCTCTCGCAGGAGGAGAGAGGCCGCCACCTTTTCCCTTGGCCTTGACTGGCATCCTGGTATAGAAACCCAACAGGTGCCATCGCTCCCTCTCACTGCAATGCCAGGACACGACCTGTTGAATTTCCACCTGTCGTGCAGAGACTCCTATGGGAGATGGGGGGGGGGAGAGAGAAGGCTTAGCTGTAGGAGCTGAAGGGTTTTAGGAGGTGTATACAGTAAGGTGAAACAGTATTTTAAAAAACACAAAACACTAGAAGATGGAGAAAAGGAATATTTTAGGAGGAGGTGGAGACACTGGGGAAATGTGCTTGTGCCAGGGGAAAGGAAGAGACTTAAGAAGGGGGGAGGGAAACTAAACTGAAGGACTAAAAGGTATGTACGAATAATTTTTTTGGGGGGGGGATAATAGAAAGCCCTCCCCCCACCCAGGTTTTTTTTTTAAAAAGCTCCGCTTTTCATCCTGTCTGAAAGTAACATGAGCTAGAAAATGCATTGGGCAAACACAGAAGAAAAGGTAGCTGATAAGAAATGCAGATACCAAGGAACAATGGGTGGACATTTATATAATGTACTTAAGCACTTGAATTATATATTTATATGAACAGATCGATATAGTTTGATACAACAGCATTTCTTTGCATTATTTGTATTTGTGTATGGCACTAGTTGAGTTTTCTGCTTTAACTCTAATAATAATAATAATGATAATAATAATATCAATTACTTTACCATAAGGTCTCAGGGTGGGTCTCAACAATAAAAAAAACCTGTTTTCAATAACAACAAATTACTACCACAAGTGTAGGGTAAGCTCTCATACACACACACACACACACACACATATGTCAATAGTAACTTACCTTGATTAATACATTTCTGGATTACATTTTCAGGCATTAATCCTAATACAACTGGATATACATTGGAGATGGATCCAAACATTTTCTTGTTATGGCTGAAAGAAACATTGTCTGGCTAAGATGTTAAACTTTCTTGTTATGGGAAATTTGTTATAAAATTGCAATTCCGAGGCCTATGTTGTTGTTGTTTAGTCATTTAGTCTTGTCCGGCTCTTCATGACCCCATGGACCAGAGCACTCCAGGCATTCCTGTCTTCCTCTGCCTCTGATGCCAATAGAATACATTAAAAGGAATATTGCAGAACAGGAAAACTACAGCAGAATTCTACCCAAGTTTTTGCAAATTTAAGCCCCACTATGTTCCATGGGGCTTACTCCCAAGCAAATGTGCATAGGATTGAAGATTATGATTAAAATTATAAATACAATGGTACCTCGGGTTAAGTACTTAATTCATTCTGGAGATCCGTTCTTAACCTGAAACTGTTCTTAACCTGAAGCACCACTTTAGCTAATGGGGCCTCCTGCTGCTGCTGCGCCACCAGAGCACAATTTCTGTTCTCATCCTGAAGCAAAGTTCTTAATCCCAGGTACTATTTCTGGGTTAGCGGAGTCTGTAACCTGAAGCGTATGTAACCTGAAGCGTAGGTAACCCGAGGTACCACTGTACTGGGGAACATAAGCCGCACAGAGACTTAACTTTTGAGATAAATGCGCCTAGTACTGTTAATTCACATTAGAAATGGCCACATCTGGTCTCAGAGTAAAGAAAAAAATGGCTGAACTGTAATAAGTAGTAAAAGTAATATTGTAAAGGTTTCCAGAGGGGGTAGCCATGGTAGTCTGCTGCAAGAAAAACAATAAAGAGCCCTATGGCACCTTGACTTAAAAAAATAATGGCATAAGCTTTCATGGAATAGAGTCCACTTCAATGTTGTAAACTGTATTTCTTTTAATATACTACAAAGTAAAGTTCTGCTGATTGGAGGCAAGTGGTGGCAGCCCTTATTATGTCTGCATTCTGAAGCAGTTTGCTTCTGGATACACATGTGCAGATTAAGCTGCAGGTTATCTAGAAAGTGTTTTGGTTCCCTTAAAAAAATGTTTTGCTCACATTGAGATAGTCTTGGTAAGTTGTTGCAGCCAGTACAGAATCTTCACAAACACTGCTTTTTTTTTTTTTTAAAGGAAGCTTCTGACTTGGTTGTGGAAGTAACAGGAAACATAGTGTGATTCATAGAATCATAGAAATGTAGAGTTGTAAGGGACCACGAGAGCAATCTAGTCCAACCCCTGCAATGCAGGAATCTTTTGCCCAACATGGATCTCGAATCCATTACCTTGAGATTAAGAGTCTCATCTGTTTGAAAACATGAAGGTAGCATCCGCAAAAGGCACTGATATCACACATGGAACTTGTGAACTTTGCTCAATTACAGTGCAATTCTAACTATGTCTACTCAGAAGTAAGTCCTACTGAATAAATAGGTCTTACTCCCAGGTAAGTGTGATTAGAACTTCAGTCGTACATGCCTTTCTCTGATGAGGTTTAACAACTCATCCTTAACAATATACTACTTTTATTTTCTAACCCTTATTCTTTATGCACCTTTAACCATTTCTTTACGCATTAAATTTAATGTAAAACAAACCTTGTACAAAACCCAAATAGCAAGAAACCCAACTGAAGCTTCAGGTGCTATGCTGGCATATTCCCCTGAAGGGAGCATTGTTTTCAGGCTTGCGGTGGGTTGGGTGGGAAGTGTCCTATGTATATACTCACACCACACAAAGCTATACAAACCTTGGGTCAACTTCTTGTTCTCGAATGTATTGCTTGTGTAATCATTAATCTGGAAAACATTGCTGTAACAGAAGAATATGGGTATAGATTGCTATATGTCATAATTACTGGCGACATCCCCCCCAACGCCTCCTCCCTCCTGGATTTCATCAGTGGTACTCTTAACCATGGGACGTTAAACCACAGAGCCTAGGACTTGCCGATCAGAGGGTCGGCGGTTCGAATCCCTGCGATGGGGTGAGCTCCCGTTGCTCGGTCCCTGCCCCTGCCAACCTAGCAGTTCGAAAGCACGTTCAAAGTGCAGGTAGATAAATAGGTACCACTCCGGCGGGAAGGTAAACAGCGTTTCTGTGCGGTGCTCTGGTTCGCCAGAAGCGGCTTAATCATGCTGGCCACATGACCCAGAAGCTGTACGCCAGCTCCCTCAGCCAGTAAAGCGAGTGCCACAACCCCAGAGTAGGTCACGACTGGACCGAATGGTCAGGGGTCCCTTTACCTTTACCTTACTCTTAACCATAGTCCTAAACTTTATGTATCAATGCAACTTAAACACTTTTTTAAAGCTTGTTTGCCATTCCCTATCCTAGCTCACTCCTAACTATGTGAAGCTGCCTAAATTTCAAGATTCCTGAACAGCAAAAGAGCATTAACTAGCACCTTGAAAGAGCAAACTATCCAGGAAGAAGCAATGTGTCCTTTTTTGGACAACATGAGATTTCATATCCGCTTCGTTATTCTTGTTATCTATGAATAGTAAAAGGTACACTATGTGGCTACATGAAAGACTGTGTAGGTTTCTGGTTAATTTTACAATTCCTGCTTGATGCTGTCCTAAGGCAAACTCACTAAACAAACAAATAAACAAATTCATATATTTGCCAAAGACAGTTAACTACAGAGAAAAGTGGTGGTTGGTCCTGTTTTGAAACCAGGTATTATTAAGCATTGTTTGGAAGTACTGCCAAAATAGACATGCACAGGAAACAGGAGAAGTGTTGCAATAATAGCTGGATCAGACCAAAGTTTCTTCTAGCTCGCCATCATTCAAAATAGTGCTTATGGTATTTGAAGTGCTAAGTCCTCATTAACACTGCTTCAAAGTAAAGCTGTGTTCTACTGATTTTTACCTGGCACAAGTGACATCAAAGTGGAAACTGAAAAGAAACATATTTTTAAACTATTTGAAGGAAGATAATTATTGTCCTTAGTAGCCAAACATTCTGTAAGGTAAAGGTAAAGGGACCCCTGACCATTAGGTCCAGTCGTGGCCGACTCTGGGGTTGCTGCGCTCATCTCGCTCTATAGGCCGAGGGAGCCAGCGTTTGTCCGCAGACAGCTTCCGGGTCATGTGGCCAGCATGACTAAGCCACTTCTGGCGAACCAGAGCAGCGCACGGAAACACCGTTTACCTTCCCGCCGGAGCGGTACCTATTTATCTATTTGAACTTTGATGTGCTTTCGAACTGCTAGGTTGGCAGGAGCAGGGACCAAGCAACAGGAGCTCACCCTGTTGCGGGGATTCGAACCGCTGACCTTCTGATTGGCAAGTCCTAGGCTCTGTGGTTTTTGCCACCCTGGCTCTCTGCAAACAGTATATTTAAAATCAGCCACTGAGCTCAGCTTGGCCCACCTATAGCATGCCCTGGCTATAGGTATTAAGATGAGGCCTGCTGTCTCTGATCCTAGAGACAGTATATAGTATTATGACTAGTAGCTACTTGTTGAGAAAAAGAAACCGAGGTTCTACATGGGAGCAAAGGGTCCTCCATTCTAATGAGAAGCTGGGTCAAAGAGATAGCATTGGTTTAAAGGAACATGGCTAGTTATCTAATCAGACCAGAAACAATATATAATCTTTGCATAACGTTTACAAATCCCTGGGCATGGTACTTAAAGCAGGAAACTTGGTATTTAAAGTATACAATGGTACCTTGGATTACATACGCTTCAGGTTACATACGCTTCAGGTTACAGACTCCACTAACTCAGAAATATTACCTCGGGTTAAGAACTTTGCTTCAGG